AACAACATAATAAACTTGATTGGCGAAAGACATCAATTTTTCAAGAAAATGTTCATCAGCGGACTAATGTCGGTTTAGAAGAAGCTGAAAGAGAAAAAGATTTTAATGCTAAATCAAAAGAAATGAGACAAAAGAAAAGACCACGAAAAAAAACGAAGAAAGTGGTTTAAGAAAGATAACCTGGTGCAAATGCAGCACTTGCATGTGGTTTCTTCTTCTTAAGTGATGAAGTGAAGTGACACTTCTTCGTTCGTTGTACACAATATATGTATCCAGTTTGTCTGGTAAGATCATATTAACAGAGTAATTAAGTAACACCTAAATAGAGATATTCATGTAAAACATTGCAACTTATTCAAATAACCCCTCTTTCATAAAACAAAACTTATTCAAGTTGAATTTTTAGAATTTTGGTGAAACTGGAACCTAACGTTCTTAATGAAAGAGTGAATCTTAACAGAAAAAAAAAATGATTTCTTAGACACGATAGAGTTCAACTACACTCCAAATGTCCAATAGAAAATATTGAAGAAGAAGAAGAAGATGAGTGGGACCGAATAAACCATCCAGAGGAGGACGTGGACAAGACGAAGAAGAAGAAGACTAGAAGAGTACATATATGGATGGCCTATGGTTGTTGTTCTTCTCTATTGCATTTCGTATGGTGAATGGTTTGTTCCGACTAATACTACTTATGCTACCATATAGGTTCAACTATTTTAAGTAAAAATATTGATATTTGGAGATAGATATATAATGAAGTTCTATTCTATCGTATAGATTAAACTAGCTAGTTATCAACGATGGATTTTAAGAAAATGCACGTTTGTTTTTGCATTGTTTTTAGATCAAAATTGATCATGCGTTTTTTTTGTTACTTGGAAGATTTTTTTTTTGTTTTTGCATTTTTTCCTATTAAGCCATATTACAAAATAATTCTTTTTTATCTATACTATTAAAAGAGAATTATTAATTTGAAATGTCCAAAAGCTACCATGGTATTTACTAAATGTACCATTGGATTCACTAGAAAATTTAATCATTTCATTAAGGATAATTTTATCATATCATTAAACTGTTAACAAATGCATTAAATTAAATTAAATTAGTTTGTTAACAGATAATACCGATAAATTATATCTAATACTAATAAAAATCAAATAAATTTATTTCAAAATTATTTTAAACTCTTTCATAATATCTTAACATAATTACCATATAAATATAGCATAAATAACTAATATAATTATATATTATATTATAATAATTTTTTCTATATAATATTAAAAGAAAATCACTACTTTAAAATATCTAAAAGCTACTATGATATTTACTAAATGTGATAATTTATAGTCAATAATGAATATGTAATCATTATTTTCTGGTTACATATATACATACTATGCAAAAAATATTATGTAAATAATTTTTTTTCTTGGTTTATTAATGATTTTTTGTGGGAAATCATGGGTTTGGGAATTTAACAGATACAATTTTGTTGATTTTACGGGTTTTACAAGTTTTAACAGATTTTATAAGTTTTAGCAGAAAATATATTTTTATGAGAAAATGCCGGTTTGACATGAAATATGCTTTTGTAGATTTAGCAGAAACACATGATTTTAGAAATTTGGTCGTACTCACGATTTTGCAGATTTAGAGAAATTACAGGGAAACACGGGTTTGCAAAATGTGAATAACACAATTTTGTAGATTTTATGAGTTATCCAGATTTTAGTGGAAATATGTAGTCATATGGAAAAATGCGGAATTGTGCGTTTGAAAACTCGATTTTGCAAGTTTGGCAGACACGTATGAGTTTAGAAATTTGGTCGTAAAACACGATTTTACGGATTAACAATTTTACGAAAAAAACACGGGTTTGTGGATTTGACGGGAAACATGATTTTGCGAGGTTTACATGTTTTAGCGGGTTTTATAGGTTTTGATGGAAAAATATGGTTTTCTGGATTTTATTAAAAATACAGGTTTGCGGGTTTGATGAGAAACACAATTTTGCACGTTCAACAAAACGCGTAATTTTAGAAATTTATTCATAGAATACGGTTTTATGATGTTGGGGAAAAACATAATTTTTGGTTTTGTTAAAAATGTGGGTTTATAGTTTTGGCAGGAAAATACAGTTTGATGGAAAATACTATTTTTACAGTTTCTACGGGAATTCATGATTTTGGTACAACGATTTTGCGGGAAAATGCGGCTTTTTATTTTGATAGAAAACTCTTATTTTATGGTTTTGACAAAAAAACTTGATTTTGTGGTTTAAATTAAAGAGTGTTTTGGTCTTTTAATTTTTGAGATTCAAATGCTGCATCCAAACTCTATTTTTTTAGTATCTTAAATATACAAATTTTGAGATATTATAGATTTTGTATCCAGATACAACATCCATATACTGATTTAAAAATAATTAAAAAAATAATATTTGAGCATTTGCATCCAAATAAGTATTGGGAAGAAAAAATAAACAAAACCTAAGTAAATATTAAAATTTTAATTACAAACAAATTTTTTTTGCTTTATAAAACATAATATTGTAAAATATTTATTACAAAACTTAACAGAAAATCGCTAATCAAAATATATTTTTTTTATAAAATCAAACTTAAATAATTTTAAGAACATAAAATCAAAAATGTAAAAATAGTTTATGTAATGTAATAAAAAATTTTAGTTTGGGCCATAATTTTGGATTTAATAATATAACTTAGATTTTTCTTTTAATAAAAATTTAATATAAATTGATTTTTCTTATGGTCCAAAAATATTTTATAAAAATACGCAGATCCAAAATCTAGTTACTATTAAAAGAGAATATACGAAACAAATGTTATGAGAACTGATTCAACTGTTTCCATATTGTTTTATTTTTAAGCAGTGTTCGAATTCAACACTTTTTAAAGATCTCGTACAGCACTGATCCCGTCTGGCACTATGAAAGCTTAACTCTAACGAAAGCCAGATGTCGAGCACAAACACGTACCACAAGGTGCCGGACTGATCCATCAACTGGCACTTGCACCGTTCGACACATGTCCGAGGATTATCTGATCATCAGAAATAAAAAAGGTGGCTTGAGAGTCTACTGTTTATAGGAAAAGTCCAAGCGGACCAATTAGCACATTTGGTCTATTATATGGTCAAAAGTATATAACTTGTTTTCTAGTGTTGCTATTTCCTTTTTATTTAATTTTGTTACGAACTTACGATAAAACAACAAAGCTTTTTTCTATCTATATAAACAATAAACAGCTATGTCTCTGCTCCAAATACTGCTTTCACCGGCCGACCAAGAATTTGTTGATAGAAATTTTGCTAGCGAGTAAGTAGTAACCATGTCCGGTCAAATATAAATGGTAACCGAGTTAGGAAAATATTGTGGTTTTTACTAAAATCTTAGCCTGTTTATTTTCCGGACCGGAGTTGCTAGCAAGAGCACTTTCAGCATTCAGTTTCAATGAAGGTATTTCAATTATAGTTTATTAATATAGTTTAATAATTTAATTAAAATTTAAAAATAAATAGAGTGAACTAATTAAAGAAAGAGACATATCTAAAATCATTTTTCATAAACTTTCAAATGCCTGCAAGATGGTGGGCTAGTGGTAAGGCAGGTTTGGTAAAAGGTGAAACTCCCACACCCAGATTCGATCTTTCTTCCTTGTTGTTATCAACACTTTGTTAGAAAGTCTGTCAGTTGGGCTTTGGCCCAATTAGTTTACATAGTAGTCAGAAATGCAGACAGCTTGACTATTCCCTGATATATAATCGGATGGCATTTCAACTTGGTATAGACAGTGCGGTAGTTCTTTGGATCTCATGGTCCGTTGACTCAGCTCATGGTGTCCATTGAACCATAAACAATCAGTCCGTTCTTGTAGCACTTCTGTGCGTTTCATACCGAGGCTAGCCGGATAGCTGATAGGGTATATCCAAAAAAATTTCAAATGAAAAGCATTGTTTACTCTTTTTCTTTCATAATTATTATTTTTAATTTTTTAATTTTTAGATACTTTCAAAATTTCCAATGGAGCTGCCTCTAACTGATGGCAATGCTGTATAATCGTCGGAAACCTTTTAAATTGCCGAATATCTTCTTCACCTTTTTTTATATATATGATGTTTAAAATTTTGTATACAAATTAAAAAATTATTTAATTTTTTCTTTTTCTAAAATAAAATATCAATTCTAAAATAATTCAACCAATAAAAAAATAATATATATAATTTAAATAATTAAAATAATTAATTTTGTATTGATTTCTGAAAATATCATCTAATTTTTAACAAAAAAACCTTCTAAAACATCTTATAAAAAAGGAGTATTATTGTTGTTATTCTCTAGTTTGTTTTTGGCTTTTGGCCCATGGGTTTTTAATCCTGCTTCTTATCCATCCGGTTTAGAGCCAAACCAAATGTCTAGCTGGACCGATCGCCACGTCAACATTAAAAAATAAGTTTTAGCCAATTAGCAAGCAAGTTGCCATTTTTTTCGAGTTTTTATATATGGGTAGGTCCCGCTCCCACGTAGAACCATACCGTACAATCCTTCACTTTGAAGGTCCAGAAGTTTCGACGATACCATTTTCTTTTGTAACCCGTTCCAGAACTTTCGAATTCCTAAGGTGTGAGTACTATATTAATTTTTAATCCCAATTTTTAATTCGATTTAATATCATCACTCACTTTCCACTCTTCCTATTTAAGCCACCTCGAATGGCTTACGTGGAAACTATCTTCCTCACTTTCCCACCCTTCCCTCAACTGCCATCAACGAACTTCAAAATGAGACAGAGCAAAGTCAAATAATCTCCATCTCTAAACCCAAATTCTGCTTCTTTCCCTCTCTTTCTCTTTTGAATTCACCAAACTATGTAAAATCCAACGAAGAACCCAATTTCGTAGACCGTTTCATTGATCCCAAGATCGGATTACAAAGGAAAATCCTCTGTTTTTCTTCCCAGAAATCGTGTTTCAGGATGAATCCGTTTTTCCTGCGAGAAGATGATTCACAACCACCAAAACCGATTGAAGGATTGCACGAAATCGGACCGCCTCCGTTTCTGATCAAGACATTCGAGATTGTGGAGGATCCAAACACAGACCACATCGTATCTTGGAACAGAGGAGGCACAAGTTTTGTCGTTTGGGATTTGCATTCTTTCTCTACAATTCTTCTTCCTCGTCACTTCAAACACAGCAATTTCTCGAGTTTCATCAGACAACTCAACACTTATGTGAGTCTTCTCCTCTCTGTTCTTATTTGTCTATGTTCTCTGACAAAAAAAAAAAAAAAGTAAAATAAAAACAGAGCATTTCTGTTTTTATTTTTACTTTTCCAATTTCTCTTTTTTTTTGTTTCCTTCATCTTATTATAGTTGCTGGAATAAACAAGCGAAGTATTCTGGATTCAAACTTCAAAAATTGGTTGCGTTAACTTGGTAATGATGGAAACCGATATTAAAATTCAAAAAATCATATATTTTTTTTAACTGCAAATCTGTTATTTCTAGAAACATCGAAAGCGTAGATTCCGTGTGGTAGTGGAGTAGAAGAAGGTTTAGTAAGTTCTAGAATCTTGGTTCGTGGCAACTTGTCTTGTAAAATAATCGTAAGAAACAGTCATCAACCTTATCCCAATACCCATTGTTTATTCACGAACCAGCTTTAACGTTGCCCACTTGCTCCCTTCTTTTTAATATCTCCTAATATAAAATTCATAGTACACACATCTCACGCCAATAATTGGTGTTTTGTAATCACATGAACATGTAGACTTTGGAAAACCTTACTATATAATATGTCAAAATTCACTTTTGAATTATAAATGTAAAATTTTTTTTTTTTTCAATTACAGGGTTTTAGAAAGATAGAAGCAGAGAGATGGGAATTTGCAAACGAAGGGTTCTTGGTGGGACAGAGACAGTTACTGAAGAGCATCAAGAGACGAACATCTTTCACTTCGTCATCGCCTTCGTCAATTTATGACCCTTGCGTCGAGCTTCGCAGGGAGAAGCAGTTGCTAGTGATGGAGCTGGTGAGTCTGAGACAGCAGCAACAAACCACGAAAAGCTACATCAAAGCCATGGAACAGAGGATTGAAGGAGCAGAGAAAAAACAGAGACAGATGATGTCTTTCTTGGCTAGAGCGATGCAGAGCCCTACGTTTCTGCACCAGCTGCTTAAACAGAGAGATAAGCGGCTTAAGGAGCTTGAGGATGAGGCAGCGGATAGAGAAAGAGGGTCTTCGATCTCGGAATTGGAAGCTCTGGCTATGGAGATGCAGGGCTATGGAAAACAGAGGAATATGAAGGAAGAAGATGATATGGTGATCGAGAGAGAGTTAGACGATGGTTTTTGGGAAGAGCTGCTTAGTATCGAGAGTTTGGCTTCCACCTATAACTAGATGGATCCTTTTTGTTTTTAGTTTGTACTTTGTTGCTCACTTTCTTCTTTCACAAAGAGCTTTTCTTTTCTGTATTTTTATTAAAAATTTCCAGTAACTTGCTTGTCAGTTAGCAGCAGTAGTAGTAGTAGTAGTAATAGTAGTAGTGTAACTACAAATCGGTAAAATTCTTTTTTGTATGTAAACATATATAAAGATATGATTGTCAATGTCGAGACAAGTCAACAATGGTGAGAATTGAGAAATCATCCAAGTCTGTGAGTCTAACCTGTGAATTGGGAAAACATCCAGGTCTGTGAATCCAACCTGTAACGATGATCTTCCACTGAAATCTTTGCTTATGAAAGCTGATCTACTGCCTCCTTGTCAAAAGACTGAAAATATTTCTTAGACAAAACACACCCTTTCTTCAAGACCTTTATTTTTTATTTTTATTTTGAACAAATTTTCTTTTCAAGACCTTTATTTTTTATTTTTATTTTGAACAAATTTTCTTTTCAAGACCTTAAGAATAAGGGACAAACATCAGGAACACCATGAGTATAGGAGTCAAAGTGAAAACAATATAAGAAACTCTTTCACCTTCATTGTTGGGGACTTGTTGGGGTCACAAATGAAACAATCTAAAATTCAAAACTGGAATTTTGAAAAAGAAAAAAAAAATTAAAGCAAAGTTTGAACAGCTTCGGAAGATTAAAACGTTTTTCTTGCCCATTTACAAGTATTAAACAACTAATGATTATGGGTTCCTCCTCACACTGTTTTTTTTTTATTGGGATTTGGCAGTGCCTGGAGATGGAACATAATGAATGACCCAATTGAGAATAGTTAGCTTTCTCCAATAAAATGGGACATATATGAAAGAAGAAGAAAAATGAGTATATATATTTCTTGATAGCCAAGTTGGAAAACTGTAAATGTTGATTAGTCTTCTTTGCATAGTGATGATTAGTGATCATTATATTTTGTACCAACTGGTCGAAAATAAGATACTGCTTTACCATATATTTAATGCACTCTGATGATGTTAAGTTAGAAGTTTTTTTTTCGTTATACAAAAAAAAAGCAACCCGTTAAGATTTCAATGTTTTACTTAGCAAACAAAACAAAAAGTCGCACATAATCAATCTTTATACTAGCAGCACATCCCAGAATTGTTATTAAGATTTCAATATTACACTTTTTTTTTAACATATCATCATAATAAGAGTAATAATCAGTTTTTTTCTCCAGTAAAATGGGATATATTCGTTTTGTTACCAATACAGTTCACAACTTATTAACTATTTAGGATGTAAAACCGAAAGGAAAAAAAAAACATATTTAGGATCTTACCATTGTGCTATCTTCTCCTTACTAGTATCTTAAAATATTTTTTAACCTTTTATTTAATCGGCTAAATGATTCAAAAGAATTAATTGATATGGGACCGACTTTTATTATATGTTGGGAAAATAGAGAGTTAACAACATATGAGAGACTCTTTACCATATTGGAAAGTAAATGTAAGTGCAAAAAAAAAACAAGCCCTTATATCATAGCTTTTTTAAAAATAAAAATGCTAATAAGAGGCAGCGATCATCATTTTGGCGAACTCGTGGTAAGAGAGAAAACCATCGCCGTCAAGATCAGCTTCTCGCACCATATGCTCCGCCTCTTCCGCCGTTATTTTCATCCCCATGTCCTTCATTCCTTCTCCTAACTGTATTCATTAATTTACCCATTAATTTTTTGGGTATATAATTTAATTGTTTTCATTTGGTTAAACAGAAAACCCTAATTAATTTAGAAGAGGCGAGTTTTTTTTTTTAAGTGGCCTGAAACGTCTCCATCAAGGCAACAATGCGTGTTCTGATTGTTGTGGTGTTAATTTGTGAATTTATTTTTGAAGTTTTATCGAATGGATGACGACCAATCATAAAAATCGTAGGAGTATTATAAAAATTTTGGTTCACAATAATTATAAGAAGACCTAGAAAAAAAAAAATAGAATTACCTCAAGTGCAGATATGAAACCGTCACCGTCTCTGTCGAACACTCTGAATACTTCTATTAGCTCATCCGATGAAGATTCCTATACCAAATTTTCATTTAAATATTTCTCTAAGTTTATTAATCTTTCTTCACTGTTACCAAAATGTTTTTTCTTCTTTTCAAAGTGAATATATATAGTGTATATACCTGAGAAGTGTGTTGAGCCATTATGTACAAGAAATCATCAAAGGTGATGCCACCGTTTCCGAAGATGTCGACATGGCTCATCATCTCTTGAAGCTGCTCCGCTTTTGGATTCTTCCCCATCGATTTCATCACTTTCGTCAGCTTCTCCTTCGTGATGAACCCTGTTTCACACCAACCATACACATATCAACTAATCCATCATCATCAATCCTCTGATAAAATTAACTGTAAATCAAATCGGATTATAATAAAAAAAAACAAGAAAACAAAAATCAGACCATCGGAGTTTTTGTCGATGAGACAGAAGGCTTCGTAAAACTCCTGGATCTGCTCATCCGTGAAAACATCCGCCATCTTCGATCACAAGGAAAAGTCAAAGCTTTTCTTGATGATTTAACGTTTCTTTTGGTTTGGTTTGTTTTGTGAAGGAAGATGATGAAGAAGAAGGGAATATCTATCTGGTTTAAGTACATTCATGACCTCACAACTCTTGGCTCTTGCTCGGTCAAAGGTCAACACAAATGACCTTGCGTTTTCTTAGTTTTTGTAAATAATTTTCTGGGGCACGACTCCAAGTCACGCGTCTATGTTCAAACCTTTGACTTGAAAGGCTTAATTTTCATAGTTTTGGATTTAGGATGTACAGCGTTAAGTTCCCTCTAATAAAAACTTTTGATTACACAGCGTTAAGTTAGGATCTTGAAGTATTGCCCGGGTTTGAGGAGTCAAGATTCAAAAGTCGCACAATACGAGCAAGTTGCATTTTAGTTTTATACTTTTCTGGTGTCCTAATAATCCATATAGAATTATTTAGACAGGAACAGCTACATTCGTTTAGACAGAAATTAATTAAGAAAAATTGTCTTTGAGAACAAAAATAGAAATCGGTTTCAGTTTCTTGATCCAATTTATGTCTTCATTTCTGATGAAAACACTTTGGAAATTCAAATAGAAGTTTCTTTATTTCAGTTCAAGATGATTTGTCAAACTTGAATGTTTTTCAGAACTTGTGAAGCTAAAAAAGCCCACAAAAGAAAAGAAAAAAAATCTATTGGGTGACTGACTACAAAATGATTATTTACATACATAAAGAAAATCATACTCTACCCAAAAAAATCGTATAACTTCTGTCGAATTATGAATTTCTAAAGCGTACACGTGTTACTAATGTTCTGAGTGTTAGATCAGAAAGTTTGAAAAGTTGGTTATATCGATGTATTGCCAATCACATTGTTAGGAATGAATTTTTAATACCAAATGGGATTTGAAAAATATATAAAAAAGAAACTGACAATGTATATATAAAAAACATCTTGTAATCCTATAACATTGAAAGTGAAATGCAACCTACAAATCACCATGTCAAGAAAAACATGTTAGAAATCTTAAATAAGAACTAGAAAAACACCACCACTAATTTATATAAGAAATATGGGTTAATCTATTGATGTTGAGTTGAAATCTCATTCAAATTAACATATAGCTTTTTTGACCGGTGCATAAAATCGTTGCTCATACAAATTTTGCAACCGATCGATTACAATGGGGGGAGAGACATTAGTGCAGTAGATCATGTGGGAGATTCAGAAGACGCATGATATGGTGATCCTAGAAAGAGATTTGTTATTAGAGAACTAATGTTGTTAACGAATGATTAAACTTGTCCTTTAACGGTTTTAATTCAAACCATACTCAGCCCCAAGCGGTCAGAGACACCAAGTGAGGAGGGTTAAATCATAAACACTGTGGATTCTGTATGTTTGTGTTGTACATCCATTATGGTCACATGTATGTGACTATCCTTAAATGGATAGGTGTCGACGACATTGCCATTTTGGTATCTAGATCCATGCCTTGATTTAGATGCTCTTCTCTTGTAACCGTATTTACCAACTACGTACCAAAAAAAACCAAGAAAGAATAAATAGGTAAGTCATGTCAGAAACATGTATGTCTGATTTGGTAGATATGATTCATAATCGGTGTCACGTGAACTTACGCTCCGCTTTAGTTAGTGGGGATATCTCATTTTGTTTTCCCAAATCTTTACATTTTGATTTACCTTTTCAGCTATTTTAGATTGTTGTTAACATATTGTTCCATTTCATCACATTATTTTATTTTAATTCTAAAGCTGATATCTTGATTTCCTTATTGAGTGGGGCAAAGCTCCCTAAAAAAACACTTTGTCTTCTTCCACCAACAATAATAACACCATAGTTATACACAAATAAGGGGAAATGCAAACAAAAAGGACAATATACAAATAGTCAAATATATATATCAAATTGTTATATAAATTGATGTATTGGTCCATCTACCCAATGTATATTTTATGTTAATTATCATAATCCTTAAAGTTACAGTATCCACATTATTATCACTGGTCAAACAAGAGACCAACAATCAATCGGTTATTACCTTACTATATATACTCGCGTTATATCCAAGACTCCCTAATTGATTACATCTTATTATAAGGTTCCATGAGCCAGTATTACGAATTGAAAATGAAATAATGTACTGTTATACGGAAAAACAAAATGAAAATGCGCGATGATATATGCAAAAGGCAAAAGGAGGAGACTATGCCATCTGTCAAATGTAGCCGTTGCACCTTCCACTTTCTTTTAATTCTTTTAAATACTCTTTTAGCAGTTCCGCAAACGCTCCAATTTTTGCTTCTCTGTACCCAAAAAAAAAGAAAGAAAGTCTTGAATCTCTTGATGCGATGGTGAGATCAATCCAAGAAGGAGTCTTGATGATGTCTTCACCTTCTTCCTCCACAACCACTACCAACGCAACCGACTCCGACGATTCGCTCAGCCCATCCGCCTCTACGAAAAGCTTCGTCCTGAGCACTCTCCGTCCGCCGATCACCGGCGCGTACAAACCACTCGCCGTACTCTCCGCGCACGTCGGCTCCGTTTCTTCCTTAGCGCTATGTGGCGAGTTCTTGCTGAGCGCGTCTCAGGGAAAAGACATCATCGTCTGGCAACAGCCAGATCTAAAGATCTTCGCGAAATTCGGACAAGGCGATGGGTCCGTGAAGGCTCTGGTTAGCGTGGGAAGCAAAGTGTTCACGGCGCATCAAGATAGTAGAATCAGAGTCTGGAAAGTATCTCGGAGAAGCTCGGAGAACGCTTTCAGGCTTGTCGATACGCTCCCGACGACCAAAGATTACTTGGGGAAGTTTATGAAACAGAGTAATTACGTTCAGACGAGGAGGAATCACAAGCGTCTGTGGATCGAACACGCAGACAGCATTTCGTGCCTTGCGGTCCACGCTGGGATCATCTACTCCGGGTCGTGGGATAAGACACTTAAAGTCTGGAGATTGTCGGATCTCAAGTGTCTTGAGTCGATCAAGGCTCACGACGACGCAATCAACGGCCTTGTCGCCGGAGAAGGCAGAGTATACTCCGCGTCTGCGGACGGGAAAATCAAGATATGGGGGAAAGAGAAGAGAAAGCAGATTGATTCATCTTTGTCTTCTTCGTCTTCTTCTTCTAGTTTACATGTTCTGAAGGCGACATTGGAGGGTCGTGCGGAAGTTTCAGTGAACTCGGTGGTGGTTTCCGGCGACGGGAAGTGGGTATATGGAGGAGGATCAGATGGGTTTGTGATGGGATGGGAGAAGAAAGAGAAAGGAAGAGACTTTGAGGAATGGAGATTAGGGTTTGAGATGAGAGGTCATAAGATGGCAGTTCTGTGTATGTGTGTGGTTGGGGAAATGGTGTGCAGTGGATCTGCTGATAAGAGTATTGGGTTGTGGAAGAGAGAAGCCACTGGTATGCTCTCTAAATTTGGAGTCATTCAAGGGCATGAAGGTCCGGTCAAATGCTTGCAAGCTTCTCCCAACAATGTCGGTGCTGGCTTCATGCTTTACAGTGGAGGTCTTGATAAGAGCATCAGAGTTTGGTGGGTACCAAAACAAGACAACTTAGAAGAGAAGAAGAAACAAAGTTTTAAGACATTGTTGATGAATGAGGGATGAGTAAAAGATATACTATATGGTGTTTTTTTTAATTGTGGGTTTTCATATACGTTTTGGTTTATATGTGTAATTTGTTATTCAATTTGTAAAGTCACAGAGGCATTTTTTCAAGAATAAATGATATTGATTCGTTTTTTTTGATGGACTTGTGTCTCCTGCAATCAACAGAAGAAGCTCTGCTCATGTAAGATTCTAGTTATCTGTCGAATTGATAAGAAAAGTCTACCAACTGTTTTGGTCCTAATAATATAGAAAAGAGTAAAGTCTCATGCTTTGGGGTTGCCTTTGCTTTGTATTGAAACTGTAGCAATTGAATGATATCCTCTGCGTTGGACTAAAATATTGTTTTCAAACAACTTTTTGAGCTTTGAACACCGTCCAATTATCAAAGCAGAGAGTTGTGCAACTTTCTCCATCACCATCATGATTTAACCATGTTCGATTAACTGGTTTTTATTAATATTAATCAGATGCACCCATCATAATGGACCAACCTGTTGTTTTGAAAGTGAAGCATATATATAATCTATAAAAAAGCAAAATTTTCTAGTTTTTCAATATAGAAATGAGATGAGAATGCTTTGAAGGGATGCATGGAGCCAAAAACATAAGTGTAATCATGTGTGTATATATGCCTTTCTTTTTGAAGTAGGAATAGATTAGGTATAATGTGATTCATACCTCTTCAGAAAGAAACAATATCATAGTATCAATCCAGCCCTAGTATGAAACTTCATCATCTAAAAAGGGTAACATGTAAACTATTAGTATATACACTTACAGTTTTTGATTTTGAAGGAGAAACAAAAACCTTACTTTTGAAAGCTTAAAACCAACACAAAAAGACATTCCCAAAAAAGTATGGATCATATGAACTACTTAGATGAGTAATTGACCTTCCTGTTCTGATAACCATCTCTTATAGGCCTTGAGCTTCTGTAGTTAGAATTGTAGCCACACGAGTCATCTCTTTCTCTATTTCTCCTACCCCAACCATCACTCGATCGTTTCGCATCCCAGTTTCTTCCATTCGTCTCACTCGCTCTACGTGTTTGCCAACCGCCTGCATTTGCACCATAATCTCTCAAAGCTGTATTCTCAGGCACAAAGCCACCTTTCCATGGATTATAACTCTTTGGCTCCTTATAATCCTGACCATATCTCGTACTACGCCACTCCTTCATCTCCACAACTTGATTCCCCAAGTCCCGCTTTTCCCATCCACCACTTCCCCAACCTCTATCCTCCCACTCTTTACCAGAGCAACCTCCCCAAGTGTTATCTTCTGCTGTCTCCTTTCTACCACTAGGCTTAGCTTCCCAAGGATTGTCGACCACTTCATACTCTCTCGCTGGACCACTTTCAGAACCTTTCGCCTTCTTGTTTTGGTGTCCTGACTTATCCCATCCATCGTCCCTTTCTTTGGTTTTCCATTGGCTCTCCCTCCATTCCTCAGTTCTCAAGCAATCCTCAGATGTCGTATCATTTGCTTTCTCGTTTCCATAACTAGGCTTAGCTTCCCAAGCACTCTCCCTATCTTTTGACTCATCATGGACTTTGTCACTGCCTTCCCATGGAGTCATTAACATACGGGTCTCTTCAATGGGCACTAGGTTACTACAACCACTCCAGTTCATGTCACGACGACCCCGTTTCGAACCAATCATTACCTCATCAGGAGGAGCAAAGTAAGCCCGTTCCAAATCCCTGATCAGTTCCGGGTCAATGGAAGTGTCCCAATCAACTTCACTGATGTAAAGATCCGGATCAGGAAGAGAGATATCACAGTGGAGACCATTAACTTGTGACCAAAATCGCCTTTTTTCATTGTGAAAAGTTTCAGCGCAAGCAGAATCATCCCAAGTGATTACGTTACCTTGGTACCAGCTCTTAAAGTCAGCAGCTTCCACAACTTTTTGCCATGGCACTGATCCAATCACCTCACAGAATTGCTTCTCCCACACTGGAATCCCATCGTCTCCACCATAATAACCTTTGACGAGAAAAAAAAAAACGCAGATAATCTCACATTTCCGTTTGATAAACCAGTGAAGTGTGTTAAAGGGGAAAAAAAATCCAATTTAGGTTAAAAAACGATTGCAGGAGACGTAATTAAGATCGGATGAATGTCAAATACCAGAAGAGGAAGAAGAATGTCGGTCGCTATACCATCGCAAAGGAGATCTGCGGCGTTGGAACCTGGATCGATTGTTCCACTTTCCCATCGAGAAATCTTAACCGATGTGACTGATTTTCCGGAGGAAAGGAAACTGTTGAAACGGGGGGAAACTAGGGTCCGCGGGAGAATTTGGGGGGGGGGGGGGAGAGAGAAACTGAAGGTGACGACGGAACGAATTGGAAATTGCAGAAGGAGAGCAGTGAAGACGGTGGTGGTGTCTATTCAAATTCCGGTTCAGTAACGGCCCAAATTTCATTCAATGTGGGCTATAAATGGGTTCACTAGAGTAGGCTTTATGGCCTTTAAAACATTCTTTGACTATGAACCCTAATAATCGTCTCACATCACCAAAGCAAAGTTAATGACATTTTATATGAAAAAAATGGTCTCCTAAATATAGGTTGGTGAATCTCAATATTTTATTAAAATCATAGAGAATATGTGAATTCTTTGACTGGTTTTATGTAAAAATCTCAAGGTAAAGGGGGAGGAAAAAAAATAAAAGGGTTTTTTCTTTTGTCGATTTACACAATTCACATATGCATAATATCGGTTTTGAATTAAAGCTAGAGATAAAGCATACACACATTTAATAAACCTCTACAGTTTATTATTTTGTATATATGTCTAAAAGTCGAGAAAGAGAATCTTGCCTCTTTTGGGTTTGTTCCCAAATGAAAAGGGAACACTCGAGCAACTTGGGAAATCAAGTCGATTTGTGTTTCATATACTATATTTGTTAGTTTACTACTATTACTTGTTTAAGACCTAATTAAACCATTAGACCATAACGTCGAACATGTATAATAGCCCACGAAAGCGTCATTTTAAGGGCAGAAAATTCAAAAGTCTTGGAACTATTCTCAGCTTTATGTATAGAAAATTACAAAAGACTTATACTGGAAAACGACGCTTGTTTATATTGAAAATTAATCAAAACAAAAATATCCAGAAATTTAACACATTGTCATTAGTGTTCTATTATATGAAAGTCACTCTAAATTAAACCCCACTTGCAGATTCAATTTTCCCGATCAAGGAAGATACCAAGATCAGCTCGTAAAAGGTTTTTCGGCTTTGGGCTTTCTCTTGGGACCTAACTTCTCAAACGTACTAGTCAATCAATTTAATATAGTCAATTATTTCAACTGAAAATGCTTCGAAATTAGCATCCACAATGCAAGTGATTACAATCATGTCCCTCCCATCCTAGGAACTTGTTCATGAACAACATCAAACTCTGGAAAAACTCTTTTCCAAAGTCCAAACAATTTTTCTTAAGTAATTTCAAGTTATTGTTCTACTAGTATTAAGTAAAGGGATTCGAGCAAATTGAGAAAGTAGAGTCGATTTGTGTTTCATCTTTAAAACTTATCTTTTGCTTTTTGTTTCAGACTTAGGTTTAAACTGATGTGTTTCTCTTGATGTTTCAAACTTACGTAATTAAGTAAGCTAAGTGGCCACGTTAACAAGAAAACAAAATGTTGTTAGTTTTGTGCATGTCAACATTACATTCCACATATTGAAGTTCCTCGTTTTGTAACGATTATTGAACTAATTCGATTTTTATTATAAATAGAACCATTGAACTAATTCTAACAATTAATTGACGCATGAATCTGCTGCGTTTATATATTGACCAAACTACTGAACTAGCACTAAAAAAAAAAATTTACGGTTGTTAAATTAATGTACAGAAAATTCGTCATTCAAAAGCTCCACACCAATCAGTAGAATGACGTCGCTTTCCAAATTCGATTCGCTCTTAATATTGCTATTTTTACTCAAAACAGATCCTTCTACTCTACTTTTGTAGAAAATGCTCTAATTTGAAAAGGAAACAAGAAAATTATGAAAGAGGAAAGAGAAAAAATGGGCCCGATTTTAAGACAATAAAAGGTAATTGCACGTTGTGTTGCATTCAACCCTCTGACACCATCATTTTAATTTTAATTTTATTTTTATTTTTTCTCTTCACTCTACTTTCTCAATTTGCTTCCACTCTCCCAGACATCCACGCGCATCCACTGGCTGTGATTCTTACGCGCCGGTGATTATCGATTTCGGAAGCCATAAATAATGGAGCTCTTCGTTTCATTTAATTGTAGTTGGATTCGATTGGATTGTGTAGGTTTCGATTTTTGTTATTAATACTACTACAAAAAGATAATCAGTGTGTACCATCGATTCTCACGCTTTTCAAATTAATGACACTTGATTGTCTTTTCTTTTCCTTGTTAGAGTGGTAATTAGTAGTAAAACATAAGTATTTGGTCTCTTTCATAAATTTATGTCGTTTCAAGTTCACGTTACCACTTACCAACAAATGTTTGGCAAATGCGCAAAGTATGCATGCATGCGTTTGTAGGTCTCTTTTTATCAGACCGGGATTTGTAATCTAAAGAGAGCAGACCATTTTTCTATTAAATACGTGTCATTTTTGCTAACCTTCTTCTCTACATTATCCAAATTTTACCATACGTCTCCAAAATGGCAAAATATATTTTAACGTATTCTTAAGTATTCAAAATTTCGACAACCTGCGTAATAAATAAAATACTCCATACGACCATACTTGTCTAAGATGAAGCCATGAAGGTGTTGGTGTTGCTACTTTGCTAGGTTCAACATTGTCTGAGTAGGTGCCATACATTTAATAAGTTTTTTTTGTTATAAAAATATAAGTAAAGAAAGTATCCGTGCTAATTACATGGGAAAGGACATGAAATTGACATTTCACATACTCATCTAATTTATCTATATAATACACATTATGTAAATATTAAAAACCGAGCATATTTGTGAAGATGTCTCCACAAATCACAACTTCTGGCATATATCTCCCCACACCACATGGCCTGTGTGTTGGCTCGTGGGATCCCATTATTTTCTATTTCGAACTTGTTTTTATTCTCTTTGTTTTATACTATAGATTTATGCGATGAGAAAGTCCGAAACATCTTTAAACCTTAATTAGTTATCTTGCAAATCTTGATTATGGCACCATTTGCATACGTAAGTTCCCAGTGATTACAATTTGTTTTCTTTAAAAGCGACTGGTTCTCTCACACATCACATCATACATGTGTATAATTAAACCCAAAAAGAATAATATGGCCTTCACGTTCGTTTGATCATAGGGAGAGATATGATGAATCGAAGCACCTTCATTCTAAATTTCACATAATAGAAGCGACATAGTTGTAAAGTAGACCACAAGTCACAAAACTATATTTGTAATGTTGCGTTTTAATTCTTGGCAGTCACTCTCTCGCGCGTGGCCCACCACACGCCACTGTCCGTGTCTGTCTCTTTGCTAAATCATGAAGGGGATACACACAATATCACACATTTCATTTAATTTGAATATCTATCATAACTTTAGTCTTTACATGCAACATTCTTCTTCTTCTTTCTTCTTTTTCTTAAATCACGGTAATAGCCATGGATGTATCACCTACTCTTTTTACTTGCACTTTCCACCTCACAAAGTTTTACATTTAATAACGAGGAGGACACAAAACCTACTTCATGAAATCAAATCTCAAGATTATAGTTGAAGAAAGTGTAACCAAAAGTGGATGGATATATCTCTTGTTCAAGTTGGAGAGTGGTTAGAGCTAGTGAGAGGGTAGTAGCAACTAGCAAGGACAAGAACAAACTTACTCTGCACTTTTCAAACCCCAAATTGTGTAATCCCTTTCTTTTGTAAATCTTTTAGAGAGATTACACTTCTTGTCCTATATATATTTATATCAATATCATATCATATTACATCATCTTCTGTGGTCCATAACATAACACATTAAAACTAGAGAAAATGGTACAACAATCTTTCCTTCTTTCTCTTCTCTATCTCTTACATCAATTTTCCTGCTTTATTTTTTACACCTCTGCATCTTTTGGTTATTAAGGGGTCTGTCTCTATATTATCAGTTTTTTTTTTTATCTTTCTTTCTCACCTCTCTTCCTGCAACAACAACAACAAATAAATGATTAACCTAACAAAGATTGTTGTTATGTGTTTCACCATCCATTAATCTATAACTCTTTCAACCTGCTTATATCCCGACACGACAGGCCGGTCCACCCCTACCGGGTAACATTCCGATCGGTGGTAACCTATTTAGATTCATGAAAGCAATGTTAGATACAATTTACTCGATAGCTCAAACATAAACCGTGGTTGAATCTTGAAACCTCGGCATCTGGCAGTTGAAAGAGGTGAAGGAGTCAGAGAGTGTAGAAGGAGTAGAGTTATCGTCATTATCAGAAGAAGGCGACCACAAATCAGATCCATTATTGTCTGCAGACTCAGCAAACAGAAGCAAATGATGGGCCGACGACGCAAATGGACTGTCAGGCAAGTTATCCTCCAACCTGTAAACAATATCCAAAGAAAAACCTATTCAACATCACAGCTTCACATACACAAACAATCCCATGTTCATGAGTAAAACCCTACCTCTCTGGTAGATTCATTGTATCATCATCAGATCCTTCTTTGGGACTTCCTTTCCCTGTCTCTCTTCCTACATATTCTCCAGCTTTCACCGGCAATGGGCGTGGAGACACGAGTGTTTGGCTAAAAGGATTTGGGGAGTGAATGTTTTGTGTAGGGGAATTGAGTTGGAAATGCTTCTTGACGTCAAGAAGCTGCAGATTCATTAGCCTTCTGCTCTGAAGCTCAAGAATCTCTTCTTCAAACTTACTCCTCCACAACACATCTTGGGCGTTGTTATAAAACCCTCTCCCTCCTGCGCCACAAGTAAAATCAGTATAATAGCAAACAAATTTAAATCCTAAAAAGGCAAGAGATTTAGTGTTTGTTTACCTATAGCATCTCTGGGGCTTGAATCAAGGCCTGTTGGGGACAAATCTCGCTCCGTTGTTTGGTTAGTTCTACACGAAAGGATAGAAGCGCAAATAAACACAAGGATTCAAAGAACAATCAAGCCTAAGTATGAGAGTTAATACTACTACTAGTTACCTGTATTTGTCAGGGACTTTGCCTTTCTCCTTGTAAGGCTTAACAAGGACCCTGGAATCACACACAAAGTGAGGGTTTCCTTTGGCGAGAATGCTCTTGACAGTCTCAGGGTACACAAATGTCACAAACCCAAACATCCTCTTTTGCTGATATGGTATCCTCACATCTTGCACTGGTCCAAAAGTACTATACCCACCATGACAACATCTTAAGTCACACAAGAACATACAACATTTTAAACCAAAGAGAAGGTGTGATTGATTGTGTTTGCAGCATTACCTGAAGTAATTGGACACATCTTCCTCCCTGAACCTACTGTCGGCAGGAAATGTCAGATAGATCTGTCTCGAAGCTGGACAAGCCATAGCAGAGAGATCAATCCTTTCAGGCCTCCATCTTCCAAGCTTCTGCAGTTCATCTCCTATCACCAAAGCAGCAGCAGCTCTACACCAAAAATTTACACAAGTTAAAAAAGGGAAAAAAAAACACTTTTGGATATCTCAAATCAAAATGAGTTGAAAAAAAAAGGTTGAACCTTTGAGCATCGCTACTCTGCAAGTTTACGCCTTTTGGAGAGAAAGAAGGCAGAGAAGAGCGAGTCATGAAGTGGTGAGCGAGTCTTGGAGGTACCGAGTTAGACCTAAGAAGCTCGATTCTGCTTGGAGAGCCAACCAAATCGGCTCCTCCATCACTGTGAACGAATCTGCAGCTACTTCCGTTCTTGCAGAAGCCTCTAGCGAAGTAAGAACAGGGTACACCTCCAAACCCTAAATCAGAATCACCATACCCTAAACCGTCCAAAACGCAGCTACCGCTTCTCGCATGCACAGAGCCCAAAAAATCAGCTCTTGGGTTCACATCATCCATGAACTCGAATTCGTTGGTCAAATCCCTAGAAGATCTTCCTCCATTAGCGTAGAAGGGCAAAGAAGCAGGGTTGAGGGAAGAGCCACGGTTGTTCTTAGGGCTAATTAACTCCTCTTGACTCCATGGAGGCCTTGAACAGCTCATGAGACCTAACTCTTTCTTGGCCTTCATTATCACAGAGTGAACAAGAGTCTCGGGACCAAAAGCTAGCCTTATCATCTCTTTCTCACCGTGATCTTGGAGAAGGAGAAGACCCATGATCTTTGATGCGTTCTCCGGGTCTAAGCTTTGGATTCGAGAGAGAACAATCCTAGTTGCTTCGTACCCATCCATGGCTTTTTTTCTCTCTCTTTCTCTCTCTTGTATAAGATTAGAAAGAAGAAGGTAGAAGAGTGATGCTTTTGTAGAGAGAGTGTTTGTTGTCTTGTGTACAGAGAGGTTGTTGTCGTTAAGAGGTCTCTCTGGTTTCTTGTGTTGGATTTTAGTTGAAAGGTGTTTTTTTTTTTAATTTCTAAACTATAATTTTTTATAAACCTTCACTATATAGTTTTTCATCTCTGATTCCTGCGAAACACAAGCAAAATAACAAATGAAAAAGAAAACAGTAGAAAAGTTATTTATTTTCTTCTCGCGTGCTTATAAGTTACAACTGGAAGAGAAGAAGAAACCAAAATAAAATGACACTTTAAGAAAAAGAGTTGGAGAAAAAAAGGGAAAGTTAAAAACTTTTTTAGGAAAGAAAAAGAAGAAAGGAAGGAAGATTTTGCATGCCGAAACCGTAACTTTAATTTTTAGTGATTTTTGCTTAGTAAAAGAACGTTACTAGTTTCTTCGACTGAAGAAGAAAAGTAGATTTTAATTACCTGAAAAAGTCAAAATGATAGACAGTTGAATCTCTGTGGAGAACATTATTCGTACATGAGTGAAAATCGCTGCAGGTGAGGTGACTTTCGGTTACTGCTCCTTTGGGAATTGATGAAGAAAGAAAGATTTTATCACCAAAATTCGCAAGTTTAATCTATCTAGAGAGAGAGAAGCAGAGAGAGAGAGAGAGAGAGAGAGATGTACGTACTTAATTGTGAATGTTGAGTGGATCTGAGAGTGAAGTTTCTTCCGGATTTGGGATCTCTGTGTGTGTATGTGTGAGGATCAGGAGAAAACTCTCTGGTCTTTCTTTCACGAGTGGATGAAGGAGAGAGAGAGAGAGAGAGACAGAGAGAAAGAAAGAGAGAGAGAGATTGTAAACTGTTTTTAAAAGCCAAAAAACAAAAGATGGTTGCATTGCACGTTCTCTGACACAAACTCTCTTTTTTTTTTTTTCATTTTGGACACTGAAGTGCACGCGCCTCGTATTTCACACGCGCCGGTGAATGATATGCAGACCAGCTGTATTGCTGGGGTCTCCACTCTCTCCTACTGTCCCTTTCTTATTTTCATCATTATTTGTTGTAGGGACACATTTTAAGTTTAGTAAACTTTTTGTTAATAAAAGGAAATAAAATCCTCCAGTTTTCATTATAATTTGTTTTCTTCTACTTGTAATTTAATTTGCTTTTATTGTCATTTAAGATAAGATGAGTGAGTAATTAGGAAACATCAAAACATGTCATCCCAATTGTCACTTACTCAGCTTAACCTCTGCTACAATGTTTTTTTCTTTTCTAGTTTTGTCGTTATATTTATTTTATGTCTCCGGTTAGATACTTTGGTTTAAGTTAGTACTGTTGCAGGTAGCCCAGGTATTGCTTAATATTTGGTTCAATCATTATTATTTGCATGATTCATCACATCAAAACTAAACAAAACGTATAATCTGTCTTAGTAAAATCACATGGTATATATATAAATTGTTATATGTGTTGACCAAGTCCATAGGTACTCTCTCATTTGTAGCAATTGAACTACCATATTTAATTTTGTTAGAGAGAGTATGGACTAAATAATATCTTACACATGTACTTTCACATATATATTCAAACTATTATATTTTTTCTTTAATGAAATATTCAAATCTATTGTATTTATAAATTCATGAGCGGGTAGGGTTAGAGATGAAAAGACATCATTGGTATAAATTAAGGTAGGGTAAAAAGAATTAGTATTTTTCAAAATTTCAAAATTTGAAAGGGCCTTTTTGTAAAAGAAGAATGACCCACAAGAAAAAAAGCAATGATTAAAATAGTTTATTTTTTGGGTGTCAAAAGCAGCGGTCTAGTCTAGTCACAGGAGCCGAGGCACCTAACACCTCACTCTATGATTATGTGCTTCAAAATTATTATTATTATAATTATAAACTCTTGCCAAATAATTACCCCCAAAAATCTAACATTGCGGCCTTATCATTGACCCATCCATCAAAATATTTGATTCCCATGGGAGAGAATGATGATTATTATGCGCAAATGTTTGAAGCAAAATTGAATAAAAACTCAATGATTGGGGGAGCAGTCCACACCAACGGATTTTCATATGCTATACACATGCCTTATCCCTTATTGGTTTGGGTTTTCACCATACCCACATATAGAGAATCTATAAATGGACCCCCAAAGATCTTCCAAGCCCACAATCATCATCATCATCATACATACAACTTCAATCCTCCTCGTCCTTCTCATTTCAAATCAATATGTAACTAAATGTTTATGTTTTGGTAACTCTAAATTAGAGACATATGTGAAATAAGGTATAATCTGTGTATGTGTATCCAACGTCTACGCCCTAATTAAACCCGTATATGTATATATATACACAGTAACACAAACTGTAAAAGCTTCAACGTGAGAATGGTGGCGAACTGGGAACAAAAGAGTGAATAACATCAAGTGTTTGCCCATCCTTGCACTCCACTCTTGCCGCCTCACACATCACGTTTCTTGTTGCTACGCTGCATCCATCTGTGTGTTTACACGAGATTGAGATTGTTATAGATAGTATATCGTTTATTTACGTTTTTATATTCCAAATATGTCTTTTTATTATTTACATTTATAGAAATTTATATTTTTGAAAAATGATTTTCATCATTTAGGGTATGTATAAGTTAAAAATATAACTAAAGAACATGAAATGAATTTCATTCCTAATCATAAATTTGTAAAGCTCAAATGTTATTTCCGTTATTCAATCATTCAACTATTCATTTACCATAATGTCTCATCACCGTTCTTTTATAGTATTTACTAGTTCTTCTACTTTTTCCATTGCGGTGTTTTCATCTGATCAGATTGTTTGTTGACAACCACCAATTTCATCTACTATATAAACCAAAACAGAAGGAGACATAACCTTCTTTGAACACAAAAGCAGAGGCGTTGGATTGCTTCTGAAACGAGAAACCACCAAGTTCACCATCGATCCTCCCTTGCACCTCTAACAGAAGAGTCCGGAGTCTGATGATTTCGGTTTCCAACATTGCTTGGCTCTGAAGCTTCCTAATCAAATCCTCGTTCAGAGATTGCAATCTCGTCACTTCATCTTCAAGGTACGTAATGCGAGCCTTCTTCTTCTCCCTATACTTCCTTACTGCCTCTCTGTTCCCACATGACCGTTTCTTGTTGCTACTCTCAGAATGATCATTCTCTCGAGAATCCTGTTGCAACACGAATATTCAAAAGCAGAACCGTTGGATTGCTTCTTGGAACACAAAAGCACAATCCATTCAAATATCACCATGAACCATATCATATAATAAAGTTTAGATGTGTATTACAGGGATGATGAGATGAGTGTGAGTGTGGAAGCATGTGTGGGAGTGAGAAGCATCTTCTGGGCCTGGAGGGTTGCAGCTGTGAGTGTGACTACATCCTCTCGATGCTCCATCCCAAACCTCGACTTCTTCCTCATCCATCTTAATCTTTGATTCTCTAAACTCCAGATCTTCAAAGAAAGCACCTGTTCTGTTCAAAATTGGGATATGGAGTTATGTGGATATTATTAGGGGGTCTTTGATTAAAGCGATGATGCTGTTGAAGAATCTGTTCCTGAGCAACATAGTCAACTATCTAAGATTTTGTTTACATGGCCCAAGGAAGAAACGCTTACAGAGAAAAGTTGGTTTTCTTCTGAAATCCTTGCTTAAAAAAAAACAACTAATAGACTCAAATTCAAAAAGACAGATAGGAAATTCTATTTTGAGATTACAAGAAAAAAGTAGAGCAGAGCCGATGTTGGTTTACCTTGAAACGGTCTCTATAAACCTTTCTGGAAGAGGCATAAGCCATTTACCAATTACCATATCTTAACGCAATTAAATAAAATATTCCAACAAAAAAAAAAAGGAGAGAATTGGTTCTTTAGTGTCAATTGTCAACTTGTAAACGAATAGAACAAAGTAGAAAAGAAGACTTTTCTCATGGTTTTCATCGATGGCTTGTCACGTTTTGTAAGATTCTATGTCAGTTTTGTCGATTATCACCATCATCTTCTTCCCTTCCCGAGACTTAAAAAATTTCAGAAGCAAAAGCAAACAAGTCGTGGGGTTTAGTGATCGTCTCTTTGTGTTACACTTTTGTCGTTGCCAAATTGCTTCCTAAAGGACTCAGGAGGCTGATACTGCTCATACATGTCTTCCTCATTTTCTTCATGGTTCCTTTATCTATGTCTTCCGTACATTCAGTCGGCATCACGTCTTTCTTCATCGCCTGGCTCGCTAATTTCAAGCTCTTTCTCGTTGCTTTAGGTCGAGGTCCTCTCTCTTCAAACCCTAAACCCTTCTCTCTCCCTGTTTTCTTAGCAGTCCCTTGCTTGCCCATCAAGATTCAGCTGAGCCCTAAACCTCCTGCATCTTACGCCCATGGAGATGGAGGATCCAGAGAGGGTCCCCTGAGTTATACCACAAAAGGCGGCTCTTTTGGTTGTCATCACAAAAGTCTACGAGTATAGCAGCAAACTCCCAGAGAATGCCGTGTTGACTCTCTATGCGAATCATACCTATTTCGCTCTGGAGCTCGTCCTAGCTGCCACGGCCGCCGTGGTTCGTACAGTGTTGGGTCTTAAGCTCGAATCACAGTTCAACAAGCCGTACCTGGCAACATCACTTCAAGATTTCTGGGGAAGACAATGAAACCTGTCGGTCAACGGAATTCTAAGGCCTACCGTGTACGAACTGTCTTGGGCCGGAACTGGTCTCGGGTTCCTGCTGTTTTCGGGACGTTCGTTGTCTCAGGGCTAATGCACGAGCTCATCTTCTTCTACATTGGACGGTTGAGGCCTGATTGGAAAATAATGTGGTTCTTTCTTATAAACTGATTTTGACGATTGGTTTTGTGATGGCGACGGGCTTGTGGCTGTTTTTGCCAGCGTTTAAACGGTGCAATATGTTTGAGAGGGCACTTGAAGAGTACGCATCTATAGGCGATGTTGTAGCCGAGATCAGCAAGAGAGCATGACAGCATCTTGAGTGATCTCTATTGCGACTTATTTTTGTTTTTTAGCATTACAACAATACCAAAGTTTCTGCAACTCGATCATTTACATGGAACACGAATCAAGCGAAAAGTGGAAGTTTATAAAACTATACATTAAGCCTTGCAAACAGGGGATATGGAACTAAAGACGAGGAGAAGAAAACCTCACAAGTAGAGACAAAAGCATGCAAAATGGATCAGCAAGATCCGCCTCTGTTACACGTCTTAAATCTGTCTGAGTTAGATTTGTCGGCAACTCCTACAGCTAAAGCTTTTCCCACTAATAATTTAACGCACAGGGAGTTGCTTTCTTACTGACTATGGTTCATAAAAGTCCAAGCTTTCCGCGGAAGATCAGTTCCACTTCTGCACGAAGGCTTTCCACGTCTGCAGCATAGTCTCTCATGTTTTCATCCGCCATTGATTCCTTCAGCTGCAGCTTCATTCTCTCTAATGCTCCTTCCAACCCGCAGAAGTCTCTGAGAATCAGAGGCTCTATGGATTTAAGTTGAAGAAGATTCTTGATTGCTTCAAGAGCCTGAAACACATATCTCGAGTAACATAAGTTAGAAAAAGATGTGCGGCAAGATTCATTAGAGGCAAAAAAAAAGTTATGGGGCCCTGTAAGAGTTTCACCTTCTCTTGGAGGTCAAGATCAAGCACAACGATCAAATCGACTACGGACTGTAGGAACAAACGATCACTGAATATAGGAAGTTCAGCTTTCTCTGTGTTTTGTAGTTGAAACTCAGCCAAATCACCCACTAAGAATACAGCTTTCCGTCTCAGTTTAATATCCAAGCTCCCATTGCTCATTACATCCTGCAGAATGTAGAAACGTGATTGATTTTTCCAATTCCGAGAATTTATAAACAAAACCTCATACGATGTCTTTCTGCTTTGCTCACCTGGAGCATAATGTATCCCTGTGCTGCATAAAACATGTCCTGAGCAGCTATGTTGTTCCGAATCAAAGCAGAAACAGCAAAGAGTGCTTTCACAGCTTCTTCTTCAGAACTGGAGTTAACCATCTTTATCAGTGTTGTTAAAGCCCCAAGCTGAAGAACCTGTTACCAAATTCACACAAGAAGAAACATGATTTTCGTTTCATATGGCTTCTACACACAGTTCTGCTCTGCAAGAACAACGAAAAACAGACCTGCTCTTGAACAAATGGGTTGTTCTGGCTGGCCTTCCCGAGCACCCAAGCAGCTAGTTTCCTAACATCTGGGTCAGAATGAGTAAGCTCTCCAGCGACAACTTTAAGCCCTCCTGATTTGCTCAAATCTGCACAACAGAGCAGTATGATGAAAACTCAGCAAGAGCAATAACTGATCAGACTTATGTGAACTCCAACCCGGAAAAAAATACACAATATAAGAGATTTAATAGCAAGCAATGGCTTCACGTTACCATTGGCATTATCAATGGGTTCAACGAGGATCAAAAGCTCCTGCAAAGCACGGTGGCGATCTTCCAGAGACAAGGACGAATTGTTCAAGTCAGATACGGCTATTTGCATCAACTGTGCATCTGAAGGCAACTTAAGCTTTTCCACCAGCTCCTATTCAAGAGTACTTCTATATGAGATTCCAATACAAAAGGCAAGCATAAACTAACACCAGAGACACAAATTTCGCACCTTTAACTCCAATTGACGCTTCTGTAACTCATCCATAGACATCTTCTGTGTATCTTTAGCTGCTTCCTTAAGTGTCGCAGGATCCGAATGACCTACCGGAGATATCCAGACGTAGAATCAGATCTAGAGGTAAGGTAGTAAAGACGAAGAACGGTGGGAAAAATACTTTACCTATAGCCCAGTGTAACATCCCATCCAGGGAAGAAAATCCACCGTCGATTTGATCCTGCTCTCCGATTACCACACCGGAATCTTCTACCAACTCCGCCTCATCTCTCGCAGTGGACCAGACCATTCCTCCAGAAGAGTTAACTTTCTCAGCGCTTGAGCGACCCACCAATGCGATCACAGACAATAGTAACAGACATCGGAATAAGTAGATCGCCGTCATCTCGTCTTTCCGGCGGCAAACAAAATCAGTAAAGAAAGGCTTAAGGTTTTTCCCGTTTTGCAATTCAGCATTTCTAGTTTCAGATTTTATATGAAACTACTACCTCTTACAACGTGTCCAGCCAATAGTGTTGTTACACGTCATCGCATCTACCGTCACCCTCCGTCGCGTTTAAACAAGAAAGTACCACGTGGCAATATATTGACCGTTGATCAGGAAGGTTATGTGATTGTCAATGGTCATGATGAATAATTAATTTCTGGTCAATATGTAAACAAACTAGTGTTGTTAATGCAGACTGCAAGGTTAACATAGAATAGGTGTAAACTGATAAATTATTATTTATTGGGTACACAAATAGAGTACTGATAAATTAGAGGGGTGAGTTTGGCATAATTAAGAAAAGGCATATTCAATAGAACAAAAAAGAATCATGACTCCACCACTTCCTTGAGTCTAATCAAAATTTCCCTTAATTACCAAAATGACTTCTCACGCCACCAGACTCAACACCTTTCCCTTTCTGCTTCTTCCTTCTCCATTCTCCCTTCTCTCGACTCCATGGGTTATCTCTCCTGCAAGGCCGGATCCGCCGTCGCGATCGTAATCTCGTCTTCCGCATCCACCTCCGGATCCATCGCCAGCAAAGCTTCTCCTTCCGAATCGCCCCCAGAAGAGCGCCCCAAACTGCGCCGCTTCCTGCATCGCGACCTTGAAGCGGCCACCGGCGGATTCGTCATCGAAAATCTGCTCGGACGTGGAAGCCACGGCAGCGTCTACAAGGCGGTCATCGGTTCCCGTCTCGTCGCGGTCAAGAGGCCTTCGAAATCCAGGGAAATCAGCCGGGAGTTCCACAACGAATTCGAGATTCTCTCGAGGATCCGGAGCCCTAGGTTCGTGAATCTCCTAGGTTTCAGCGCCGATAACTCCAAGGATCCTCTTCTCGTGGTGGAATTCATGGGCAACGGAAGTCTGTACGACGTGCTTCACTCGGATTCAGCTTTGAATTCGGGTGCGATATCGAGCTGGGGAAAGAGAATCAAAATAGCTCTTCAGATAGCCAAGGCCGTGCATCTGCTACATTCCCAGGAGCCACCGATCATACACAGAGACATCAAATCGGCGAACGTCTTGATGGATAAGAGCCTCAACGCGAAGCTAGGGGACTTCGGTTTGGCGATCAGATGCAATGCGGATGATCAGAAGGTGAAATCGACTCCGCCTGCAGGAACGATGGGTTACCTGGACCCAGATTACGTCACGGCGGATAGATTGAGCACCAAGACGGATGTGTTCAGCTTCGGTATCTTGCTGCTGGAGATAATCAGCGGAAGGAAGGCCATCGACGTCAGATACTCGCCGTCGTTTATAGTGGATTGGGCGATCCCGATGATAAAAAGAGGGAAAATCGGTGGGATATATGATCCAATGATCGGTCCTCCGGTGGACGTGAGCGTGAGGAACCATCTGGGATTGGTGGCGGCGAAGTGCGTGAGAACTTGTAGAGAGAAACGGCCGGGAATGGAGGAAGTGGTTGGGTGGCTCACGGGGCTGACCAAGTCGGTTCGGTCACGACGGTGGGATGATTTAGTCATTGGGAACCCGTGTATGATGGTGGAGACGGTGGGCCGGCCCGTGGAATGATTTTAACTTTTTTTAACTTTTCAATCAAGTGCTTCGCTTTGAAGCAATTTTTTTTTTTTTTTTTTTTTGATTGGTCAATTTATTCATTCAACATATAATATAGTAACGTTTTAATAAGCATACTGTAACATCAGATTGCGTATGGTAATGATGGAATCATCTCGTAAGAGAGTACGTTATCCGAAATTCCGACTGGTCCAAAGTCAATACATTATGCTTTCCCTCAGAAAAAGGGCAAGTAAATGTTGCACCTACAATAGAAGCGTATAGTGTATTGAATTATACATGCGTCTCATTCAAGCTAAAGCGACAAAAAAACAAAAATTAAAATCTTAGAGATTGCATTTTAGAGATAAATAAGATAACAATAAATCTACCAATTCAATCACAGAAGATTATCCCTTATGTATAACAACATGAAAGGTAGTCTGTTTTTTTTTCCTTCTTTCACAATAATCAGATACTGTCCTTCTTTCACACAATTGGCCTCAACTTTGATAATTTGGTTTAGTGTTGCAACCAAGCCACAAGTGCACTCTCAATTAGAATTACAACAGAGTGGTACTCTTTGTCCTTTTTTACACTCAACATAAACTATGCTGTAAGTGTAGCAAGACAAACTATACTGCTAGTTTACAATATATCGTCTCTCAAAGTTCATGGGGGAAAAATGCATAGACTGGTCCACATGGAATCCGACTCTATAATTTGATATCCAAACCCGTGACAGGTGATTATATAAATACGTTATCATTCAAGGTTTCAATCTCATAGATCCGCCTACTCTAAAAATTGCTCTGGCTCAATGGAGGCCTATTACCTATATATGATTAGATTTTTCCAAAACATAAAAAGAGAATAAAGTTTTATTTGTTTTTTTCCATTAGGTTTTAAAGTCACACACATGCGTAGGATTCATTGCACAACCTAAAAGCTACTGATGTGCTTGAAGTTATGTACCTAACCCATTTACTTTCATCCTCTTGTGATCTGGTTCTTACAAATTCTTTTTACTAGAGCAAATAATATCCCTTATTATCATGAGACCGGTCAAAATACAATGAAAAGTGATCATGAATATGAATATAACGCTTGAGAAGTTATGGCGTCAGTGGTTTTACGGAGGAGAGATGTGAATGGTTCACAGAGGATTACAAAATGAACTTTAGGTTTGCAACTATGAGACCAAGAGGTCATAGCGTATCTATCGACCAGCCTATAAACGTGCTCGTGCTATCTTTACCAGTTTTTTTCGTTAAACGTTGCACTCCTCTCCCTAATAGTAATACCCTCTGATTTATAACTTGTACGTAAGCCAGCTCATTGTTGATATAGTATTGATGATTGAGTACGCAAACACAAAGAAAACGATTACTTATGAATTTTTGACTTTTTTTTTCTTTTTGTTTCGTTTTGTATTGATTTCTCCTTTTGTATAATTATTATCACTTATCACTTACCACATTCCTGGATTGTGTTGAATTTTCTTCAATTTCGTAAAACACATACAAAGTTTAAAATATGTATTATAATCTTTGTAAAACATGTATAAAATGTAAAATATGTATTCTAAACTTTGAAGAACAGATTTGAAGTTTAGAAGACGTATTCTAAAATCTATAGAACAAAAAAATATATTTACTTTTTAAACTAAAAATTAAGAATTTTTGTATTGTAGTGTTTTTTGAGTTTTCTATTTTTTTTTGTTTCTAAAATATATATTTTTAAAATAATTTAATTAATAGATTTAAATTAATTTAGTTAAAATATGGATAAAAGATTAGAAAGTATAATTTCCCAAATTAATAGTAAAAGTGTCCTTTGTTTTTCAGTTTCCATTTTAGGGAAAATAAATTCAATTATCATTACTATTAGACTAATACTCGCACCTATGTGCGGGTTTTTTTAAATAAAATATATTTTGTTATAAAAATAAAATATGTCTATGTGAATTTCATACTTATAAAACTTTTTGAATATAATATATTTTTTGAATTCATTTTTACCGTATCCAATAGGTGAAAGATACATTAATAATAGCCTCGACCAAAATGATGAATTTGGTGTCTAGACTTGTCTAACGACTCTCTACCTAAATGTTCCTCTGTATATAGCGGACTTCCCAATGAGTGTGAGCATATCTATTCTCTCTAAGCGTCTCTCGGATGTGACAACTCAAAGAGAAATGTGTATAAGGAAAGAAGAAGAGGTCAAGGTTGAGAAGAAAGGTCGAAGATCTTCCAAGCATTCCTCGGAGGCGAGAAGCGGAAGATCCTCTAACGTTCCCTCAAAGGAGCGCCAACTAAGGTAAGCATTCACTTCTTCTTTATCTCTTTACTATATCCCCATTAAGAGAGAGTTCTACCTCCACTATCTCAATGGTTCATACATTTCACATTTTCTTTTGCCAAATGATAGAAGAGTATCACGATCCTTGGACGGGATATCCAAACTATTAAACAATCACCATCCGTCCGCCCTCTTGATTATCTGTTCACTACGGGACGTAATCTAAATTGTGCATCAGAGAACTTTCGGGAGGAAAACCTATTTCCGGTCTCCCAAAGGCCCGATTCACCCACTGCGAATGTTTGCAGGACCCAAAAAATTTCTCATCCAGGGAGTATATACCGCTCAATCCTCTAGGCCTAATCTAAGATGCTCAGTTGTATTACTCGGACGAACACACACATCCCCGTAAAAAATCCATAATTTTCTCACAAACAATATTACTTCACAAATATAATAATTGAGTTTTTTATATCATATATATATATAGTTGTATAAAGCTATATTTTATATATTTTAGTTTATGGTATCAATTAATTTATAACACTATATACTATTTTTGGAGAGATCTATCAAACATAATGATGATTTTATTTTAATAATTATTACTTTTTTTATTTTACTTTTAAAATACCATCAAATATGACTATTATACATATTATGCAAATAATAGTTTATTTTCTTTCTTTTTTATATTCTTTTATCGTCAAATTATAAATATATCTTATTTTTAAATAAATATATGTTTGTTATGTAAATGGTTCATTCATCATCAAAGTTTCACGAGCATTATCATTTTTTTTTCTTTTTTGCTAAAAATTGCTTTGAGAAATCATTTTCCGTTTTTCACAATAAAAAGAAGTAGTTTTCTCTGGTTTCTTTATATCTTAAATTATTTTTAGCTCAAATTCAATTAAGTTTTATTATTTAAAATCATAAATAAATAAATGTTTCAGATTCCATAAATTGTAGTTTTATATCTAATTAATGAAATTTATTTAATGATAATTATTTATTGAATTGTTTTAATTTTAGTTAGCCACTTGTCACTTCTAAATTAATCTAAAATGCTGATGTGTCAAAATGCTGGAGAGGGTTATTCCCTATTCATATCTTTATACTTATAAAGCACAAGTCAGTTGACAATTGTGAGATTGACAAGTATCTTTTTTATGTATTAAATTAATTTACTTTTTGTTTTTTTATCACAGAAATTTGTGTTTTTTTAAACAATTTTTTTGCATAACTACCTATGATCTTCAGTTTAACTTCCCATTTTATAAAGCACACATTGTCATCCTCATTATATATATCAGAAATGTTTAGCCCATATAATCCCTTAACAATTTGCAAAGAAAAGAGCAGTTACTTTAGGTAATTTATTAATTTTTGATTAACAAACTAAATCATTTTGTACATATTTAATTATTTATATACCAAACACTAAAATGTATTATTATTATTATTATTATTATTATTATTATTTTATATTTTAGTTAACATTTATATATTTATTTCAACTAATCAATGAATATTTTAAAATTTATAAAACATAACTTCTTACTACTATATAATATTTTGGATAAGTATGTTTATTTCTCTTTTCTATTATCCAATTCTCAAATTTAAGATATTTCAATAGTAAAAATGTTAAACTGTTTTAATTTCAAACATATTATCTTTTCTCAATTTTATAAAAAAATTATTATTTAAATATTTTAAATATATTATCTTTTATATTAATTTTATTAATTAAATCCCCCTGCATAGCAGGGGGTAAAATACTAGTATATGGTTAAAGCAGGAAGGTCTCTCCTCCTCGCAACAACCCAAAACGCGAGAAAAAAGAAAATGGGCATTACAGAGACCGGCGGCGAGTCGTCGGCGAGAAAGTTACGACGCAACGTACCAACGCCGATCGAATCTTTGGACGCTGACCTACTATGCACCGTATTCTCTTTTCTCAATTTATTCGACCTCGTTCACTGTACCGTCGTCTGCAATTCCTGGTACTTCCTCACCAATCCAATCCCTACCTTTTTTTTATTCCCCCAATTTCATGGGGTTGAAGTTTGAATTTCCCGCAGAGAAAAACCAGTTGAGATTTGTTTGAGTTATTTTGCAATCACCTTGTTGAACTTATCGAACTTTCTCTATTTGATATTCAGGAATGCTGTAATCAAGAGGCTGAAGCTGATACAAGCTTCATGCAGGAAGATGCATCAGCTGGGTTACACGTCACTGGATCGACCAGCTGAGATAGACCTGGAGGATTTCGCAATGAAGCATCACAAGATGGCTTTACTAAGGGGTCGAATCGATATTGAGCGATGGGAAGCTCATTCACACAGGTGAGACACTGTTCCAATTCCAATTCCAATTCCACTTGGTTTTTTTTTTTTTTTCAGTGTTCCATAAATTTCTAATGCACTGTATCTCAGATTTTCTCAGTGTCGAATGAAGAAGGGTTTGCTTCTTACTGGTGTAGGTGATAAGGTAAACATTACTAACTGTGATTTGGCTTTTTGAATATGCTATTTGATTGTGTATATTCCATCTCTCTGTTGTCTAGCTAATTAAGGGATCTGATTACTTTGTCAGGTTATGCGTCTCTGGTCATTAAACAGCTACAAATGCATAGAGGAATACTCCCTTCCTGATGCTGCTTCCTTGATCGACTTCGATTTTGATGAGAGTAAGGTAAAGAGTACACTCATATGTTAAGAGTAGGACTTTCATTATCATGGATCAAGAAGAATGTTCATTAGCTAGAGTTGCAATGAGCTAAATAACGGATTAATGATAACCTTAGCCGATTCATTGATTTGAACTTCTGAATGCAAACTATCTCGAGCAAAGGCATGATCCCTAACTTTGATTTCTCCTTGTTTCAGATTGTTGGCTTGGTTGGTACCCGCATTAGCATATGGAGGAGAAATGGACAAAGAAGCATCTTTCCATCTCGTCAAGGCACGATTCCTAGGGGACTTTGTATGCGGTATGTCCAAAAATACTCTTGAAATATTGAGTTTAGTAGATATATGAGCTCCCCTTTGCTATGATACTTCAACTTTGCTACCTAGCGCTTGTAAGATTGGCTTCGCTATCCACGCTAATGATTTTTGTTTTTGTTTTGTTTTCTAACCAGTTACATTGACCCAGAAGCTATAGTTGGATGCGAGGATGGAACAGCTCGAGTGTTTGATATGTACAGTAAAACATGTTCACAGATCATTAGGTAAGCTATATATTCTATGTCTATTGTGTTGTGGAACTCCGAAAGTGAAACTGTTTTAAATACTCTTTCGAATTGACAAATTTCTAATCAAATTGGATATCGCAGGACTCACGGTGGGCCAATAACGTGCTTATCTTTGAGCGACAATCAAATATTTCTTAGCGGGTCTTCGCTCGGGAGAGTAACAGTGTCTGACCCTTTGCTGGATCAACCAGTGGCTACTCTTAAATCCACGATAACTGCAGGAGGTAAGCTTTAAAACTCCATTTCAGATTTGCATCTCCAGTGAGAGAATTGCCTAAAGCAAACCCTCTCTTATTCTTCACAGGTATACAAACCATCTGTTTTAACCTAGGCTCCAATCTCGCCTTCTCCGGAACAACTGCTGGATATGTTTCATGCTGGGACCTCAGGTATGTTAAAAAGGAAACACGGTTTGGTTTCTTTTAAATTGGGCATGTTTTGAGATGTGTTGTAACCATTTTTTTTACTACAGGAAAATGAGCCAGTTGTGGGAAAAACGAGTGAGCCCTAACGTCGTGTACTCGATACAACAGTTTAGGAATGATGCGTCGGTAATGGTTGCTGGTGGAATAGACGGTGTGCTGCGAGTGATTGATCAGAAGAGTGGTCGAGTTCTATCTAGCTGTGTGATGGACGATAAGGTCTCAACAGCTCCGAGAAGGAACAACCAAGTGGTGGTGGAGAAAAGGAGAGGAAACAGAGTTTCTGAAGACACTGAAATTGATAACATCGAAAGGAAAACTCGGCCTCAGATCAGCTGCTTAGCAATGGGAATGAAGAAAGTAGTAACAGCTCACAGTGGTAAATTCATAAGCGTATGGAAATTCAATCACTCGTGAAGTCATACTTTGTATTCGTGACAAAACTGGGAACAATGGCATTATAAATGATTCAAAACCCGTTGATTTGTTGTAAGAAATACAAAAGTTGAAAACACTGGAAAAAAAGTAAACAGATTCGTCTACTTGCTGGCTTTTTTTGATGGCTCAGCTTGAGATTCGGCTTTGAGGATATTAAGTTGACCACCTTCTTTGCAAGCCGCATTGGCTGCTTTCACTTCATTGCAATGGTTTATGAATTTCGTTAGCTCCTGCTCAAATCACAACTATACAATTTTACTTTTTTGAAGTATGAAGTTTTGATCAAAATCGACTCAGATTGAAGAAAAGGGAAAAATTACCCGATCGGTGTCCATCTCTTTCGTTGTCTTTGATGGTTTCACATTTCTCTTCCCTGGAAGAAGAAGAAATTTGATAAGAATCTGCGAAACAAAAATCCTCAAGGATTCATGTGAATTACCTTTACGGGTTTGAATGGATTTGCCATGGCGATTTTGAGCAACAGCCTTCCTCTTCTTTTGGCCTTTGAACTGATTGCTCTTCTGCGTCATCGTTGATCGTCTCTAGGGTTTCTGTGTCTCCACACTTCTTCTGTCAAGAGTTTAGTTGTAATAGAAGAAAGCAACACAAAGGCCTTTATAATGGGCTCTTTTAAGGCCCATTTTCTCATTTATGGGCCCAACTTAGCGGCGAGCTTTTTTCGAGCGAGAAGATGTCACCACACGGAGATACAGAAAGCGGTAAAATCCTTCTTCTCCTCCAAAAACCCTTTTCCCATTTTCGGAAGGTTCCTTCACAATCCTTTCTTCGCTTCTTGCTCTTGGATTTCGCGCTTTTTCGTCTACGTCTTCGAATTGTGTATTGATTCTGTTACCTTTTGTTGATTGTGAATGTGTTTTCCGCTCAGGTTAAAAGCTCCTTCGCTACAGTTGTTTCAGTGGCTTAATGACGATGCATCTGTGTCATCACTCCCGTTTGCTATGGAGAAATCTCTGTTTCCCTCGGAGAATTGGAAATTTATGCAATAGAAACGCCTCTATTATCTCTCCTTCCCTTGCACGCGTCGCGAAGGTGATGCTTACTTAATACTGCGTCGTGCAAGTCTCTGAGTTATATCTAGCTGTGTTCTTACTGAGCTGATTAGCGTAAGATTTAGTGGCTAGTGTGCAATCGTTACGTAATATTCGGGGTTTTCTTATTCGAAATTCAAATGTTTCTTCTGGGAACATGATGGCTTATCTCATTTCTTCCCGATTTATAAATCCTGCTTAACTCAACAGTAGCCAAAAATTGAGTTCTGTAAACTAGAAACTGAGCTTTTTGTGGTATAATCATTCTTTCTTCTAAAGCTCCTTGGAGTTTTTAGTCCAATGTTGATACTCACGTATGTGGAGTTCAGTGTTATTGCAGTTCCACCTCTAATTTGGACACAGCTGTTTCTGAGTTCTCCAATAAGGTGGCTAGTGGCAGTATATCGACTTCTTCCGAAAGTGAACATGTTGTTCCGGATTCTATAAAATTTCCCTTCAAATCAGAAGAAAGAACAGCAATTAGTAGTAGTGCTACTTCCTCAAATGGCAGAGTGATGCTTATTGATGGGACATCCATTATGTACAGGGCTTACTATAAGCTTTTAGGTATGCTTCTCATGTATGTGTACATACAATGTAATTTTATTTTTTATCGGGTCGCGCACTTACTGACATTTAATTGGGGCAAAGTGCAGCGAGGTTGAATCATGGTCATCTGACTCATGCTGATGGAAACGCTGACTGGGTTTTAACAATATTTTCAGCTCTTTCTCTTGTAAGTGAAATCTTTCGTACTGTGCTCGAGATGTTCATTTATATTGTACTTAAGTCTGTTGATTGAAGATAGCTTCTTGTTAGCATTTAGGATGGCTGATCAAATAATCATGGTTGTTGAGAGTTGTGTTTCTCAACTTTCGGTTTAAGTATCTCTTTCTTGTTTGCTGTTCTAACTTTAGGATTCGTCTTCTTACCTTTTCTGCATTGTATTTTCATTTACAGATAATTGATGTTCTGAAGTTTCTCCCATCCCATGTGGCGGTATATTCCAATTCCATTTTATCTCTCATTTCTATATTTCTGTGTTAATCAGATGAAGTTCTTGTAGTTTTTCTTTTTCTCACATTTGCTTAGTGCGTTATGTTGAGTAGCCCCTGCTGACTTAATTAACTATGTTTATGCAGGTGGTGTTCGACCATGATGGTGAGTCAGAAAGCGGGACGTTTAGCTATCTAGCTATTTTCTGTGCTGTTGTAGGAGGAATTCAGGTTTTTTTGGGAGCTTTTAGTGTCTATAGTTAACCACTTTTAATTTGTGTGTCAAATGATATGGACAAATTCATTGATAAGCCCTTAATTTCGATAGTTATGGCCTCTGAGTTTCCTTATTTTTCGTACTCGACTGTGTGAATGCTTGCCCCTTATCGGTTGTGGCTAATTGCTGTGCAAGCCGTCTATAGATGTAATATTCATTATCTGTTCTCTTGTTTAATAATTGCGTTCAGATTGTTGAGTGCCGTGTAGTAAACTTGCCCAGAACTTGAATGGATTTTGCTGAGTGTTGACATTTTCAAGTTCATTTGTTTCATAGTGGTTGGTAAAAAGTTTATGATTTCAACTGCTGGCCACCACTGAATTTTTTTAATTCGATAGGCCTAAGAGAAAGCAGGTCTCCACCTAGATAGAGCTATGTTTTAGGGCCAAAAACTTAATTACTTGATCTGGATAATCATTACTGTACTATTGATGGATAGTGGTAATCTGACAAATTTAGTAAAGAGGTTTATGTGAGGCAAGAAGATTAAATGGTTTGTTGGCCTGTACTTTTCTAGTTTACTACTTTTTTGACAAAATAGAGTCTTTTTCAGGAGTTGCTTATGGCAGTACTTCTAATTCATCAAATGGCTATCATTCTGCAAAAGGTAAGCTCCATGTATTTGGTCAAACTATAGTTAATGATGTTAGTAAATCAGTTGAGAGTATAAGAAATGGATACTTTGCATGAGAGTTAACAGTTAAGTTAGTATGCTGACTCAATGGTTATGAATGTGGTATCATCACTGAGGATCTCAAATTGATTAACAAGCCTTCAGTAATATTTTACTTGTAGTTTGAACTGGTTTCCTGATGTATGCCTAGGAGAAGCTATTCAAAATATTATGGCTTACTTGCCAAGGGTGACATCTGAAGGGAAATGCTAGCTTTTTTCCTCCTTGGGTTGTTTGCTTGCAGCTTTTTGGTAGTCATACACTTTGGGTTAGAGAATAGAGGGTCCAGTATGACGATGTAAACTAAATTGATTTCTAAAAATATATATGTTAGTACGTTACCGATGGGGCATGTCTATGCTGTCAATGGGATGTATATCTATTTGGCTCCAATGCTCAGTCTGCTGCTGTATTTTGTTGTTACTTACTTACCGTTTTGTGCATACTGACATAGATATGCATTTCCACTACTCTCTCCTTCTAAGTGATGAGAGCGCTTGTCTTCTCATAATTGTACATTTTAAGGCTTTTTCTGCAATCGTAATCTCGACATGATTCTCCCTTTCCTTTTTCCTTTGTGCAGCGTGTGAAGGATAATAAATATGTAATCTCATTAGTGTCAGACATATCTTTATAATGTGCTTTAAATTGTACAGGCATGAACTTCCGTCATACTCTCTACCCTGCCTATAAAAGGAATCGTCCTCCCACACCTGATACCATAGTACAAGGACTTCAATATCTCAAAGCGTCCATCAAAGCAATGTCTATAAAGGTTATAGAGGTAAATCGTACACATGATTGTCATATCTCGTTTTATTGTGATGATTACTCACTAATGGGTAGATATTCTATGAAGACAGGTGCCAGGTGTAGAAGCTGATGATGTTATTGGAACACTGGCTATGCGAAGCATTGGTGCCGGTTTCAAAGTAATCATTTTCAGCTATTCAAGAAGTGTTATCTGCTATTTTAATGCTCCGGGCCTGTTCAATTTGTCCTTTTCCTAGATGTGGACTGATCATTTGTTTGTTGCATCCTTACAGGTACGAGTCGTCTCTCCGGACAAAGATTTCTTTCAGATTCTATCTCCCTCGCTGCGTCTTCTTCGGATAGCATCACGTGGATCAGAGTAAGAAATTCATGTTAGGTGAATCGTTGTCTTATTATAGAATTTTGCGCAGTATAGAAACCGTGCTCGACTCTGGACACATTTTCTTATGTAATTATGATTTTAATTTGGCTTCGAAATCTCTTTCTGATATTTCGTTGCTGTTTTGTATTCACTCACTGGTGTCAATGCTACTTCTTCTTATGGCCAGGATGGTTTCCTTTGGAGTAGAAGATTTTGCTAAGAAATTTGGAAATTTGAAGCCAGAACAGTTTGTTGATATCATCTCCCTTGCTGGAGACAAGTCTGATAATATTCCAGGTTACGTCCACATCATCTACTCATTACGAAATTGTTTCTGATATTATATTTTGGACACGTTCCTTTCGTAGCTGCATTTGTGAATATGGCTAGATTCAGAAGAATTAGCAAAAGTGCACACAAAGTATGGCTAAAGTGATGTAATGATGTCTGTGTCACGTGCAGGAGTTGATGGAATTGGGAACGTGCATGCAGTGGAACTGATATCTAGATTTGGTAAGTCGTTGACACAAATACTGTATATGTTTTGATTTCATTGATTTGGGCCCTGTGTTACCTGTTAATCCCTCTTACTGTCTCATCAGGCACATTGGAGAATCTGTTGCAGTCTGTTGATGAAATAAAGGAAGGAAGATTAAAAGAGGTGAGTGAAGTGGCTTTGCATTGGCAAGCTAGTGCTTCTGCGATATGCAAGGCCTAATTTTACTCTCTTACTTTTCTTTGCAACAGAACCTAATAGCTAACGCGGATCAAGCCATGCTAAGCAAGAAGTTGGTAGGTTTTTGTAATTTTCCTTCTCTCATCCGTTTCAACTTTTGAGTTTCATAATATATGGGGTGATGAAATTTGCGTTAAATGGCAGGCACTGTTACGGACTGATCTACCCGATTACATAGTCCCTTTTGAAACGAGAGATCTTACTTTTAAGAAACCAGAGGTTAGTAATATGACTATCATTTATTCAAAATGGATTGCATTATCACATCTACTACAACATATCAACTGTAAAAGGAAAAAGAGAAAGAGAGATAAGTAACTTAGGAAAATGGTTATGTGTACAGGACGATGGGGAGAAATGGAGGAGTTTACTAGTCGCGATTGGGGCATACGCAGAAGGATTTTCAGCTGATCCAGTAATCAGAAAAACTTTAAAGTTGTGGGAGAGCCTTGAAGCAATGTCATGATGATAGTATGCATCTTCTTTTTCTTACTCTTTTACTTTTTTTTTTGTTGGGGTACATAGAGAATAGAGTAAGCTCAAGTCTAGAGTGTTCTCTAGCTTTTGTAAAGCATACTTTTATTGAAACTAACAATCCATCAAGAGAGGATATAAGAAAAGATTATTATTCATTCACAATTTGTTTCGAAACAAAAGAGAGGGGAAGGCTTTTTTGCCAATTCTCTCTCTCTCCCGTAGAAAGGAACTGAAAATACAAAGAAGAAAGCCGATTTGGCCAACTTCACGATTGCTCTCACTTTGCCTTTGGGTAGGCTATTTACACCCAAATTTGAAACTTCCATCTAATTTCCCTATGACACTTTAAAAACACATACCCTTTTCGATTTAGAAGCACACACACAAGAGTTTCATCTTTATTTGCCACTCTTCTTCGAGTGCCAACAACTAAAACCTTCCTCAAACCTGAAACACAACACACAAGAAGAATAAGAAACACAATAAGTTTGATAAGCTAAGCTTCTTGTGCTAAACTCTCAATCATTCCAATATATACAACTTTTTAATGGTTCGGTGTGTACCTAATTTACTGAATCAATCCCTGAAAATGACAGCATCTGCTATTTCCATCAGCGGTTGAAGTGATTCCGGCGAGAACTTTCTGGCGAAGAAGTAGTCTAAACTCGAATTGGATCTCCGTAGCGTGTGAATCAGCTGAGGTGAAACCTCGGAGGCACCGTACGTGTGCGGGTGACCACCGACGCTCCCTGTCCAGTTGACACGTGTGAGTGTGAAGTGGCTACATCCTTTTGGATCCTCGAGGGACAACAGAGTCGGGAAATAGTGTTCTTCTGGGTAGCAGGACTCGGTGTCGAGGCATGGCAATCTGAATTTCCTCCACAGTTTTCTCTCTCTCATCACCATCAGGGCGTGTCGCTTCGCCAGGACGAAGAACTGCGATCCCACGCGGAAGTCTTCGTACCGGATCTCGGGGAGCATCGCGTCCTCTCCCCGTGCGATGTACCGCTTCGGAAGGAAAGGCTCGTCGGCGAGGATCTCGATGAAGCTTTGGTGGGATTTGGAAGAGGAAGGATCGGCGAAGAGGTGGTTGTGGATGTAAGAGAAGGAATGGAGAGGGATGCAGTGCTGTGAGACGAGAGCGAAGTAGAGGTTGTTCGGATCGTCGAGGATGGCACGAGCTATCAATCGCCGCTCCGCGGAGATTAGCGTCGGGGAAGCGCGCGCGGTTTTCTTCGCCGGGATGAATTTGGCTTTGATTGACGAATCGAGAAGCGGAGAGACGCCGGAGGATGGATCTGCGTGGATGTAAGCGTTGTAGAGATCTTCGTGGCCTTGGAAGAAGCTTTCCCAGAGAGGTAAGAATGTCAGATCGGAGTTTGTGAGGAAGAGAAATGCGATCTTAGGAGGAGGAGCCGGGGAGAGGGAGATGAGACGTCGGTTATTTGAGGAGGAGACAGCGGCGCGGTGGAAGAGGGAGAGATCGTCGAGGTCATCTGCGGTGGAAAGGAGGTTGTGGCGGGAGGAAGAGAGAAGGATGTGAGGGGAGAGGAAGAGGAGGAAGAAGAGAAGAGAAAGAGAGAGGAAGAGAGTAAGAGAATAAACGAGAGTAGAGGAAGAGAACATCTCTGAAACACACACAATTAGAAATTTCTGGGGAAGAAGATGAAGATGAAGATGGAGAAGGAGAGGATTGAATTTGAATGATTTTATCGTAATCTCTGCTTCGACGATAAAAAAGAGAAAAAGGGTAATATGACGTCAGCGAATGGGGACACGTGAATTTTTTAAAATATTTGGAAAAAGAAAAGGACAAATCGACAGACACAGTTGCTCAATCGCAATTTGTTGCGTGGGGCTCTCTCTCTCTCTCTCTTTAAATATTGAGAATTGATTTGATACGGTTTTTTCAGCAACCAATTTAAAACATATCGATTAATCTAATAATAGGAAAGAGAAGCTTCACTTTTTTATTTTTTTTTGATTTTTTTTCTTATCCATTGAGTCATCATCATCTAGCTTGAGTCATCAGCATTTTAGCTCACAAAGTCATAATGTGTTGATTGTGTGTGAATAGAGAAAAGGAGTTGTATATTTAGACTCTGATGCTGTGACTGTGTGTGTGTGTGTGAGATTAAGATCTATCCACTCATTTATTTTTGTCCTCATCCTATCATAGATTCAGATATTTTTTTCTCACTCACTTTTGATTCCCAAAACAAAAAAAACTTTCTTCAATTATTCTATTCAATCTTCTTCTCATGGCGGCTCTCTCCACCTTCTACCACCCACTCTGCAGACACCACAACCACCGTACAACAAGACAAGCCCCAAGCCGACACAGCGTTAGATCACTGACTGTGATGTCTTGTCGGAAGCAGAAATCACCGGAAGAGAGCCAAGGAGTGATCCAGAGAACAGTGACAAGGATGATTTCAGAGGCTGGGAAGATTGGGAAGCATCTAAAGCCAGAGAAGAAAGGAGACATGAAGGATCTCATGCTTATGAGTCTCTCTTTTGCAGTTTATGTTTATATCTCTCAACTAATGGTCTGTGCTTATTTCGCCTGGGCCCATGTCAGCCTCCCTAATCCCTCATGGTAGTTTTAGCTTCTTCGACCCCAATTCTTAATTGGGTTTTTGTAAATTCTTCACATACCATTAATATAGATTCCATGTCTCTCAAAGTCATATTGCTACATAGAAGAACTTAGAGTTGAGCTTTTAATTTGGTCTTTTATAGTTGGAGTTTGTTAAAGCTTCATTACCTTAATCTGCTTTAACTCTGTGACCTCGAAAGATCCTGCTGAAAAGGGAAACCAGCCATTGCCATAGCATTATCAACCAGTTACGGCTCTTTGCTCTAGTACCACTTTCTTCTCTCCCTCCAAATATTCCTTTGTACATTTCTTTTTGCTTTTGGTACACAGCTTTCTCTTGCTCTGCTATTGCTCGTAGCTCTCTTCTAATCGCATTGTCATCAGGAGCATACTTTTGAGCTTTGCGAAAATCTTCACGAGCTGAATCCATCTGTCCTAGCTCTGCCTTCGCCTTTCCTCTTCTGAACAACGCTTTTGGGTTTTTCTCTTCTTCTGTCAACACCTGACAAGTTTTTTACAGCTTCATTTAGATTTTGAGAAACCGAGTATGACAAAACAATAATGATCTCTTCTTATAAATGCTTTGATGGGTCTCACAATGTTGCAGTGGCCAATTGCTTCATCGTATCGTTTCAGCTTGATCAAGCAAGCTGCCATGTTTAGGTGGCATGGGTTCTTCACTGCCAACGCCATATCCTGGTACTTCCCATACAGCTGAAACATAAAATCGTCCCCCATGTATGCAATGGCCTGAGACAGCAAACCCATAACTTTTTTAGAGCCAAAGGGAGACACAAGAGCTTTGTGAAGACTCGCTCAGTATGCCTGAAAACCAAAACTTGAAAGAGAGAAAGATCCATAACCATTTCATACTGTTGCATGGCCTCCTCTAGTTTATCCTCCTTGAAAAGAGAGTTCCCATCCATTTTCCTTCTGTCTGCTGCACCAATCCTTTCCTCCACAGTCATATCGCTGCGAGCCTTCCCCTGTACAATCCATCTTCTAAGTCAGCTATAAGCAAATAGCAACTTGGTTGTGGAGGTATCAGGGTAAGGAAACAAGAGAACTACTGATAATTATTAGAGATAAAAACTTGCCTCCTTTGTTTCATCGAATCCAATAACTTCAACCTCATATAACAAGTCCGCCATAGGAGGAACATTCGGAAAAGAAAAGTTTCCATCTTTCCCATATCCCAATTCCCAGCCAATATGCAAGAGCGCCCGTTCACCAGACTTCATGCTTGAAACACCGATGGCCAAACCGGCCATTTCTTTTTTCTCTGTTTCACAGACAACACCTCACTCCTTAGTTGTATAGTAGCATTAACATGGCTAGACAACTCAATTTCGTTTCTCCTTAATACTATTTTCATTAGATTCACATTAAACGCAAGCTGATTCAGCAATCTACCAGTGATGATGCATCCAATGAAAGGCAGGAGTAGTGTACATAATGAATAGCCACATACCTTTTCCTAGAACCAATTCAATAGGTTGCTGCTCTTGCCATGTATCCTCAAATTTATGCTGCGTGTGTTTGGTCCATGCCCTATAGTGCACTATCACGCAATATGAAATGGGTTAGAAACAAAAATTAAAACAAACGGATAAACCTGTAGAAGATTTTCTCAGGGAAACGTCGGATTAACTATTCCTAAGTAACCATCACGCCCAGAGGATATAACATTACAAAGTAATTTCTTTAATCAAAAGCCGCCAGTTCACCAAACTTATACCACATTTCCACCCTCTTCCACGTGAATAACCCTCTTACAGCTTGATAATTCCAATTTCATATATCAATGATAACTAAACTAACAAAATTTATGAACTCAGTCAAGAGAGTTCCACCACAAAGGAAGTGAGATAATCAGTAAGCCCAAAAGTGTAGAAAGGGAACTCGGAGCATCTGATCAACAGAGAGCAAAGGCAACTTACGGAAGCATGTCGAGTACTTGGATGATTTGGAACCGTGACCTTCCTTTATGATCTGCTTACTGACTTTCTCACCCAGGACTTCCACTTCACTGTCAACTTTAGGTGGAACACTAGCGTCTTGAGATGGCTCACCATGCACAACGGCGCTGCCTTCAGTAACTATCTCGTCCTCCTCTTGGTCTTGAGCCAAATGATACAGTAGAAAAACATCGCAGTCATTATCAATTCTCAACCAGAAAAACAAAAGTTATTTTCTCAAAGGAGACCACTTAATTTCATATTCAGCTTGCTTTACACAATCGTCCTAAGAAACAAAAAGACGCAGCTGGAAAAACAGCTTCTGAAATTAAACAAAGCGAATCTCTTTATTGAGAGGCAAATTAATTTACCAGGTGCTTGACTTTGCTGCTCCAGAGCTTCTTCCATTATTTCCAATCCAAGCTTTGATCCTGCAATTTATTCAACTTCGACCTGAATCAGAAGGGAGAAAGTCATCAAGAAATTAAAAATCCATGAGTATTAAATTGATTATACAAGAACACTCTTAACTATTTCATGATCTCCAGTTATATAACCCAGAATTCAAACTACGCATACACTCAGACATTCATCACGATGGTCATATGAAGTGAAATTTAACAAAAACGCACAATTGAAAAAATAATAATATCAATTTCCGCATCGAACAAATCGGAGCAGTAAGACTTAGTGACAAAATCCCATAGAAACCAGCAGGACCCGAAACAAAATCAAGTGGCGTCGTCAAATATAGCCGAGAATCAAATTAAGAAAGAGTGTGAATTTGGAGGAGAGTGAACTTACAGAGTAGGAGAAGAGTAATCTCAGGGAAAGTGTGATTCGTCGTCGTCTTCGAAGTCACTCACGAAGAAGACTCTCGATCGACAGATCTATACCAAATGGTTATTATTTTTAGTTAAGGAAAATGTCAATAAAGACCTTCAACTTTTCACTTCAGTCAAAACAAACCTTCTTGATAGAAAATCCTGTCATTTTAATCCCGTCATGAGTAAAAGACTAAATCAAATGTAAAAGACGTTTATTTTTCTCAAGTCAAAACTAAAATTAAAAGGTCATGAGTAAAAACATCTTATGTTTGATTTTTGTATAGTATAAAGAATACTATTTCTTTTAGAATATTCATTATTATTTTTTTTATACTACTATATCGTTATAATATTTTTGTAATTTATAATAGTATTTGACGTTTGTCTTGTTTTTGTTTCATCGACTAGATTGTTGTAATTTGTAAATGATGAATGGTGTGAATAATGGGGGAGAGAAGGAACGTGAATGAAGGGATCCACAAGTGTCTCCACCAATTTCTGAGTAAAAAGCAATCACATCCTCCCATTCTCGAATACGTAAACCAAACTGTAAAATCAAAAGACAAAAGAAGAAAGAAAAAAAAACAAATCAAAAAGCTTTCTTCCTCCCCAAGAAACAATAATCCAAATTACAGGGAGAGAGAGAATGAATACAACAACAACAAAAAACGTATGCGGAGACAAATGGTACCTTAACCTAGACAAGCCTGAAGAGGCTTTGAAGTTTCTCGGATTCATCGCCATTTTCGTCATCCGAACTCTTTTACATCATGTCATGAAGCCTCTAGGACAACCTTATCTCACTACCGACTTTGCCGTATGTCTTCTCCGTCTTCTTCACTTAATCTTTGTGACTTTCATGGTTATATAACTCTCAAACTTTTTTTGTATGCATCAGATTGGGCTGATTCTAGGAAACCTTCCCAAGTTTCGAGAGGCATTCTCGGGGCCTTACTCTGTTACCCTCAACAACATAATCGAATTCGGAATGATCTGTCACATGTTCGTGATGGGTCTAGAGATGAATCCAAGCGTTCTTCTTAGGCCACCGACCAAAGACGCGTTCATAGCATACACAAGCATGTTCACAACCTTTGTCATCGCCTTCGCCACAACTCCTTTCCTCCATTATACCAAAACCGCTCCTTTCATTTTCTCCCTCGCTCTCTCCCTCATGGCCTCGAGCACCGGCTCGCCTATCCTCACCCGCGTCATCTCCAATCTCAAGATCAGAAAATCCGACCTCGGAAAGCTCGCTTCAGCCGCAGGTGTCCACACCGATATGATCTCGACCTTGTTTTATTGCTTCGGCTTCATCTTCTTCCCTACAGAGAAGCCTCTCCCTCGCCCTCTCCACAGATTCTTCAGAGCCCTCCTCATGTTTTGCCTCTTCCTCGCTCAAGTCACTTTCACTTCCATTGTATCCCCAATCTTTCTTAATTGGGTCAACAACGAAAACCCTGAAGGCAAACCACTCAAAGGGTCTCACCTCGTCATGTCTCTCGCGTTTGTCGTCTTGATCTGCAGTTTCCCAACTTGGCCACCTGAATCAATGTACAACCCGATTCTCAGCGCCTTCACGGCTGGTCTCTTCCTTCCGAACCAAGGAAGAATGTCCAAATGGATCATCAACAAAATCAATTACTTGCTCAGCACGGTCTTCTACCCTATCTTCTTCTTCTGGGTCGGATTCATAATCCACATGAGAAACTTTGACATCACGGATAAAATGGCGTGGGCGAGGTTCTTTGCTCTTCTCGGCACTGTCATACTCGGAAAAGTCGTCGGGACGGTCTTGTGTGGTGTCCTACTCGGATATCATGTCCCGGAGACAGCTTCCCTTGGACTGCTTTTAACCACTAAAGGCCATTTTCATGTCTACTTGGCCGCTTTAGCCATTCGGGTATATAAAAATAATCAAGCTCTTTCCTTTTGTTTCAAGTTTACTTTAATCTTTGACCTCTTTTTGGTACGATGGAAATGCAGACAAACAGGGTGAAAAACACAACCGGTGCAATGATCATTTTTGTCATTGTCCTCACAGTGGTCTACTCTCCGTTTGTCGTCATGGACATTATCAAACGAGCCAGGAAGCGAGTGCCTGTACACATCATGGCGCTTCAATGGCTGGATCCAACAACTGAGCTTCGAATCTTGATTGGTCTCCATGGTCAGCATAACATCGGTTCTACGCTCAACCTTATGGAGATCTGCCATGGAGGACGCGAGCCAGGGTCCATATTCTACGCAACTGATATGGTGGAGCTGACTGATGAGATTGCCGCCACGCTGAAAAAGGGCGGAGGAGCGGGTCAGAGTAGTGATTCAGTGACGATAACGGACAGGTCAGTGACAGAGATGCGGGAGAGTATAACCGCGGCTGTGAATGGGTACGGTGAGCTACGCAATGGGCAAGGCGTGACCGTGCGGCGGATGCTAGCGTTGTCAACGTTCGTGACCATGGCACACGACGTCTGCGGTTTGGCTGACGAACTTATGGTTTCCATTATAATCCTACCTTTCCACAAACGCAGAAACCCTGATGGCACTCTTGACTCTGGCCATGCTGGGTTCCGTCATGTGAACCGCAAGGTGTCAATCGTTTCCATTCAATTACTACTGATCCCCTTTCAAGTCACTGATCGCCTTTGCGTGTGCAGATTCTGAAGAACGCGCCGTGTTCAATAGGGATCCTCGTGGATAGGTCGTTCGGGCAAACAGAAGAGGCATGGCGACCAGGAGCGTCCATGGACATTGCTATTATATTCATAGGTGGTAGAGACGACAGAGAGGCACTAGCCTTTGCTGCACAAGTGGCTCGACACCCTGCTGTGAAGCTAAACGTGATACGTTTCCTGGAAGACAAGAGCTCTCAGAACGCACAGAAACGAAGCAGCATCTTGAACAGAGCGAGCGTGGTGGAGCAAGAGGAGGAAATGAAGCTTGACGACGAGTGTTTTGCTGAGTTCTACGAAAGATATATAGCCGGAGGAGGAAGAGTGTCTTACATGGAGAAGCATCTCACAAACTCCTCAGAGACCTTCACAGCACTTAAGTCACTGGATGGAGAGTATGGGCTGGTGATTGTTGGAAGAGGAGGAGGCAGGGCTAGTAGCGGGTTAACCACTGGTCTCAACGACTGGCAGCAATGTCCAGAGCTTGGTCCCATAGGTGATGTTCTCTCTGGCTCAGATTTCTCGCACAACACATCCATGTTGATTATTCAGCAGCAGCGTACAAGAGGTCAGCTAGAAGGGCTTCACGATGATTTCACCATCCTGTGAATATCTGTTCAAATGCACTAACTTTGTAGCTTGGAAAAGTAGTAGCTCTGAAAAGGACCCTGTACAATAGTTCATGTATTAAAAGGTTTTCGTAGATAAAAATATGGTAATCCAAAGCATTACTTCTTAGACGCCGGAAAATGGCGTGTCCAAAACATAGAGTTAAGACAAATTACAGGAAAACTTGTTTCTAATTTATACAAGCAACACAGCTCCTTCTAAGTCTTGTGGTTGGTGCTTAGATAAGAACAATATGAAAACGTTTCCCGAAGTGCCGATGTAGAGTTCTGAACTCCACTCCTTAGTACTGAGTCGGGTCCGACAACCTGGCCACCTCTGCCTGAAAACACAGAAGGACAGAAGCGTAAAGCGTAAGGTCCAGGTGTATATAGAACAGCATCAATAGCATTTAATATTCATCTACTTAACTAACAACAACTTGATTATAAACAGATAATCCTAACTTTCTCTACCAAGTGGGTTTCATCAAATAAAACCCGATCAGGACTCTGGAGAAAGAGAGACTCTTTGGTACCTCAAATTGGCTCTTCAGAAACTCAAGCTCCTTGTCCAGGTCATTGATGGCCTGATTGTATGCTTGCATCGGGGAAGACTGGCTTGTTGTGTGAATCTGCAAACAAAGCCAATTTCACACTTAGAAAAGGACAGCACCCAAGATCTTTCTATGATTTCTTAATCAACCATTAATGCGAATCCTAACACAACTCAGAACAAAAGGCAAGAGAATCCAGAGCATACTGTTAACACATCCTCAGACACTGTTTCTAAGTTCCTAAACCAATATTAGGATCCTAAAGTCAGCGAATGAATTGAGAAAAACGCAGAGAACAGAAGTGTTCATTCCAATTCAGAGCAACTCCTTTAGAAACATCTGTAAAAAGTTAAGAAATTTAACTTACTCTGACGATGATCTTGTACTTGAGAGGATGAGGCAGTTGGTATCCAGCGAACAAAACATTGTCGTCGCGGTGAAGTTGCCTAGTTTAAAAAAAAATCAGAAGAACAAAGCTTAGAAAAAAAAAATTAGGAATTTCTTCTGGAAAAAAAGAAGTGTTAGAAAAATTCAACTTAAAGAGGGAATCGTACATGCGGACAATGTTTCCAATGGTATGGTCTTCTCTCTCAATCGTGAAGGAAGCAGCATTGATGATCTTCGTGTCCCTATCATAAGAAACCCTAGAAGAACAATAGAAAATCGAGAAAGTTTAGCACAGTCAGGTAATTACAGAAAGATGAAGAAGATTAAGAGTAAGATTTCGAGTAGAACAATTTCAATACTTTTTGGTGCCTTCAGGGACGACGAATCGCTCGTATCTGTCGGGGGCGTTCATGTCTAATCGGAGATTTTCGCCGCAGAGACGGAGTGGGTGAGTTCTTCAGTTTCGGGCCAAAGAAGAAGGATGAAAACTCTGAACGAAAGTCACGGCGTCGTTTTGTATATGTAAGTAGAAAGGAATAAATCAGAATTTGGTTATATGTAATGTATATCCACGTGTTATATCCTTATTGGTTTAGAGCTTCGGGTTCGGATCGGGGTGATAACCCTCAAAACTCCTTAAAATATTTCGGTTTAGAACCTTAGGTTTTAGTTATTTACACAAAGAGCGCGTGTGATTTAATTGGGGAGAGACCTAAACAAAATTCATTTTTTTCAGAAAAAAGGAAGTCAGATCCCTAAAAATCGAACCCGGACGCGTAAAACTTGAAAACCGACTATGGCCTTTCACGTAGCTTGTCCAATTACATGGTATTTTTTTTTTGGTGTCTCTCATACTCATTACTCATTTTTTTTGGCGCCTCGTGAGGCTTCTTCTACCGTCTCGGCTTTGTTGTTTTACTTATATCTGATTTGTTCAAATCGCTTTTTTTGGGGGTTTTCGTTCTTTCTTTCTTCGCAGCCGGAAAATTTGCTTCTGCTTGTTGGGGTTTCCTCGGAATCTTCATGGGAAGCAAGTCAAGGATGCGTTTCTCAGCGAGATCCATTCTCTCCAAGACTTCTTGCGTGACCCCTGGGATGCTGGAGTTTCTACGGAAGGCACCGTTCAGATCCATGTGCCTAAGCTCGCCGTCTTCGATACTGGTCCTCACATTGCGGCTAGAGATGTTGTTGGTGCCGGGGATAATTCGGCGATCGAGGTTTCTGCGTCTTCGAATTTGAGACTTGGCAGACGCACGGTGGTGCTGAAGAAGGCTGTTGAGGATCATGCTGCAAACTCTGGTTCTGGCGACTTAGAGGTGCGCTTCCTGCAATGTCAATTGAATTTTGAACAACTTTGTTGGTAACTTAAGTTTGCTCAGATAGGCTAGACTTGCTAGGTGCTTTTGGTTTGGTGGTGCATTGAAACGGTATCTTATCTTTGTGAGACATCGTGTATTGAGTAATGTTGATCATCTGTTTCTTGTGTATGTGTGTATTGGTGTTGTCCTGCCCTTTTAGTTTCCGTGAGCCATGATATACAAGGATTTATGTGAACTACTTGTGGTTTTTCTGGAAGATAAAGAATGTTTTTCGTTCTCTATGCAGGTTTCTGGTAAAGAGCTCAATGGAGAAGATCATGACCATCACAGTGCAAGTAGTACGTGTCACATGTGCTACATGGTTGAAGTTGGGAGGAGTGAGAAAGCGAAGATGCTTTCTTGCAAATGTTGTGGCAAGAAGTATCACAGAAACTGCTTGAAGCCTTGGACTCAACATAGAGGTATCGTCTCATAGGAATTTGACGCTTATGAGTTATGATTCTTCTGTCTAGAATTCTTATAAGGGTTTTTGCTTGCAGATTTATTTAATTGGAGCTCTTGGGCTTGTCCGTCTTGCCGAACCTGTGAGGTTAGTTTGGACACAACTTTGATGTTGAGCATTTTTTTAATCATATAGTTTGACTGCCTCTGGACAGAATTAATAAGCTATTTATCCTGTACGTTCTCTTGATTATGTTTCTTTTAGGCCTGTGGAACTTTAGGGGATCCAAAGAAGTTGATGTTCTGCAAAAGATGTGATGATGCATATCATTGTGATTGCCAACAACCTCGGCACAAGGTATACTATTTGTTGATTCTATACATATATTTCTCATATTGTCGTTTGCAAATTGACTGAAATTCATCCCTCGATGTTACAGAGTGTTAGTTCTGGGCCCTATCTGTGTCCAAAACACAGCAAATGTTACAGCTGTGGGTCTAAAGTCCCTGGGAACGGCCAGAGTTTACGGTATTCAAGTCTTTTGCTTTCTCATGTCTACTTTTAATTGATTCATTTAAGGCGCACTAGATCTCTTATCGTCCCTTTTAAACTTGCAGGTGGTTTTTGGGGCATACATGTTGCGATGCTTGTGGAAGGCTGTTTGTTAAGGGAAATTATTGTCCTGTATGTTTGAAGGTATAACTTGCATTTTCTCTGTTGTTGATAGCCTAGGGAAATGTGTGCTCTGTTTCCCCGCTTCATATATGGCCATAGTTAGTTTGAGGTTTATGTATATTACAGTTGTTACCCTATACTATCAGACATCTGTATTGCAAAGGCAGTTAAATGCAACATTTTTGTGTGTACTCTTTGTCACGTTTTGAGTCGAATTGACCAATTTATTTTGCTTTCATCATGTAGGTTTACAGGGACTCGGAATCAACACCAATGGTATGCTGTGACTATTGCCAGCGCTGGGTTCATTGCATGTGTGATGGAATCAGGTCCATATCGTTAAGAATGTTTTCTGTGTCCTGTAAGAATGTTTTCCCAAGTCTGTGTCCCACTAAAACCTTGAAACAAATATTGCAGCGATGAGAAATATCATCAGTTTCAAGTAGATGGGAATCTTCAATACAAGTGTTCTACTTGTCGCGGAGAATGCTACCAGGTGTGTTTTAAGTGTTCTGTCATCATATCTCTCTCCAATGCTAGTTGATTGCTGTGAATGGCAATTAAGTAATCACATTTTATCTCTCTGATTTGTGTTTGTTGATGCTAGGTCAAGGATCTTGAGGATGCTGTACAGGAAATTTGGAAACGGAAGGATATTGAAGAGAAAGAGCTAATTGCTAGCCTGAGAGCTAGTGCACGAGTCGTTGGGCAAACTGGCAGTTCCCCTCTTATCAATCAGCCTGCATCCGTAGAAAGAAAAGTTAACGAAAAAGTTATGGTCAGTGGTGAAGAAGAGAAACCATTGAGAGTTCTCAGAATAAAAAGTAGCAGGCTTCAAGATTCAGATAGTGAGAAATTCGGAAAACACGTTACTGAGCCGAACCCTGTGAAGGCGAAAAAATTGGTGATAAATATAGGGCCTCGAAAGCCGGGGGTTACAAACCCTGTGAGCAGTGATGTATCAAAGCTTGCCTCTAAATCCAATGGTATGTGTAGTGTTGGCTTTTTTGCATGTTCAGATGCATGAGAGGAACACACTCTACAATTTACGTTGAAGACATTATAAATTTGTTTTTTCTTTCGCTTTGGTAATTTCAGGAAAGCATGGGAAATTACAATCAGAAGAAACGGCTTCCCGAGAACAGCAGCGGAGCTTGTTGGGGAAGAGGAAGGAAGAAGCGAGAGGGTCTCACGGTGAAGAAGCCACTTCGAAGGGAGAGAGTGGAGGAATTATAGGGAGACACTCAGAAGGAAGAGGGGAGTCACATGGTGGGCCACAAGAGTTGCAGAAAGAATCAAGACGATTGCTGAAAGTGAAAATAAAGAAGCATAATCCAGAGAGCAAAGATGGTGAATTCCCTAGCGTTGTGGAGGAAAGAAGTAAGTCTAGTAAAGGGCATAGGTCTAAGAGGAAAAAAGCATCACCTCCAGCTGAAAAGTCAGCGTTTAATGAAGATGAAGATGTGTCACTGTCGCGTGAAGACTGTTTGTTAGACGAAATGCTTGATGCTAGTTGGATTCTGAAGAAGTTGGGCAAGGACGCAAAAGGAAAAAAAGTTCAAATACACGAGGCCTCAGATAATTCATGGTAAATGGTATTTTTGTTTTTTTGCTTCTGAGCGATCTTAATCGAAAGATGATGTTTCGTCCATTCAAAGTTTTTTCTAACGATTGAGTAAAAAAAAAACAGGGAGAAAGGAGTGGTGAGTGAAGTAGGAGAAGGCGGCACATCGAAGTTGATGGTGACGCTTGAGAATGGAAAAGTGAAGACAGTTGAGCTTGGGAAGCAAGGTGTTCGATTTGTTCCTCAGAAGCAAAAGAGGACGAGGACGTGAAGGCTATTCTTATGTATCCATCCACATTTGGAACAACATGTGAGAGCTCCTTTTATCTTCTATACCTTTTTAGATCCTCATGTATGTAAAAATATACAATTTGAAAACGAGTTCATCTTCTTTGTTTCGGCTATAACTAGATTAGCTTTCTTATTTGTCTGTGAAAAAAAAATTACAAAGAAGACTGTGTTACCTGCTGAGGGAAATAATGAGACTTGCAAAGTTTATTTTTAATTAACCTTTCAAAATTGATCAAAACTTAAAACCATTTCGAAAATTTATGCGGTTCTAAGTTATGTTAAGACTTGGAGGCCTATAACCAGTTCAACACCAAAGTCAACCCAAAGACAGGAATGATTGCCACGCGTTTTACCGACAGGAAGTACGAGTACTAGGTCCCAACGGATAAGTGTAGAGTCACAATTCTTACAATATTATGGTGTCGGTCCAAGAATTAACTACGGTATAGGAGTAGCTACTAGAAATGGCAGGAATCATATGATAGATATAAAAGTTAAAATTGGAGAAGCTAGGAGCTGTAAAAAGAGGGTAACACGTGATGAAACCAATCTTCTTATCTCTTCCTAATCAATCATCTTACGTTATTTCGTTTTCGTTTGGTACTAGTAACAACAATAAACTAAAATTGCGATCTGCGTGCGTTTCCCCGAAAAAGAAAAAAAGAAGAAAAGGAGAGACAGAACAAAAATGTTACAGCTGTTTTTCACGATAGCGTTCTCGGCGGCGCCGTTAACGCTGTACATACCGCCGATCAGATGTTTGACGGTGTTCGTGGAGACGATGGAGGAGATGGGAACGGAAGGTAGGGTTTATAGCCGGAGAGTCTTTCCTCGCGCCAGAATTGCTTGGTCTAGGCTTCTCGATTGCTTCTTCTCCTCTTCTCGCCGTCCCTCTTAATTGTTCGTCTTCTTCTTCTTCTTACCTTCTCTGTGTAGATATCACATATCTCATGTTTCCTCGAATTCTCCTTCTTGTGTTGATCACGTATATGTTTTCGATTTCGGATAATTCCAGACGATGGTAGAGATTTTAGGTTTTTTGTTGTTTGTTGCTGTTGTTGATCTTAATAATTAGAGATGGATCTGAATCCTGTTTTTTGTTCTCTCTCTCTCTCTCTCTCTCTCTCTCTCTCTTTCTCTCTTCTTTATTTAAACAAATTTATTGTATGTAATGTGAGATTGATTCAAACTGCTCAGAATCACATGTCGAATCTGAGCAAGATCATCCTCTCGTTAGTTACAAGTTGAATGAAACTGAAATTAACAAAAGAATGAATCAATATAGAAAGAATTGGTGAAAATCAAAAGCTTTTTGTTTTAGTTGGTCATCGTGCAAGGCTTTAAGAACCAGAGAACGTCTAAGCCTCTCCCTTCCTTGTTGCTATCTCCACTCTTTCTGTTCTTCTCTTCTTCTGCTTCCTCCTCCTCTTTTCTCTTCACCACTTCTTCTACCATTCCCTTTTCCTGTGTACACCCCAAAAAAACCATTCTTTGTTCGTTATGTTCTTCTTTTTCTCTAAAAGCCTCTAGATTTTACTAGGACAAGGAAAGGGCTATCTCATTACTTACAGTAGGTTTGGTCCTCAAAGCCTTCAAAGAAGCTGTTCGGTTCTCCGAGAAGCATTGAGGAGATGGTGGGTTTGTTCTGATTTGCAGCAACCGTTCGTGTCCTTTGTTCTTTACATTCTCCAGTTTTAGAGGGATAGGGATGTTCTCTGCATCATCCAGTCTCCTACAGTATCCGAAGTTGTTTAGTAACCTAATTTACTAAACTCATCACAGCTTATGTTAAGAAATGTTTATGCAGAAGCACCAAAACTTACTTTTTTCTTCTACATTCCTCTCCTTTGAACTTTACAGTCTCCACGTTAAGAGAAACATGAATATTCTCCGCATCATCCACTCTCCTGCAAATCATCATTTGAACTCCAAAGTTAGTAATAAAACTCTCACTTCACAAATAAACAAAACCCACAAAAGAAGCCAAAACTCACTTCTTTCTTCTACGGTTCTCTTTAAAGGTGCTTCCTTTATTATCCGTGGATTCGTGGACCTTATCTTTGCTTACTTCGAGCAATGGTTTTCTTTCCTTTTTCAGTTCCAAGTCATGAACAGAGTAAGGCTGATTTATGATTCCACCACCCACTTGATGAATCTCCTTCACAGTATCTTCTCTCTCAGTAACCCTTGTGGCCAATCTCTTCAACTCATAGCAGAACTCTGAGATATGGCCTAATATGTCTCTCCCTGAAAACAGATTTCTAGCTGATTGTGTGCTCTTTAGTCTCGGCGCTTCTTTATTCGTCTTCTGGACCGAAGTTGATTTAAGTGCTGCTCGCCATGATTTTGCTTGTTGGCTCGGAGGCGTGGCTAAGTTTGGATTCTGATTCTCATCGTCTTGCTTGTTTGAAGTAGAAGGTGATAAGGCATGTCCCCTCCTCCTACAAGTCAAGCGTATGAACAAACAAAAAAAGCATTCAAATGCCATAGCAAAACATTGCGATCAGAGATTTCAATCAAGAAGAGATTTAAAGAAAAGGGTACCTCTGATTCTGCTCTGTAACTCCTAGAACCTCATTCGTATCCCTTAGACTTGGATACTTGAAAACAGAGACACGAAAGGTAACTATTAACTCAAACTCTGCTTCGTATCTTTGTTCGAAGAAACAAGAAAATGAAGAAGAAGGAGAAGCAAACCTTGAAAGAATTGGGCGTTAGGAGGAAATCCTCAGGTCTCTTAGGATGATTACAATCTTGAATTGAGATTAAAAAAAAAAAGCCAAAATCAGTAACAAACGTCAAAGAGATTCCAGAGATAAAGGGAGAAAGAGAGAGAGATAGAGAGAGATTGTTACCAGGTTTGCAGAACCAAGCGTCATCGTCAATGGAGTCTAGATGATTCGGGGCTGAGAAATCGAACCATTTGGGAGCTCGGATGTGTTCGTAGAAGACGTCTTCCACAAAACGAGAATCGATTCGTTTCCAATCGATCTGAGCAGGCTCCATTAGAGAATACACAGAGAGAGAGGCAGAGGAACGTAGGAGTTGTTGTTGATGGTTAGAGAGAAAAAAGAAAAGAAGAAGAAGAATGTAACCGTTGGAGTTAACGTTACAGGCCAGATAAGCGGCCATATGCGCACGTGGCTTTCTCTTGTTACCGTTGCAGCTTTATTTACTTTCCACATCTCTCTCTCTCTCTTCACGTTTTTTTCTTCTGTTAACATTAAAATAAAATGTTATGGGCCGTCGTATATCGGTGTTAAAGGATTTAGGTGGCCCGTCACTTTGTGGATGAGCGGACCCGAATTATTAATTTTATACTGAAATATTTAAATCCCCAATTCCCATAAAATCCAAAATTACAAAAAAAGAAGAAAAGTTAAATTTAACTTTACATAATTGAGCTTCGAACTACAGTGTTCTTTAAAACCAGAAAATCTTGTTTTTCCAAAGAAATAAAGAGAAAAAAAAAACCGGTGGCTCTGGAAGTTCCGATCAACAGAAGCTATGAGATTCTCCTTCCGACTAGCCGCCGTAAAAGGGGTGAGGAAGATTAAGAAGAAGAAGGCGAGGTCGGTGGCAGATGAGTCCGAAGGGAACAGAAAGGGAAGAAAAGCCACAATTGTGAAACCCGATTCGAAACCCTGCGGCTTCGACCAGATCCCTGAAGGTGTGTTGATGAATATCCTGGCGAGATTGCCGGCGAAACGTGTGACGAGGGCAATGTGCGTCTCGCAGCTCTGGTATTCCGTCACCTCCTCCGCCTATTTCACAAAGCTTTTCGTCGAATCCCCATCGTCGGAGAAACCGCCGCGTTTCATCGCTTCTCGCGCGGACAAGGAAGACCAGCGCAACTATGCATTTCTCACTTCGACTCAAGATAATCACTCCGATTCGTCGTCTGTCTATGTGTTCGACCATATTCTGAAGATGCCGGGATTAGGAGGCTACTTGGTGAATGCTCTTCGCGGCTTGATCTGTGTCAGGCTTGGGAGAAGTGTGCAAATCTACAACCTCACCACAAGGCAACGCGTGTTCTTGCCCACCATAAGATCGAGTCTTTTGGCTAACTCCAATGACAATATCTGGACATACTTTGGATACGATCCTGTTTACAATGAATACAAAGTGATCACCACAGTTTGGGAAGTGTGCAAGGAAGAAGGAGGGAGAGTGGTGAGATCCGAGCATCAAGTGTTGGTGCTTGGTCCTGAAGCATCATGGCGACACATTCAAAGCATGGTTCCTCCTCCTCCTCATCGTCCTTACTCGCGAGGTATCTCCATCAACAACATGTTGTATTACGGAGCTTGGGTTGATAAAGATGCATGTGTCGTCATGAGCTTCGATTTGGCTAATGAGGATTACGATGTGATTGAACTACCTGTTGAGGCTGGCATCATCTGGGGCCGTGTTGGCTCTAATCTCATGAACTACGAAGGCAAGTTAGCAATTTCCAGACTTGCTTCTGATGGGAGCGTGAAGCTGTGGATTATGGAGGATGCTAAGAAGAGGAAGTGGTCAAACAAGACTCTGGTCTTGCCCCTCCACCTTCTGGATATGGATTTAGTCGATGGCGATGGCGATTTGTTGATCATGGCAGGCACGGATCGTCCCGGTGAGGTTAGCCTGACAAAGAGGTATCACTTTCCGCTTGAACCAGAACCTTATGTTCTTTACGATTTGGAGAAGAACAAAATAACAAAAAGCTTCAAGTTTTTTCCGATGTCCTGTGTTTTGGGAAACAAGGGATCAGAGACGGTTGTTTGGAAGGATGATATTGAGAACATTATGTATTTGGAGACTTAGATTGCATTTCTATTGGTTTCGGGTGTTTAGGAGTCTATCTTAATTTATAATATATGGGGGTGTTTTGGTGTTATCTCGTTGTGAGATTTGGGTCTTATACAACAAGTCTTTGTTGTTTTCACTCTGTTGAAGTATTAATAAAAGAAAGATTTGCCTCCATCCTTGTTGAGTTGAGTTGGTTTATCCTTTGAATTCGTTACCTTTTTAGCTTCGTTTTTCCAGAAGCAGGTTCCAAAAGATGATTCTCTCAAATCCCTTTGTTGAGCTAATTGTCATGTTCTTATGATTCAGTGACTTTTGCGTGAGTTTGAACAAATACCATTCTGAGATACTAAAATTAGACTAGATATTTCTTTTGGTGGATAAAGTTAGATTACACTTCATTTAAACACAGTAAGATTTGAGCAAGTGTTGACTTTTGGCTGCTAAATGCTGAGAAGAGATGTGACATACGTGTGTTCTGTTCTGTGGTAAGGTAATTTACTTGTGCTTTCTTTCTTCATAGTACTCTACTTGTTCCACTGCCTGTGTCACTCCTTCACCTTCCACTCCATGGTCTTCTTCTACTTTCCTCTCAAATACGCTTTCTTCGTGATGTGAGGATGCTTAATTCCTCTTCTATCAACGCCACACCGTCTCTATCAGAAACGCAACAGTTGATTTCGTGTGAGTCATTCTTGAATTTTCGCTATGCTTGCACATACAATGTTTGTAGCTTCTCAGTTTCGTTTATGCTTATGGTCGCTTAGTTCCTCGTTTCCTGATTACTGTATACGAACATAAACGCTTATATGACTTTGACATTGGCTAGTAACAACTAACGAGAAATAAAAGACACCGTACAAGCAAAAAGGAGCGAAAAACACGACCAATTAAAGTTGGATCAAATGTCCATGTATTTCGTGTAATCCTACGCGACGACACCGTTTTTGGGTCCAAGTTACGGTCGGATAGATCCGCGGGTATCACCCGTTTGAGAACTGTCCGCTCCAACAAAATGATGTCCAACTTTGAATCGGGTCGGGTCTCCCAGCAAGCTTCTTAGGTAAGCCTCGAATTTATCCCGGCGCGCGAAAATTCCAAAATTATAGAGGGAAATGACGACACCGCGAAAAATCATAAAAGTCTAATCCTTGATTCCCGATCAGTCATCATCGGCCTATCTTCTCCTGAATCAAGCAGAGCTTCTTCGATCTCCTCCTAAATCGTAAGTTCACTCTTATTCGGATTTCTCCAAGGTTTTGTACATCTCAAAAACTGGATCTTAATTAATTATATGAATATTTACTTGCGGTGTAGAAGAAATGATTCGGGATAGAAATGTAAGGAATCGAAACTTATTGCGATGTTTCGGTAGCAGAAACCCAATTGTGGAATCGGAATCCCTAATTTCTGGTTTCATTTTCGCTTCTGATTGCAGCTGAAGATGGGAGATGAAACGGTTGATGGTATCGAAGCAAAGTACATCTCTGGTCTCAGCGCCGTAATGGTTGCCACAATCCAGGAAGCCAAGGACAGAATATCTCAGATCGAGTACATTTTCTGCAGCCAGCTGTACCCAAACTTTCAATCCAAATCCAAAGCCTTTGAAAAAGTTTACTCAGATGCTCGTCTCGCTGCTTGTGATGCCTGGAAAGAGAGAGAGAACACCATGTCATCCCAGATCGAGGAGCTTAAGCTTGAGAATCAGCACATCAAGTCTGAGAATCTGGCCTTGATCAAGGACAAGGAGAAGCTATCTGCAGAACTCGATAAGCTCGTTTCTGTGCCTTTGAGACTCAAGAGTCTAGAAGACTACGTTGATCATTCAAAACTGAAGTCGAGGAATAGATGTGAACAAGTTCAGAATTGCGTAGATCTGTACACTGGGCTGGTACAGGTTTTGAAGGTTAAGGGTTCGGATGAGCTCAGCGGAGATGGGATAAAGATGCTTCTTTCCGAAGTCAAGAGCCTTAAGCTAAAGGCGGAGTCTCTTCAAGAGGAACTTTCCAAGAAAACATTGGTGACTGAGAATCTCCTGAAGAAACTGGAGTATCTGTCTACAGAAGTCGAGGACAGCGAGAAGAAGTCAAGCAGAGTTGAAGAGGAGAAACAAAGATTGACAACTAGGTTGCAGGTTTATGAGGAGAATGTCGGTAGGCTAGAAGAGCTGCTATGTCAGAAAAGTGATGAGCTTGAGGAAGGGAAGACGGCTCTTGAGGTTTTGCAAGGTAAACTCAACTTGACAGAGAGGCAAATGTTGGAATGTAAACAAAAGATCGCAGATCATGAGAAAGAAAAGACAGTTGTTATGGGTAAAGCAAAGGCTTCTGGGGATGAAGTTGGTGATATGAATATGCAGGTCAAAGATGGAACTTACTTGGCTGAGTTAGAAGCTTTACGTTGCCAAAGGGAGGAGAAATCATTTGAGTTAGCTACGGAGATAAAGAAGAGAAAAGACACCCTCACTGCTTACAAGAAGCTCAAGTCCCAATATAGTTTTCTCTGCAATAGGTTTGGTCTTACTACGGAGAGTGCTCTTCACCAAAGCAGCAGCCTTCAGGATGAGACTAACCAGATGGGACAACATGAGAGACCAGCCATCTCAAGTTGTAAGTAATAGCAGTCTCTGGCTCTACTTTTAACTACAACTCTCGTGTTAAATCACTTGCTTATATTCAGTCATGGTGGCTTTAGTAAACTCATCCAGCTTGATTTTTTTTTTTCTTCTCATTCTAATACAGCTCTTGAAAGGAAACAATCAGAAGCTGCTGAAGGAGCAGACAAAGCGAGGATTGGTACTGGCTCAAGTAACAGCTGTGAGAAAGAGAGTATAATCAAAACGGTGCAGACACCGGTTACTTCCATTTCACCCATTGTGCGGTCACCTGGTCTTAGAAGTGACCCTTCTGCTGCAAAATCTCTACAGATAAGTGGATTAAAGCGTCCAGCTTCCATTTGGAGAGACACAAGGTCTCGACAATCACCAGGAGGGTATGATCCTCATGATGATTTTCTAGACACTCCGATTGAGAATGTCAAAAGGGTCGCTGGGGAAGAAAAACATGTTGAGGATGTTGATAACAAAGATGATTCAGACGAGGAGACACAGGACATGAATCCTAAGCCGAGTCCATCAAGGCAGCGAATTCAAGTTGCAGAAACGAGTAAAAAGGGTTTCAAGCATGTGGAATCTGTTAGGAGAAAAGCAGAGAGGGAGAATTTGAAAGGGATAGAGTGTAAACAGTGCAAGAAGTTCTACGATGCTGTTCATCCTGAGAATAAAGGAAATGGTAAAAGCATGAGGTGTGAGCATCATGAAGGTGTGTCGAGGCATCGCTACAAATACGCTCCGCCAATGACTCCTGAAGGTTTCTGGAACATCGGGTTTGAATCCGAAATGTGATATCTGTATTCTTTACATTCGTTCCATGTTATGTAACTCACTTTGGATACGAAATAGAAACACTATACTAAATAGTTTGTATCTGCTCAGTAGAAAAACAAATACTTTTCTCACATTATTATTTATATAATCAACAACACAAACACATTTATGCTACTAAGTACTTCGATTATTGACAGCTATCTGAAGTTTTCATTCGACTACAACAATCATACAAAGCTAAAAATGTTGTGTTTTACAAACACCAAAACATCATTCTACTTCTACAAGATGTGAACAAATATCATGCGGTTTATGTTTTAATTTCAACTACTCTAGAAAAATGTGTTCTATAAATCCATTAATTTTCTTTGTAGTTCCTAAAAGTTACTAATATCCAATCCAATCAATTAAATTCTCTCACCCATTACTTTTTGGGCCCATACTATAATTATCAGAAACCTTAGGTGCCCGATTGAAACAAATAAACAAATAGGGGCCTCCTACGTATATATATATATATATATACACTTTCTGATTCCGATTCAATCACTCCGATCATTAGCCTCCCGATTCCGATTCGTCCCACTGGTTCCGACGACTTTTGAGCGAAAATCGGCGCAGGTGACAAGATCGATTTCTCTTTCTTCCTGTTTTCTTCGTCGTTTTCGATTGTTTCTCTGAATCAATTTTCTGTGGATCTTAATTTTATTATATTCGTTTGCTTCCAAATTGATTGATTGTTGTAGCCTAGGTTTTCCTGCCCTCATACAATTTTTATTCTCTCGCTCTTAATTGATTATGGGTTTTTTTTCTGGTTAATTCTGTGGCTTGATTTTTGAGATTTCTTAGATTTGTTTTTCCACCACTAGTTGCCTTCATCTTGATATCCTGGGCGTTGGATAGATATGGTTTTGCCTTTACTAAAACCTAATAGAAGATTACGTTTGTTCTTGTATCGACCCTTTTTTTTTAATAAGAATTTGATGGGAGCTTAAAGTGGTTCCTAAATAGTTTGAGAGCTTATCTGTCGAACAGTTACTCTCATATAGAGGATTCAGGGAATGGAAAAAGGAGGACCTCCTAGCATCTTTGTGAATGATGGTTCGTTCATGGAAAGATTCAGGCAGCTTCAACAGGAGAAAGATAAAGAGAAGGATAAGGTTGTCCATGTAGAGGATTCTAAGCCTGTGAAGATTATCTCTGTGGTTTCAAATCCAAGGCCTTCTGTTAATACGAGTTCAACTGGATTTAAGACCAATGATGCCCAGAAGAAAGGTGGTAAGCTTGCTTTCAGCTTGAAACAAAAGTCTAAGCTTCTTGCACCTCCTGTAAAGCTTGGTACAGAAGATGATGAGGATGAGGGGGATACGAACAATGATTCTGGCTTTGGATCTGCAAAGCGTCAAAAGTTAGAGCAGGGAGACACACCCGTAAAGTCGACGAAACTGTCAGATGTTGGTAATGGCTGTTTATATAAATATATATATATGTGTTTGAGTGGGTCTTTGTGGAAGTCTCTGGGATGGTTCTACTTGTCTTGCTGTTTTATGTTTCTTTCCTGTTTACTAAGTGCACCAGGAGGTTAGGAACAATTATGCCATATGATGTTAGTAGGGCCGAGTTTCCCATTCGTTGCATGTCTTTACTGATGAAGCGGTGTGTCGTATCTAAAATGAGATAGGCGTATTAGCCCTAAGATGTCAATTGTCAAAAGCCCAAGGAAGTTTCTGTTAGTATATGTCTTTATTGGTCAAGCTGCTTTTTGTTCACTGGAATTTAGAGGGAAATACAGTCTGGAGATTTAATTGTCTACTTAAATGCAGTGTCTCCCTTAGCCAACAATCCAATTGCTGGAAAGATTTGGAATATCTACCACGCCCTGCTACAAGATTTGCATTCATTGTTCATGGACTCGGTATTAATCAGTTTTGTAAGTGATGTGCAGCACCACCTTCGCCCAGTGATCCTACTGTGAAGAAAGTTGCTGATAAACTAGCAAGCTTTGTTGCTAAGAATGGAAGGCCATTTGAGCATATTACACGGCAAAAGAATCCTGGGGATACACCATTTAAGTATGTATTTCATTGCTTTTGGAGCATCTTCTGGATTTTTCTCTTTTATACACATTTATATTTAGTTGGTACTTCGGTTTTCTTGGCCTTATGTTTCTTCTGTCCTGTTTTCCAACCAGATTTCTTTTTGACGAGAGCTGTGCGGAGTACAAGTACTACGCATTTAGGCTGTCTGAAGAGGAAAAATCTATATCACAAACCAAGGATTCTGGTGTACTTCACAGTGGTAATTGTTACACTACACCTTCGTGTTTATTATATAGACCAAAAGTCATTGGTTCTCTTTATTTTATATTCATTTCAGAACATGCTTAGCTAAGAATGTGCTAGGTTTATATGTCCCATTTCTTTTCTTCCGCAAACAATATCTAGAACTTTTGATAATATGAATTTATATATGTTCTGTAGTATGATGTGAGGCTGCTTGTTCGGCTACCAAATCTTGGTGTATTCTTAACGCTGGTTTCCGTCGTTTTATCTTTCCAGGTGATGCAGGCCCGCGGACGTCCCCAGCGGCAACCTCTTCGCAAAAGCCAGCTCAGCAACAAACAGGCTATCAGATCCCTGCTTCAGCTCTCTATGATGCTCCTGAGGAACCTGGATCCTCCTCTAGATCTGCTCAGGCATCAATTACAAGACCTAGCAACAGTATGTCAGCTAGCCTTTTTATCTGCCTAGGTTCCCTCTTATCATTGGCATCTAGCGTTGATTGCGGGTTACATGTGTCAAAGTTGCAGGTGACTCCTATAGTTCGCAGAGGGGTGCAGACCCTATATCCATGATGGAGTTTTACATGAAGAAGGCTGCACAAGAAGAGAAGATGAGACGTCCTAGGCAGTCAAAAGATGAAATGCCTCCTCCAGCTTCACTTCAAGGCCCATCTGGTGAGAATGAAACCTATTGCTATTTCTGATTTTTTTAGGCAGCTTTGATGTTTTATCGCGCAATTACATTTGATTTCAGCAACTCCTTCCACAGACCCTGGAAAGAGAGGTCATCACATGGGTGATTATATCCCAGTTGAGGAGCTAGATAAGTTCCTTGCAAAGTGTAACGATGCAGCTGCACAAAAAGCCACGAAGGAGGCAGCAGAGAAGGCTAAGATCCAAGCAGATAATGTTGGACATAAACTCTTGTCGAAAATGGGTTGGAAAGAAGGTGCTTACTTGCCTCGCTCTATCTGTAAACTTGTGCCCTTGTTTCTTTCTGTATCTTGTGCCTTTATGGAGACAAGGAGCTTAGAAAATTGGAGGAGTGGATTACAGGTGAAGGTATAGGAAGCTCCAGAAAGGGTATGGCAGATCCTATAATGGCGGGTGATGTAAAGACAAACAACTTGGGAGTTGGGGCTTCTGCTCCAGGAGAAGTGAATCCCGAGGATGATATATACGAGCAGTACAAGAAGCGAATGATGCTGGGTTACAAACACAGACCCAATCCACTGGTACTTTTGCCAATCTTTTAGCTCCATTCTTTTTTGTAATAAGCACTTCTTTTGCTCACTTTTTGTCGCAACTGGTCTACAGGGAAACCCCAGGAAGGCGTATTACTAAAGAATCAATCAACTTTCTGCGCATAATCATGAGCTATCATCTATCATCCCACTCAGCCCCAGCTGAGATTTGCTTTTCTATTAAAAAATTATGTTCATGTTTTTAGATTGCTGACTGATAAAATTGAAGTGTTGGTATGGATTGGATTGTTTTATTTCCACTCTTAAGAAAATTTCTGTGTGAACAGAGCTTGAGACACAGTTGATCTGCTATTGGAAAATGACTGAGATTTCGATTTGATTATCATATCTTTATTAATATTTTGGAAGTCTAGGACAATACTAATACACTAAACAGCGTATTTATTAGAGTGAAAGGTAAATGAAAAAAAAAAAGAAACGAAAAAGAGGATAGGTCGGTCCTAGACTCCTAGTTAATGACATCGCAGGGAGGGAAATTAGCAGAGCATCTCTGAGGAAGCTGAAGAGCCATGGATCGGTCAATGCCAGAGAGTGGAGGTCCATTGGCAAGAAGGCAAAGACAAGGACGACCAAGTGTGACAACGGCAGTGCAACACGACTCAGTCGGTGGGACCGGGCTGAAAGGAGCCACCGCTGCTCTACACGGTATCAGCTGCACCAGAGCCGAGAAGAATGTTCTGCTGCATCCTCCCACTTCTTCCTCAGGCAGCATCGGTGGTGGTGGTTGCAGGTCCTCTTGCTGTGCAGTGACTATGGTAAGAACCGTTACGGTCACGAGTAGTGCGATTGCTAAACCACCAACACGCATGGCTTTCATCATCATGTTAACAGCAATAGTAATGAGACGATGCATGATGCAACGGGATGATGCATCTTTATACTATGAAGAAGGGGTGTCATGCCGTTACACACCTCTCTCCTACCTTACAACCAAATAGCCCAACGGCTACTTCGTGTGTTTCCCCACTCTTTACACAGCGCTTTAACCTTTAATCAAGCTATACCGCCTACATCGGTAAAGAGATTTTAACCAGTAAGTGACGGTAATAGTTAGCTGCGGTAAGAAAGTAATATTTTAGTGGTTTGAATAGTCATAATAATTGAAGATAAAATGAAAAAAACAATTAGAAAGACTAGACATGTAGAAAAAAATGAAAAAAGAGAGTTAAGTGTGCCTTCTTTGCCTTGTTGGTACAAAGCATCTCTTTACCGGTTAGGTGTGTCGACAGTGGCTTGAAACATGTTCGGCTGGGAATCATGAGCGGGTCAGGGTTATAAGTTTCGGGTCATTGCGGTTTTGACCGTATTGTCAAACGGTTCAACAGCAGCACGTTACATAAACAGAGAAGTCGAATATACGATGGTAGATATGCTATGTTTTATTAATTGTATAAAACATATGTACATATACGTAAATCGTAATCAAAAGTTCGTATTCATATGCGTGAAAGGGAGACTTTTATATGCTTAATTAAAAGCCTTACAGACTGTAACTGTGTAACAGATACACCACAAAACCCATTGATTAAGATTTAAGACTAAACATACCAAAGATCATGCCCGAGGAAAAAATCGAAACCGTATCGGAACAGACTAATATGAGACAGGTTATATATCCTAATATCCTTAGCTGTTTCTCGTCCTAGCCATAAAATCAAAAACATAAATATGTTTGTGGACCTTCTGGGTCATTTGGTCAGTAATTAATCGCAAATTAAAATCTAAACTTGCTTAAACTGAGATGATTTGTGCAATAAATCGCGCATCATTCCCGCGCTAAAAAGAAAAGCCCAGAAAATGGCCCAACAAATAAAGCCCAAAGGGAGTGATTGGTTGTCTCTCGCTGTCTCCTACTCACTCAGCTCTAACACATAAGAGTCAGAAAATCATCAGCCGCCTCTTTCACTTCAACCCTCCTTAAACCTCATCCCTTTCCTACTCCGCCGCTCTCTCCGTCGTCGCCGCCGTCATCCCATTTCTCTTGTCCCTTCAAGGTAATTCACTATATTCCCCTTCAGATCCTCCATCCAAACCCTCTATTAGTCTTGCTAATGGTCTTTCTCCATCTAGCCTCTAATTTAATATCCGCGACTTTTTCCCCTTTTTGGATTGTATTGCTCCTTTTCCTCTGTTTCTATCAAACGAATGAGATTCTCTAATTCAATCATTTTTGCATCGTTTCTGCATGTTTATTCGATCATTTGCTTTCTACTTCCTCTTAACATGTTCTACTAATTCACTAGTTAACCTCCTCCTCTCTCTCTCTGTTCTTCCAACTAGGTGAAATGGCTGGGAAGTCGAACAAATCGAAGGCCAAGAGAGCGGCTCAGAGCTCTGCCGCCAATTCCACTGACTCTGCACTTCAATCCGATGCTCCTGCTGCTGCTGCTCCTGCTTCCGCTCCCGATAATGGAGCCGTCAATGCTGTTGAAGCCGCCGTGCCTGAAGCCAATGAAATTCCAGCTCCGCTTCCTAAGGCTGAAGAAAGCGAATCGCAAGTGGAAAATAACGATGCCCAACCCAAGCAAGGTTAGCTCTTATTCGTTTTTTACGGAAGCAGCCAATTTATATAATCTCTCAATTTGCAGTTTGTGCTTTTCTCTTAAGCAAAGCAAATTCATTTACACCCTCTTGCGTTATTGCTCGCTATTGCGTATAGCTCGCTCTTGCGTATAGCTCCCTCTTGCGTATAGCTCCCTCTTGCGTATTGCTCTAAGCGTTTGATATGCTTGACTTTAACAGGTGAACTTCGTCTTTACCCTGTTGCTGTCAAAACACAAAGTGGCGGTAAAATGGAGCTACAGGTGAGTTCGTTTTTCTTCCTAATATAGGCCGGTCTTAGAAAATCACATATAATTTCGATTTCTTCAGTGATGTATGTTCTATATATTACATACATTTTTCAATCACATTATCCTTTTATGCCGCTTTTCTCTTACATATATTATTGGTGTGAGTTACTGAATCTGTCCAATGTATCTGTTTTGTAGTTGAACCCTGGAGACTCAGTGATGGACATAAGGCAATTCCTCCTTGATGCCCCAGAGACGTGTTATTTCACGTGCTATGAGTTGTTGCTCCGCAATAAGGATGGGGAGACTCACCATCTGGAGGATTACAATGAGATCTCTGAAGTAGCAGACATCACAAGTGGCGGTTGCTCCTTGGAAATGGTTGCAGGTATGTTAAGACCTTTTTTTTCTCTCATTTTGTATAAGTTGAAATTAATTGCTGACAGTTGATTTGATTGATATGTGTCTTTCTACAGCTTTCTATGATGATAGATCAATCAGGGCTCATGTTCATCGTGCTAGAGATCTCTTGTCGCTTTCGACACTCCATTCTTCCCTATCAACAACGCTTGCCTTGCAGTATGACTCTGCATCGAACAAAGTTCAGAATCCTGGAGGTTTCTGATTTGAATCTTATTCTTAGTGGTGTTTTGCTTTAATAGTCTTGCTTTTCCGTGCACAGTGAAGAGTATAATTCTGGTTTCTTTTCTGAAACAGACAAACCCGAGCTTGAATGTCTGGGTTTCATGGAAGATGTACCTAGCTCTCTCAGGAAGTTGATAACTTCTCCATCGGAAGAGATCAAGTGTGTGGAGAACATTGTCTTCTCATCGTTCAATCCACCACCAAGCCACAGAAGGTATAATTCAGCTATTTGTGACATTTCTGCACTCATAAGGTTATTATTTACGTTGTATCTCATGATATTTGTTGTCACAGGCTTGTAGGAGACCTAATTTATTTAGATGTTGTGACGCTGGAAGGAAACAAATACTGCATCACGGGTACCACGAAGGCGTTTTATGTTAATTCGAGCTCAGGGAATATTCTCGATCCAAGGCCAAGTAAATCTGGGTTCGAAACAGCTACTCTTATTGGATTATTACAAAAACTTAGCTCTAAGTTTAAAAAAGGTGGGAACTATAATACACGTTATTCTTCATAGCTTATTATTATTTATCTCTCCTTTTTATGACTTAATATTAGCATTCTGTTTGTTAATTATCTTCTATCTTCCCTTGGACATCAAAGCTTTCCGCGAGGTCATGGAAAAGAAAGCCTCGGCACATCCCTTTGAAAACGTTCAATCGCTTTTGCCACCACACGCATGGCTAAGATCATATCCTGTTCCCGGTGAGTTTGACTTTAATAGCATTTTGAGTCTGTATCAATTTTGCACAGATGGAACTTGTGTACTGTAGTTTGCTTTTGCGTGCTGCACAGTAATTTGGTTTAGTAGCGTGGTTCTGTTTCTTTTACAGGACGGTTCTCCGTTCTTCCAGTTGTAAAAGGATAGATAATGGTTCTGAGATATTAAGATGGCACCCTGAGAAGTAGCATGGTTGTAGTTGAAAAATCTTGATTTAAATGAACGCTTTGCCTTGATCTTTAGTTTCATATTATGTAATAGTTTCTTGAAGTCCCTTTCTTGTCTGCATCTCAAGGTCCAAGTCATGAATTGCTCTAGGATATTCATTTTGATATTTTTTTCTAACTGATATATTGATAATTCATTGTCTAAATGGTTACTTGTTTATCGACTGCATACTCATATATAGAGTGTGCGCTTCTGCATTCAACTATTGATGTATGCGGAGAGAAGTCCCTGTTTATATGTGGCTGATATTCAAGGAAATTCAAAACTAGTCGGCCTTTGTTCCCCATTTCCCAGAAACCCCGTTAAAATAAGATTCATTTCTATTATATCTGAGCATAGGCTCTTGTATCTGGCTCAGATCACAAGCGTGATGCAGCAAGAGCCGAAGAAGCACTGACCATTTCCTATGGTAGTGAGCTGATCGGTATGCAAAGAGATTGGAACGAAGAGTTGCAATCTTGCAGGGAGTTCCCTCACACTACTCCTCAGGAGAGGTACATATGATATTTGACTACAGTGAATTTATTCTTCTGCTGGAATTCTGTTCCTTTCGCACATTGCTTCATACTGAAATTTTCCTTTTTTGTAGAATCTTACGTGACAGGGCTCTTTACAAAGTGTCGTCGGACTTTGTTGATGCAGCACTTAACGGAGCAATCGGTGTAATCAGCCGATGTATACCACCCATAAATCCAACTGACCCAGAGTGTTTGCACATGTCAGTATTGATCCTTAGGCATTTATCGTTGATTCTCTATTGACAGCTCATGTTTTATTGTTTTTAACTCATTTTTGCCATGAAATTTTGCCAGTTGAATGGTTCTATTTACTCTAAAACATGTGCACACGACTTGGAGCGTTTAGATGTTTGGTTTTTCCCACCAGCGTCATAATTTTAACACTTGTCATTGTCCACTGTTGTAGGTATGTGCACAACAACATCTTTTTCAGTTTTGCTGTTGATGCCGACATCGAACAGCTATCCAAGAAACGTCCATCTTCGGTGACTGAAAAAGCTTCCTCAACTGAAAAGGTTCCATGCACAGATACAACCTGCGATGGAGCAGATCATAGCAGCTGTAATGAGGCACCTCTTGTTGAAAATGAGCAAGCAACGTATGCCTCTGCAAACAACGACTTGAAAGGGACAAAGTTATATCAAGAAGCTGATGTCTCAGGGTTATATAATCTGGCAATGGCCATTATCGATTACAGAGGTCATAGGGTTGTTGCTCAGGTTTGTACTAATACTGAAACTGCCGAGCCCTTTTTCTTGAGATTATCTGCATCTTGCTTGTGTATATTTTAATAGCGTGCAATGTGTTTCATGTGTGTTCTAGAGCGTTCTACCAGGCATCCTTCAAGGGGATAAATCAGATGCGCTTTTGTATGGTTCAGTCGATAATGGCAAGAAAATATGCTGGAATGAGGATTTTCATGCTAAGGTAAATGCATATAGTCTGCCTTGCTGTTGGATTTTGTAGGCATTTATGTGATAGTTCTAGTACTGATCTATTTTTACAAGATTATTTTATTTTATATATTTTATAAGACCGTATTTGTCCTAGCATTACTCTTATTCCTGATTTATTCCTGATTCAGGTGCTAGAGGCTGCAAAGATTCTTCACATAAAGGAGCATGCTGTTATTGATGCTTCCGAAAATGTCTTTAAGTTAGCTGCACCAGTAGAGTGCAAGGGGATTGTTGGCAGTGATAACAGGCATTACCTATTGGACTTGATGAGAGTGACGCCTCGTGATGCCAATTATACGGGTCCAGAGTCACGCTTTTGTGTCCTAAGACCAGAACTGATCACATCATTTTGCCAGGTACACGTTCTTTCTTTATTCCTTAGAACCATTTTTCACTTGAGTTTTCCTTTGACAATATATTTTCATGATGAAGGCCGAATCTGTGGAAAAATCACCAAGTAAAACCAAGGCTGATGAAGGAACGGATATTGTTCCTGATCCTTCGGATGTTAGTGTTGATACTACTAAACCTGTAGAGGAGAACGGAGCTTCTGAGGTATGTGCTCCCTCCTTGAATGTTTGTAAAGTGAATATGCAAACAGCCAAAATACCAAGTAGGATCGGCCTCTGTAACAATGATGAAAATGACTCTTCATCTATATTAGTAGACCAATACTGGATATTTTCTGTGCTAATACAACTGAACTCGGTAGTTCAATGCTCTATTGTTTTTGAGTTGAGATTTTTTTTCCCAACCTTGCTTGCTAATGCTGAAGAAAATGTCTGAGAACAGCTGTATCTGTATTATAGGAAGCTGTAATTGCTGATATCTATGAGTATTTTGCAGGAAACTGTTACAGAAAAGCAAAATACCACCGCCCAAGATTCTGCAGCCGGATCTTCTGAAAGTTCCAAATCATGTGATGAAATAGCATTTAACCCCAATGTCTTCACTGACTTCACATTAGGTGGCACACCAGAGGTAAGCTATGTGGCTTATAGGTGATTTGTTTTTAGATTATTCCTTAATATTTATTTAACTGATTGGATGATCTTCTTTTTGGGTTAACCAGGAGATAGCTGCTGATGAAGAAAATGTGAAGAAAGTTAGTTCATACCTTGTGGATGTGGTACTTCCAAAACTCATAGAAGATCTTTGCTCCCTTGAAGTTTCCCCAATGGATGGTCAGACTTTGACTGAAGCACTCCATGCCCATGGAATTAATGTTCGATACATTGGAAAAGTAAGTTCGTCACCTGTTATTATCGTTTTATTAGCTATCTCCATCCTTAATCTTTTTAACAATGGTTGTACATGAACAGATTGCTAATGGAGTAAAGCACTTGCCTCATTTGTGGGATCTTTGTGTAAATGAGATAAGTGTCAGATCCGCCAAGCACATTGTCAAGGTAATTAGAAAGATTATAATTTTTTTACCACAACAAATATGGTCAAACAAGAGTTATGTCTCAGTGGACAAACTCGTATCATGTGGTATATGCAGAACAGTTTAAGATTTGAAGAATTGGTGTTTGTCCATTGTTGTTTAAAGTTTACATGATAATGCAGGACATTCTAAGAGATATAGAGGATCACGATATTGGAGGAGCAGTCTCACATTTCCTCAATTGTTTCTTTGGAAACTATTTAGCTACTGGGGGAAAAGCAAGCACCAACAGCTTGCATGCTAAAAATCAAAAGAAGGTTCGTATGCACTTTCAGACTTTGTCTTTATAAAGTTCCATGTTTTTTCTTTATATTTCAGTTCTTTTGAGCAGTCTATTAATTTTCATGAAACATATATTTTTTATTGTTTCTGATTGGTATAATGTACAATACTGACCCTTGAATTTGGACAGGATCAGTTTGTCACCAAGAAGGGTCAAGGAAGAGGGAAAGGAAAAGCTTCTGCAAAGAAAAGTCTATCATCGTATATGATGGTTGACTCCAACATTTTATGGTCTGACATTCAGGAATTTGCCAAAGCCAAGTATGAGGTATAGTAATCATTCTCAAATTAAACTAATTTTATTGCTTGTCTATCTGAAGAGTTGTCCGAAGCTAATGTGAGCTTTATTTTCAGTTTGATTTGCCTGAGCTGTCAAGAACTACAGCTAAAAAAATACCTGTTCTCCGTAACCTCTGCCAAAAGGTAATCAGAGAGACACATATCTTGTTCCTTCAGAATTTAGTTACCAATGCCATTTAATTATTGTTATTAATTTTTATTTTTCTGATAACAGGTTGGCATTAGTGTTGCTGCTCGCAAATACGACTTTGGGGCCACCTCACCCTTTGATGCTTCGGATGTATTGGATCTTCGGGCTGTTATTAAGCATTCTGTACCTGTATGCTCTGAGGCTAAAAATCTCGTTGAGATGGGGAAGGTCCAACTGGCTGAGGTAGCTATGCTATTTTCACATTAGTTGTCTTAGTTTCCGCCTGTTACATCATGAAGGTCTTTGTCTTACTGAAATGTTGAATCTCTTGTAGGGCATGCTTAGTGAATCCTACACGTTTTTTTCGGAGGCGTTTTCAATACTTCAACAGGTTACTGGTCCAATGCACAGGGAAGTTGCAAACTGCTGCAGGTGATGTTTCTATTGGCTGATGTTCCACCGATCATCTATTTGTGTTTGATGTTAGTCTACGATCTATGAATTTCCGTTTAGTTGCCTAAGTTTGTTTTTGTCTTCCTTCGCTTTTCAGGTACCTGGCCATGGTTTTGTATCACGCAGGAGATATGGCTGGGGCCATAATGCAGCAACACAAGGAATTAATCATAAACGAGCGATGCCTTGGTTTGGACCATCCTGATACTGCTCACAGGTATCAACTATTTTCCTCGAATACTGTAACTTGATCTGAGTTGGAAACTTTATGAACTTTCAGCATTTGACTTGCTTCAAATATTCTGTACTTTTCATATTTTATTATGTGAAATTTAACAACACTGCTACTGAATTTATTTCAAGTGAATGTAGTTTCGTCTTCCTTAATTCGTTAGGAAGTAGTACTCTAGTTAATTGATATTTCGAAGTCAGGACTTGCAGTGCGCTCCTATTAGTTTTCTATGGCTTGATATATGTTACTTACTTGTGGTATCTGAACTGCAGCTATGGCAATATGGCACTTTTCTACCATGGACTTAATCAGACAGAACTTGCTCTACAGAACATGGGCCGTGCCTTGCTATTACTTGGCCTTTCATCTGGCCCAGATCATCCAGATGTTGCAGCTACCTTTATAAATGTTGCCATGATGTATCAAGATATGGGCAAAATGGACACATCTCTACGTTATCTTCAAGACGCTTTGAAGAAAAATGAGAGACTTCTTGGCCCTGAACACATTCAGACTGCAGTATGTTACCACGCTCTGGCCATTGCATGTAACAGTATGGGTCTGTTCAAGCTCTCACACCAGGTAATACAACTTCTGTAAGGCTTTTGAATCCTCTATTTTGTCTCATTGTTCTGAAGCAATTGTTTTGCTTTGGCCAGCATGAGAAGAAAACCTATGAAATACTTGTCAAACAATTGGGAGAAGATGATTCCAGGACAAAAGACTCTCAAAACTGGATGAAGACGTTTGAGATGCGTGAGATTCAGGTTTGTGCAACGATAATGACTGATGAGTAACTCTTTATATATGTATACATTCTCCTTTATCTTTCTCAAATTTTTGGTTTTTTTTTTTTTTTTTTTTTGCCTCAGAAAAATGCACAAAAGCAGAAAGGCAATTCAGTGAATGCGGCCAACACGCAAAAGGCTATCGATCTCTTGAAGGTATCTTACTTGCAGCTTTGTTTCCTGCATGCTACATTTATTGGTATAATGAGGCAAGTAATTAATGAAATCGTTTTCTCTGATTGGTATGCAACAGGCACGTCCAGACCTGATACAGGCGTTCCAAAGTGCAGCAGCAGCTAGTGAGAGGAATAATGCAATGAACACGGGCGTCGAGGGTCAACCTCGGGGCAGAGGTTTTGATGAAAGAGCGGCACGTGCTGCTGCTGAAGTTAGGAAGAAAGCAGCTGCTAAGGGATTACTGGTTCGTCCCCAGGGCGGAGTTCCAGTTCAAGCGATGCCACCGCTTTCTCAACTGATCAATTCAGTAACCGCAGATTCTTCTAAGAAAAGCGGTGAGAACGGAGAAGCGAAGGTAGAAGAGAAGAAAGAAGCCTCTGAGAACGGGAAAACAGCAAACGTGGGTCCTGCAGGATTAGGTGCTGGTTTAACATCTTTGGATAGGAAGAAGCAAAAAGCCAAAAAGTAATAAAGTAGGAGCGCTTTAAAGGAAAATGGTGCTCTCGATTCTGAGTGGTTTTGTGACCACTTTGCTGATTTCATTGCAGGAGAAAGACTTGTGTACCATAAGCTTCTATCTTGTTCACGTTATGTTTTGGGCAACTCCCCCTATGTCTGGTTTTCTCTTTTTTTTCCCTCACTTTCATGCGGATGTAATTTTTATCCCACAGAAGCTTCATTGATTTTTAGTAAACTATAAGAATAAGCTCACGACATACGCTTTGATTTAACGACATTTGGACTTGCTTTCTTGTTTCACAGGTCTAATATATTAAACTCGATCAAGTGATCAAGCCATTAACTATTTGTTCCTAATGTGGATCGATTTGGTTACATCAACGAACCCGTCGTAAAGTTTGCTCATGTGATTTGATGTTGGAAATGAACATTACACACTTCTGTTCGTCTACAATCAGTGCCGGTTTTTAATACGGGCGGAATCAGTATGGCCGACCCATTACACTTAGCCCAAGTTTTTACGGCTCGATAAGGCCCAATTATCCAAGAGGATGAAGAAGTGTGAGAGACGACGGCTTATGGATAATGTTGATACTTGATAGCACACCACCTTCTTCTTCTTCTTCCCAGTCGATACCTTTAATCTTCTTATTCCTCTCCGACAATGGCTACTTTCCTCACAGCTGTTTCAGTCAAACCTAAAGTCTTCTCATTCCAGTCAGAATCCTTCACTTCTTTGCAGACGCAGTCCAATGTATTCTCCCTCAAAGCATTTCCTTCTCTCGCCGGAACAATCTCAATCTCCCTTCCACGGAGCTCCAGGATGAGATTCATTCCCCATGCGGTGATGGAGACGGAAGAGAAACCCGCTCTGGACCCTAATTTGGAATCCTCCAGGCGTGTCTACATCGGGAACATACCCAGAACGGTGGATAACGAGCAGCTCACCAAAATCGTTGAAGAACACGGCGCCGTTGAAAAAGTTCAGGTTCTTGCTCCTTCATCTCTTCTTCTTCTTCTTCTATAGTTAGCTAGTTAGTTAGTTTATCATAAAGATATGTGATTTTTGATGTTTCTGGGTTGAATTTTCCATCAGGTGATGTATGATAAGTATTCAGGACGAAGCCGTCGATTTGGATTCGCTACAATGAAATCAGTTGAAGATGCCAATGCTGTGATTGAGAAATTGAATGGCAGTGTGAGCTTTTTTTCTTCTTTTCAGTTTCTTCTCTTCATTCACCATTTTTAGGTTCTGAAGAAAAAATAATGACAAAAGCTTTTGGTTGCTGTTCTCAGACCATTGAAGGGCGTGAGGTAAAGGTTAACATCACAGAGAAACCTATAGCATCATCTCCTGATTTATCGCTGCTTCAGTCCGAAGATTCGGCGTTTGTAGATAGCCCTTACAAAGTGTATGTAGGGAATCTAGCAAAGACTGTCACAAAAGAGATGCTTGAGAATCTGTTCTCAGAGAAAGGCAAAGTTGTGAGTGCCAAGGTCTCAAGAGTACCTGGGACTTCGAAATCCACCGGCTTTGGATTCGTAACCTTCTCTTCAGAAGAAGATGTTGACGCTGCCATTTTGGCTCTTAACAACTCTGTAAGTTGCCCTCAACTGTTTCATGACTTCATCATCTTCACTTACAAACATTATTAGTGTGTTGCAGAATCGTTGTTCTCATTTTGATGTTTGAACTTGTTTCAGTTGTTGGAAGGACAGAAGATTCGGGTGAATAAGGCGTAAGAGACTTTTGCATCATCACAAGAACGTGAAAAGAATCGTTTTTTGAGGAGTTTGTAATTGTGATGCAAACATCTAGAGCATAGTATCTTGTATTCATTCTGAGTTGAAAAAATTAAAGCATTTAGATTATTTTATCTTTCAAATTTCTGATCTCTATGCAGCCATATATAGAGATGATAAGCTGCCAATACGGCAAACACTCAAAAAAAGGCCAATAAAACAATTTAAGTTTAAGATTGATACAAAAAACTGAGGAAGAACAAACTCAAATGAGGAAAAGAAGAACGGTCATATACGGTTTCAAAGTTATACAATCTCCTCAAAAAAAAAAAAATCGATTTTGAAAAATCAAATTTATTTTGATCAACGGAAATCAAATTTTATTTAAATATTTCTTACACGCAATAAAAATTTACTATTTGTTGCCCAAAATCAGTTAAGCGAGAGATGAAATGAGATAAGATGCGATGCTTAGCCTGAAGAATCCATCTCCTTTCTTCTTCTCCGGCCAAAATCGGAGAACCCATTCCTGCTCAACGCCTCCGCCTCGTGCAGCCGCCGACTTCGCTGCTTCTCCTTCAACGCTAATCTCTCGCCGCCTCATCCTTCTCCGTCACGCTCACAGTTCATGGGACAACCTTTCCCTCAGAGGTACACTCTTCTCCATTCTCTCACTCTCTCAAATTTCCCGTCATAATCGAATCAACATCTTATACTCTCTCTCACTCTGAACGATAGACCATGATCGTCCTCTAACGAAAGCCGGACAAGCCGATGCTGCCAAAGTTGCTCAAATCCTCTCCACACTTGGTTGGCTTCCCCAACTCATTCTTTCAAGGTCTTAAATCCCTAAACCTCCCACTTTCTCAATTTCAAATTGTCTCGTGATTGATTGAGAACCTCTTCGTTGGTGTGTTCACAGCGACGCGACTCGCACTAAGGAGACGCTGAAGTCAATGCAGGCGCAAGTGGATGGGTTTATGGAGGCGAATGTACATTTCATTCCAAGCTTTTACTCCATTGCTGCCATGGACGGCCAAACCGCAGAGCATCTTCAACAGATTATCTCCAAACATTCGTCCCCTGACATCACCACTGTCATGTTAGTCACTTAGCTTACACATGTGTACGTCTTCGTCTTCCTTGTGTCCTGTGTTATATCATTCCTTCTCCCAAATTTGGGTTGCACAGGTGTATGGGGCATAACAAGGGTTGGGAAGAAGCAGCCTCCATGCTCTCTGGAGCTTCCGTTAAGTTGAAAACTTGCAATGCTGCTCTGCTTCAGGCTTTTGGCAACTCCTGGGAAGAAGTTTGTAGATTCAATCCTTTCTTGTTTATATGCTTGAGCTCGCTTTTTCTTTGATTTGAAACTAAATCTTTTATTTTTGGCATCACAGGCTTTCGCGCTTGCTGGACCTGGCGGATGGAAACTTGAAGGTGTAGTGGCTCCAGATAGCACCATCTGTGTGTAAGAGACTGCAACTATCCAAAGCTTCAAGCTTACCTTTTTCCCCATGGTTGCTTTCTTCTCTCCTCTACACTTGCAACTTTTGCTTTGTAAAGTTTCATCCTTTCATGTACCAAGTAGTTTAGCTTCTGATGATGAGAGCAAAGCAAGAACAGATTGCAAAGTAAGATCCAAGCATCAGGGATATGTTCAAATACAATCATATTATTTGAATAAATTGGGGATTTTACATTTTACTTGAATTGACTTTTTTTCCATTGGTGAGTCATTTTTATTCATGCTATCATACACTTTGTAACCTCAGAGATTCCATGGGTTATTGTGTCTTGGAGGGTCAATGTCTTTAAGGGCTTTCCATACAACACTATTGCATTTAAACCCTGACCCGAAACCGATCTGCCAAACTTTATCCCCTCTCTTAATCTTGGCTCTGTGTTCCAAGTAAGCCAGCTCGTACCATGTACTGCTACTCGATGTATTCCCAAAGCGTTCCAGTGTCCGCCTTGACGCCTCCATGTTCTCTTCCGTCAGCTTGAGATCCTTTTGAATCTCATCAAGCACTTTCTTACTCGATGCCAATACGCATATATGCTCAAAACAAGGCTCAAGACGACCAAGCGTTGTGATGTTTGCTTTGAGTGCACCGCGAGCAACTTCCATTACGTCTCTAGACACGTAGAGTCCTTGTTTCCCTTCTCTGTCTTCCCTCAACTCCATGCTCTTGTAACTCGTGTCATCCATGCCTTTATGTGTTCTTACTAGCTGTTTCATTTATCATAATCAGTCAAAATAGAGAACAGAGTAAAGAGTAAAACAGTCTGTTTCTTTTGTTATTGTCTCACCTGCATAAGCTGGTATTTGGATCTCCATCTATCGATACGCCGGCTAGAGAGCATAATCGCAGCTGCTCCCATCCGAAAGGAACAATTTGGTGGGAGCAACGTGACGTCATTGCCTGAGTACCAAGTGAAGCTCACTATCTCAGTGCTCACCACCAAAGCGTATGAGCCTTGATGAGCGTTCAAAAGATCTTTGGCTAAATCAATGGCTATGATTCCTGCGCCACATCCCATACCGCCTAGATTGTAGCTCTCTGTGTTATGCCTCAGCTTGTAATGGTTAATCACCATCGCTGATAGAGAAGGCGTGGTGTTGAGGACTCCGCAGTTTAGCACCAGGATCTTGATGTGCTTCACGTTGATTTTGGTCGCTGCAAGAAGCTCATCGATTGCTCCAAAGATCACCATCGCTGCTTCTTCACGTCCATCACGAAGATTGACCTTGTGACCAGGCTTGAACACCACTCTTGGCATGTAGCTCTCCTCTCCTATGCCTGATTGGTCCAGCACTTTTCTTTGAAGCTCGATGGAAGTCTCGTTGAAGTTACCAGACTTCATTGCCAACTCGATGAAGCCGCTTTTTGTAATCTGTACAATTTACTTACATCCACAAACACAGCAATGAGACGATTGAGAAAGGAAGAGAAGAAAGCTGGAGAGGGAAAGAGACATTGACCTTGAAATGATCGGGTGGGCGGTAACATGAGAAATCGAGAAGGAAAACAGAGGAAGGAGTAAGAAAATGGTAAACGAGAAGGAGCAAGAAGATGGATAAAGGATAAGCCAAGAGTGGGAAAAACCGTGAAACAAAGATGAAGAGAAGGACAAGAGGTGGAAGAAAGAAGCAAATGGAATGGGAAAGAGAGAGAAGGTAAATGTATCCAAGCTTGACGTATTTCAAATTCACTGATCCAAGGAAATCAGGAAGGCCCTTGCGTGACTTTGACTCAACTCCACCATTCATCATCTTCGTTGCCTCTTTCTCCATTTTGGCTAAGCATCAAAAGCTTGTGGTCTCTGTTTAAATAATCAGATAAAAATGAGTCACTGTAACAGAAAGAGGGCTTCTCTGGTGCATGTCACCGTTGAAGTGGCGGGTTTTGCTGCATCATTCAGCTCGTGTGGTGTAACTAAACCAAACCTCGGTTCTAATAGTTTGCCTGTTTCTGACCAATCTAGGCTCAAATTCTCACTGCAAATCTGATGCAATAAAGAAGATAATCAGTCCCTTGAGACTTGCTGGTTCTCACAAATTAATTTCATGATTTTTAGATCATCTGTGTCTTCAAAATACTCGAGAGGATTATTCTCAGAATTTTGCTGTTTCGTCTCTGATAAATCTGCACTTTAAACACATGATTCAACCCATAACATTCAACACAAAAAATTGCACAGCACATTCAAACCATATCTCATCTTAACCTTACCAACTCTATGAGAAAACTACTAAAACTCAACCAACATATCTCTACAATATATTATTACTCGGACCAAAACTTCACAAAGGCTGTCAAAAAAGATTTCAGAACTGCCAAAAGGGGATTTGTTTCTTGTCCTGCCACATTAGATTGCCCTTTCCACGATTCGCTGCACAGAGAGAAAAAAAGAAGAAGAAAAGATTAGTAACTTCTGGAGAACTAAACACAGCTCCAACAGCAAAACTGAGACTTCGGAGTTTGTTTACTTACGGTTTAATTCTGTTTAACGTTGCAATGTTTCCTTTCTGAGAGCTGGAACTATCCGAAGCATCAAGTTTCCCTTCTTCCACGGTTGCCTTCTCTACACTTGTGATTTCATTCCTCGCACGGCTACTCATAGTGTCCACTTTTGCTATGTCGTTCTTGCAACTTCCAGACTGTTACACAATTTAATAAGGTTAGAAGGATCTCAACGTTAAACACAGTTTCTAGGAGCAGTCAACTAACAGCTATGCACATATGGAGTGTCACCCTAATCCGCAGAATTGCGACATGTTAACAAAGAAGTCTTGCAGCTAACATAACTAAATCATGACAACCTGCCTGAACACAAACAATTTTCTTGCACTAACACAATGAAAACTACTTGGTTCTAGAATTCAAATAGAATGCAAAAACAGACAGACTTGGCAAAGCTTACCTCAGTGCCAGATGTTGGCATTTGCTGTTCAGTTGTCAAAGCGCCATTACTAAATTCCTTACTCTCATGGATGTTGTCAATCACAGCACTCGCAACCACCGTATCTTTAGTATCAGCACATTCATCATCTGTTGAAGCAGAATTTACAATTTTCCCTTCAACTTTCTCTTCCATAGGGACAGAGATATGATTTGGCACTTGACCAACAATGACTTCTGTCCCCTGTTCTTCAGATACAGCAGAAGTGGATGACGAAATCTCTCCAAGATCAACAGAAGTTTCGGTGCTGCTATCAGTTTCCACTTTTGCCTCACTTCCTTTCCCACCCTCACAAACTTCATCCAGCTCACTAGGCTGTACAACCGATGACTCCAATGTTGAAGTCACAGGTCTTATTGGAAATGTCTCAACAACTATTTCTGCTGGCAAATCAGTTGTGCCAAATGTACTCTTCGTCATGTTCACCGTTTCGGTAATCGCTGCTCCAGCATCATTCACTATTTCGTCATTGCTAACAGGTTTGGTGCCTCCTGATTCAATAAAAGGTGTTTCCTCAAATCCTCTGTCTTTGTTGTCCACCTCGAGCTCTTCATCCAGAGGTTTGGTTGCAACACTGTCACATACTGTCTGAACTCTATCATGCATCCCTTTCTCATGCTTGGCATCATTTTCTTCATCGCAAGATGCTGCAAACTGAGTCCTGGATATGTCAGTAGATCCCACAGACTCGTGTACGAGCAGCCCTACGTCTTCTTTGGAAATTTGATTTCCGTTCACTTCCATGTACTTCAGTACATCAGATCCTCTGTCTTCCGAGGCAACATGGCTACCGTTAATGTTTTCACCGTTTTCAGGTGACTTAGTGTCCCGAGCCTCGGAAGAATCTGATGGAAATCCGTATGGGGACAAAGATAAAGGGGGCACAGGATCCATCAGGACTGAACTTGACAGACTCTGATCTTGCAAATGGTCAAAGCCTTTGCCTTGAAGAATCAAGTCACTAGTTCCAAGAACTCTATTTTCCTGGATAATCTCTCTAACAATCTCCCTTATGGTGTAGAAAGATCCACCCACCTCCTTGTGTGTGAGGCTAAGTGAAGGAAAACTCCCATTGTTTAGGCTTTGGTGCCTGCAAATAATCACCAAATTACTTACAATAGGTGCTACTGAAAAAAGAAATCAAAATCAAGATTCTGGAAAAAAAGGAATTAGGTGAATACTTCTTTATGAAAGATTCCACCAGAGTCTTTCTCTCCTCTTTGGGAATCCGATTACGCGTCCTCTTGCCTACAGAATCGTGGGGCTTAGCTAGAGCATATATTTGCCCCACGCAAGTTGTCTTTAGAGAGTGCATCTTCTCTCTCTTTGTTCTCTCTATATATATCCTACTGCATAAGGGTGAGAATTACGTCAGAACCAGACAAGCACCCCGAAAAAGCATTACAGTACAAAGTCTACCATCGAACTAACAAAAGCATTACAAATCATTAAAATAGATCCATTTAGTTCATCATTTCCCACAAAAATTGTTAATTTAGCATACGGGCACATCGGAGAGTCTCAACACAGAGTGATTACAAAACACACGAAGCGAAATTCAAATAGAGAGGACAGTTCAAAAGCAAAAACTCCGTCGATGGAAAAGACGAGACGGGAAAGCAAGAAGAGAGTTGCTCATAGTTTGTAGGGTTTACCTGCGACCGCGAGAAGAAAGGAAAGAGAGAGTGAGAGAGATTAAAATTCACGAGTCATCTTTGCAAATGGACTAAAACCCTACGCACCTACACAGAACCACAGTTCTCTGAGTGTTGGGAGGCGCAAGCGGGAATTTGGTAATTATTTCAACTTTCGGGGCAAAATCGTAACTCTCGAGGTTATTTGGTTAACTTTCGGGCACACATTCCATTGGTGAGTGTTGTGAACTGATTGTCCTTGATAGTTGTTCCAATTTTTTTAATATTTTTAAATGTAATGAAAAAGAACAAAGATTGAAAGTCTATGTAGTATATATTCTTGAACATAATACAACTAATTTCATGCGTTTTCTGCTATAAAACGTTAGCTTTATGTATTAGCAACATAAGCATTTTATTGTTACTAGTAAGTGCATTCACAGCGTTAAAAAGGATGCTCTCAACTCTCAAACTTGTGCCTCAGAACAAGTCTCCAAGAACTGGATTAGTTTCAATCGTTCTTCCTCCAAAAGCTCAGGGTCTTCGCTCGTTAACCTCTCCCGGGTTGCACCATCCACGCTCGTTGGATCATCCACTACCTGTTTCATTAAAAACAGCAAACATTACAGCATCGAACTCATTCATCAAAACTCGTTCGGCTCTCTAAGTTAAGAGAAAGAGACATTTTTACTTTTGCGTAATTATTGGTATGGCCGTCTTTGTTAGGTCCAATAAACGGCTCGAGCTCATTGTGTGTCCATTCACCATCTATGATGTATTTATATTCAAACTGTCCTTCCTGCGTTTTCAGAATTGATGTGGTGGTGGTCGGGAAAACGATAACAAAAGCAGAACACTGATCCTTTTAGTTCATTAAGAAAACTTACAGGCAATTCTCTCTTTAGGCTCCAGAAACCTGTTCCCTTGTCCAGCGTCAGAGGTATCCTCTGTGTATAAAGGCAACAAAAATGGTGAAATAAACACAACAAAAGACTTGCATGGATAATATTTACTTTGATGTGAAACTAAAGTAAGACATATTCACCTGTCCCCATCCAATGTCAAGGCCAGAAATTTCTACGGTGGAGAATCCCTTGTCTTTCAATGTCAGAGTAACAGTCTTCCTCTTAAGTCCTGTAAGCTTTTATGTCCATATACCAGAGAAAAAAGTGATCACTAAGTGACCATTGTTGTAACTTATGCTAAACAATGGAAATCTTCAATCATAGCAAGTATTGTGAAAGTTGACTACTTACAACATCAATTGTTGCATTTTTGATAGCATCCAGCTTCGGAAAGCACGATCTTTTGCTCTGCAATCAATTTTCAGAGATGTTGTATTGACCAAGTTTATGTTTCACCAGCCATCTAAAGATATATCACAATTAAAATGTCCAAAGCGCAATCCAGAAGTATATTTAGCATCTTACCATAAGTAGCTTATGAGCCTCCATAAGTTTATAGCCTTGCACCCAGAACATGTACGTCAACTGTAATTGCAAATAATACACACCTTCTCAGTAGTATCAGTCAGCAAAAAAGAGAAGAGCATAGTAACAGGTTTGTGCAACATACCGCAACAGCAGGAGCCCTCCCCATTCCAGCAGTGCAATGCACGTATGTAACTCCTCCATTTCGCTTAACAGCTTTGTACAGTGTACTAACCACAGCAGGAAGACGCATTCTCAAATCAAATGCATCAAAATCTCTGTCACATCAAGAGATTACATAATATGTCAAGCCTTAGGTTGTGAGTAAGTGTGTTGTTCATGATGAATCTTCTACCTCATAGGCTTCTCATGAAGTATATATCATAAGCAAATAAGAAAGGTACTGAAACTGCAACCCAGAAATCAGCTCTCGATATCAATAAATGGCGTGAACAAAGTAAAAATTATGGCTCGTTGATTTTACCAAGGCCTTTATACCTTATTTCGCAGCGAATATGCTGAATATCATCACATTTGTCAGCATATGCTTGGATGCTGCTTATATCTACTCCAAAATATCTGCAAGTATTTAGTCAAGGCACTCTCCAGATCATTCTTCCTCACTCAAACCGAAGAAAAATTTACAAAAAATTCATAAACATGAACAGAAAAAAAGAGGGCTTTGGAAGGATACTCCAAGTCTGGATCTTGTTGCAAGCAAAATATGGTTTTGACCCCAATTTTACGAAGCTTGTCAACATCTTCAGGGGTCTAGCAATAAAGGGATGCAGAGAGTAAGAACACCACACATTTCCAAAAAAAAAGAAATCATCTTTTGACAGAAGGATACAAAGAAGAAACCTGTAAGCACGATCCAACAATTAAATCTGGACGAATAAAGTTGTAGTTCATCCCTAGTTCGTGTCTGTAGGTCAAAACTGTAATGAAAACACATAGAAATTTGGGGGTAAAGCAGAATAAGAAAGAAGAGTATTCCAATAAAAGTTGTATTTTGTGATCTGATCAAAGGCATTCATTCTCTTGGTAGACAGATGGACAAAAACTAATGTAGTAATCAAAAATCAGAAACTTGTGTGTTTTGTTCTTCAAAATGAGCACTCCAGTATAATCTAAACGTACCAGCACCCATGGCTTGAGTCATGTCTTGGCTATATTCATCAGATTTCTCCTCCTCCTTTGAGACACCACTCATCTCTGAGCTGAATTTTGAATCTGATACCGCCTAAAGTCGAGGCATTTCCACAAGTTTCAAAGCCAGCAAGTAACACATACAAAAACGGGAATTTAGTCGAACATTATGTGACCATTAAACTACCATTTTACCTGTAAAACAAGTCGAGCTTTAGGATCATTGGCTTTGATCGGTAGCTGCAAAAGGAGTTTCCAGAAAGTTGGACGATTTTTTTTAAAAAAAAAATCAATAGAGTCGTAAATAGGTGATACCAGCATCTTCAAAGAAGATGAAGAAGGATCTCTTTGATTGCCCGCAAAGCTCAACAAAGGTGAGACCAACGATCTGAAATCAGTGAAGATGAACACACGACACACGAAATCAAATCGAATAAACGAACCAAAATGAACAATTAAATTTCTGAAAGCAAAGGAGGGATACCTGGGAAGATTCTGAAGACAATTCATCTTAGAGAAATGTAGAAAGAAATAAAATATCAGAGGAAGGAAAGTGAAGCTTGGTCACTCAGTCCCTAGTTCGCAAAAAAAGATCTGTGGTTTTAAGTTTATAATTTCGATTCAGGTCCAAAATCGTTGTGAGTGGGAGTGTCTCTGTGTGTGTGTGCGTGACTCTGAGGATGGCGACAATGAAATTGGGACCCCACGCTCGGGAATGCTAATCACTTTTGTTTTGTTTCGTACGTAAAGGGACAATTACTAAAAACAGAACCCCAAACTTTTTTATTAATCAAAAACACCCCCTTCTTCACCAAATTAAAAAATTTGTTACCGTAAATTAAATCAGATTCGCGATCTCTATTCTTCTATAGATTCGACTGAGTTTTATTTTGTTTTCTTGTAAGAAATTGAGCTTTTAGGTTTACGGCTTTGAATTGTTCTGGGTCCACAAACTCTGAACCTGTATTATTAATCCGTGTGCCACACACATCACCACTGTTTAAGTTTTGTTTTGCAGAATCTTCGTAAACAGAGAATAATCTCACAGATTATTTGTTAGATATTTCCTTTTACTTTAAACGAAAAAAAATCTAAAAGTGTTATTACTGTTTTTGATATTTTTAGCTTCGAAAAGCTAGTGTAATGGGGACGTTGGCCAAAACAAGGAAATAGCTAACGGGACCACGCAGTTCACGTGACGTCATCGTGTCTCTTATTGCTACCGACCATACACGTGGCTTTGGTGTTAATCAAACTCTCTAAGTCATGTGCAACGCCAATATCTTTGGAACTCCCAATTCAACGACGTCGAAACAGCAAAACGAAAATTTTCAACTACAGAATCAAAAAGAGTTCATTGTCAGACAAAATCGGAAGAATAATGAGAGCGAGGAGACAGAGAAGCGGCGTTGTCAAGGGTTGAAGAAGAAGCCGCACCTCTAACGATAATCATGGAATGCAAGAATCCTTTAGTTGAGAAGTGATATTAGTGGACAAGAGTTTCAAAAACATAATTTAGAACAGCCATTAGCTTCATACTGCATGAGCCACTGAACAAGAATGGAAAAAAAAAACATCATAGACAAGAGAAAATGCGAAAGAAAAAATCAAGACCCATGAACATTAAGGTAAGGTGACAAGTTAAAGAGCCAGCAACCAAAGTAGCTCACTTAAAAGCTTCTAAAACAAGAGCTTCACGTCCTCTACGTGGTTCAGAAAGGTGTCAACTCTGTAAGGACCCTCTTTGATTCCTTGGATTTCAACTCTTGTTACGGTATCTCTCTCGAAATTGTAGTAATAAACAGAGAAACGGCTGGATGCATAATTCTCGGCCAAAACGATTTCATTTGCACCAGTCACTCCAACAACGTTCAAGGACTCGTCTGGAATAACAGACTTCCACGTAGCAGGTAACGTGTAAACATGCGTTGACCATTCATGTTTCTCTGCATCTTCCAGAACCCACATCTCAAGACTTGAAGCTGTTCCAGCAATAAGATCGTTGGGGAAGAGTGAAGCCAGTTTACCCTTGTAGTTTAGCAGAGTTGCGTGGGGACACTGCATTAGTCTTCCCATTAGTTTAATAGACTTGTACTTCTCAGACCTAACATCAAAGCAAACTACCACATCATAAATATAGCATGATCGTTTGGACCTAGCTCTGTAATACAAAACACCATTGATACATATATCACATCGCATGGGACGATAATGTGGTATGCCACATCTAGCCTTTCTCCATGTCAGTTTCTCTGTTCCTCCTAATGTCAAAACTTGATGCTCGGCAGCTCTTTCATCTCTTGTCAGGCTCATTGCCAGCACCTTGTGTTGGTTCTCGATAGGATCATACCCTAGAAAGTTTTCCATATAAACTCTCTTCCTTGTCTTCATTTTCGGTAGAGTACATGATTGCCCCGTGCTAGGGTTATATATCACCCACACAACCTCTTCAGTTTTCCTTCCCTCTAAGATCCGAGTATCGCTAACAAAGACAAAGCCACTGGTAGATTTAAACTTACAATTGATATGATCAGAGTGGGTCTTCATATGATACATGGCGAGCAAAGGAGATGACTTCTCATCAGGGTTGGTTTGAGGCTGAGGTGAGGAAAAGAAGAAGCCCCCATGCTTATTACTTTTGCAGGCGAACAATAGCCGCGGGAGAGCCCGTGACATGGCTAAGAACGACTTGGTGAAATCCGGACGGCTAAGTATGGAACCCCACAGCTTTGATACGCAACGACATCTCGCTATAGACTTCACCGTCAGCCTCAAGAATATCTCGATCATGAGATCCACTGGGATCGGGAATGAGTATTCTTCAGCACTAAATCGTGGTGAGTGGCGTTCAAGGATGGATTGACAATCCTCCGAGACCTTGTACCGCCGTGATTTCATGGCGGAGACACTTGTGTTCAACCCTAGAAAATTTTCACTTTTTAAAAAGAATAATGCAAAGAAACGAAACTTTATCTGATAAACTTCATCTCCATCCTAAACGGAACTTTATCTGATAAACTTCATCCCTATCCTAAAACTACGAAAATAAATAAAAGGGAATAGAGTTAAGTTGCAATTACCATGATATATTTCTGTATTTGTTGGACCATTCTCGGATTGTATCTCTGCACTTGTAATAGCATCATACCACTCTTCCACAACCAGCATAAACCCTCGTGACTTGTATACATGGCCTCCGGTCAAACTTGAACAGCCAAATCGTATGCAAACTTTCCCTTCTCGTGACCTTGTTGTGCATTATGTCTCCCAAACAGTCCAGCAACTGCATTCAGTATATCTCCATGCCCTTGAATAGAATGAGATAGCACAGAGCCCCAACCACCATGCTTATTCACAGTTTTTGTATTTTCAATCTGCAAGTTCGATTTGAATTGCAACTCCTGCTTGCCATACTTCTTTGTATATTGTTCCCAAACTTTGTAGAATCTGCTTTGGATCTCAGTGTTGGTATCAAACTCTCTGTCAATGTCATGGAGCAACGACCACAAAATCCTCTCCGCACATATTGCTGTAAAGAGTTTACTACCACTGCGGCATGAACTTGAGCCCTAATCCCAGAGTGTAATCTAAGCAAGCCATCTTCGCATCAAACCTCATCATCTCAAGTACTGAAAATGTAAGTAATGTCGCAAGTCTTGTTCTTCCAGCACATGAAAATCAGTGTCCTGTGGAACACAATACCACTCCCTTTTCATTCTGACAATCTCATCCGTACTCTGAATTGTTGTAGTAACTATTGGCATATTGCTTCATCAGAGACTGAACTCCAAACTTTGCCGCACTTGTACAACACCATCTGGTGCCAAGGTGGAAACTCTTGTCCTGCGATGTTGCAGCCTTTGTGGCCCTTCAATCCCCTTGAAGCAGAGATTTATCCCACACCAAATCTGCAAACTGTTTGTAATTGCTTAGACTGCGACTTGTATCAACCTCAGTTTGCACAGCAACCTTGGCTGTCTCATCCTCTCAGCACTAGAAACCAATCCAGATAAGACAATGGACTGAAAACTCATCAAACGAAAGTCCTGAAACTGCATGTACTTGGTTAGTCTTTCCAGTTACTACTCTGCGCCATATCCTCAAAAGTCAGAAACACAATCGTACTGAGACTGCAATAACTTTCCCTTCTTATTCATCCAAAGATGCAACCTGATTGTGCCTCCGAATCATATCATTATCAATTGTTGCAAATCTATCGACTTTTGTATCAAACTATGATTGACAAACAAGAAAGCATACACACACTCCCAAGTAAGGAGGTGCAATCTCCAGAGCCCTATCATAGAAAATGCAAACCCTCAATTAAGGAAATTTACTTTCTGGGTATTGATTCCTCTGCCGGAATCTTTCTACAGAGGCTCCAAAGTTTCCTGTTTTAGCATTTTTCTTCCGTCCATATACTCGAGTCTGCATTGGCTGCTTCTGATGCCAACACCACTTTCGTAACAACAATGACAATACAAAATTTCCAGAAGGAGCGATGGAACAAAGACCTGGGTTTGATTCCGAGCGAGGATGTTGGATTCTCAAGGAGACAGAGTATAGAAGAAGATACATTTGAGTAATTTTGGCGATTCATGGTTCGAATTGGAGAAAGGGTTGAAGAAGAAGAAGCGGACACCATTTTTATTTCGTTACTTTTTATATTTATTTTAATGCCAGAATAAATACAAAAAACCAATTAAAAAGAAAACAAAGATCAACCGCACTATATAAATTGGGTTACGTACGTCGTCAACGGGAAACAGAAAACAGAAAGATGGCGAGCACAAGTGAATCAAGAAAGGGGAAAGGTGTTCTTCTTCAATCTTCTTCAGCCAAGAAAACAAATGCAGAGACGCAGGCTTCTCTTTTGGAGAAGATGAAGGAAATCGGAGGCCACGATTCAACCTTACTGATACCGGAAATGCTATTGTCGAAGACCGATCTCAGTCCAAAAGAAGCGCGCTTGCTATTACCTCTGGGAAAGTTTTTAACCATGGACTTTCTTAACGAAGAAGAAAAAGTAAAGCTTTCGGAAAAGCCAAAAGAAGGTATCGACGCCATGTTTATTGTTCCCGGCGGAAAGGTGCATGGTATTAAGTTGAAGGAGCGCCGGAAGAAATGCTACGCGTTGACCGTGGGTTGGGTCCAGGTGGTTAAATCGAATGCCTTTCGGGTTGGAGATAAAAAAGATCTCTGGTGTTTCCGGTCAAAAGATAACGATGACCAACTCTGTTTCACGCTCGTTAACGCCGGAGAATCTCTCATCCCGCCTCCTTCTCCTGGGGAAGAAACTCCACCGAAACTGGCGAGGAACTCCACCAAAACTCCACCGGGGAACCTCTCAGTTCTCCGGCAAGAAACTCCGCCGAACCTGGCTATGATCCGAGCGACCACGAGGATTACTATCTTCCCAGCGAATCATCGCTCGAGCGCGACTCTGTTTCTTTCTTTGGACCTCCCGGATCAGAGGCTTGTTCACGCGGTAAGTCTCAACTTATCATTTTCTCACATGCTTTTAGCAACTGCCGTAATGATGTTATTTTCATAGTTTCGAAACTTTTCTTGTGCTTTTTTTTGTATAGCTCGGAATGACGACGATGAGAGTAGCTCGAGAGATTTAGGTGACTCTGCCTCATTCTGATACCATATTCATCTCAGAGATCCCTACAAGTAAATTATATCAATACGAGATTCAGATTGTTCCCAAGCTAAGAGATTGCATGTTAGTTAGATGAAGACAAGTTTGCTATATTTTGTCCAGTGGATTTTCTTTCTCTTCTCATGTCTGCTGATTGTAACGACTAGAAGTTCGTATGAATGTATAGAGAACTCAGTGTTCATATCAATGTACAGAGAACTCAGTGAGAACTGATGTTTCGGCTCCTTGATTGATACATATATGTGTGTGTAACTGTTACATGTGGCTTTGAAGTTAATAACTCTCTAATTCATGTGCAAACGACGCCGAAACAGCAAAGCGAATTTTTTCAACTCCGGAATCAAAAGAGTAGTTCATTGTCAGACAAAATCAAAATAATAGTGAGAGCGAGGAAAAACAGAGAAGAGATTAAAAAAAAAACAAGCAACAAAGTTTTAGGGAAAAAAAAACAGTCGTGGATTTACATAATGGTTCTATAGGTCCAAGTTCCACCTATTATGATCCTCAGTAGGAGTGGAGGAATCTCCAAAAAGACTAATCTTTGGTCTTCTTTGATCTTTCCCCATTGGTAACTTCCAAAACGAATCCGAGTTCTCGAAGAAAACGTATGCAGCTATGACTGATGCCATGAACAAGCAAAACAGCAATGCGTAAATCTGCCACTCTGCAACATCAAACAATGAGATATGAGTTAGAGATACACTACAAAGTTATACCAATTCCGATTTGCAGAGGGAGAGAGAGAGATTTGCAGAGGGAAAGAGAGAGATCAGCAACAAACCTTTCCACTCCTTTGGCACACTGAGTTTAGTCACCATCTCACCCCATTCGCTCGAAGTTGTCAGCATAACCCTATGCCCCAAGTTATCACAAAGAACCAATTAGAAACACAATAATGAGACTTCTTAAGGGTTTTGATTGTCATTATCTTGTCAATTGATTCACTGTACCTTTCACTAGGGCAGAACTCAAGTGAAGCAATGGATTGGCCAAGATGTAGCCTCTTGCTGTAGTGGTAGATTTCCATAGTCTTCACTTCAGCGACAGATACATCTCCGTCTTTCCCACCCCTACAAAATACAGTATGAGGTTTAACCTTGGTACAAATCAGAAAGCCTGAAAGTAATAATCAGACCCGGTATGAATAAACACTCACAAAGCAATATATTTGCCATCCAAGCTCACTGCCATTGTTGATGCAGTCTTCTTTGACAGCTTCTTGAACCCAAGCTTCTTCCATGAGCTAATGTCATAAACATTGACCACGGGCGTATTACCTGGTTCCAATTGTTTTAAGCTTTCATATGTTGTTATGGATTTAAAATCGCTTGCAATAATTTACTGACTCGAGAGTCGCCATATTATATACCTCTTTGAGCAGCACAAAACAAAAAGGGTTTGGTTCCATCTTTAGAGAAACGGCACAGCTCAATGTTTTCATCCTGCAGACATGACGATATAAGAATCAGGATACAACACAAGCCAATAGACTCAAAAAGACAAACTTGAAGCAAAGATATTATATTTTCTTAAACATGAAACTCATCCTTCATGCAGATTTCCTACGGATCTTATGAGTCTAGGAATATATGGATGCAAATGCAAAATCTAACTCTCATTATCACATACCCCACTACGTTCCAAAGTAGACAAAGGAAAACCATCTTCTGCTTTCCATATTCTAGCTGATCCATCAGTTGATGTTGTGGCTAAGAACTCTGAGTCAAGACTACAACAACAAAAAGACGCAGATATGAGAGAGATGCACATAATTGGCTTCGCATCACAAGCTCCATTAATTTCTATTTCTGTTGCGTGACAGAAGAATATAAAAGGAGGGATGGTGATTGATGGGAGAATAAGAATCCGGTCATTACCTGAAATCCATATCCCGGATGGATTTGTGTGCCTTTGGCTCATCCAAAATTACACGAAGGCTTGGCCACTCCATAATTCTGAGACACCCATCCTGAAAATTGTTTATAGTAAGTAAGCCACGACCAAGAGTGTCGCAACAACGAAAAAAAAAGCCCTTGTCAAGCAGTTTTGGTCCCTCCTTACCACACCCCCAACAGCTAATTTAGACCCATCAAAGCTGAAGGCCATACACTTTTGTAGTCCAGCATTTTCGAGAGGAGGGAGTTCTTTGTCTAAGATCGTAATACCTGTTGCTCCTCCGACAATCTCAAACAGCCTGAAAACCAAGTAATTTATATCAAGCATCTAAGACCGAAAACAAAACTTGTATAGACAATGAGGCAGATAGTGTCCCAAAATGATGAAAGTCAATTCCAATTCTCTAGTATGCATAGTATAGTTGCAAAAGATGGATGCAGGAAAGGGAAGTGAAGATTTCAAACAAGGATCAAAACTAGAAAGTGAGCAATAATTATAAAAAGGGAACAAAGACGCACATCAGTCTCCAACACATGTATATGCAGATACATAATAATAAACCAAACCTAAACACACAATAAATCCAAGCATCACTACAACACACATCTACATTAGCAAACCTCAGAAAACGTCAGGGGGCAGGGGTGGAAGGTAGTAATTACAAGTCTCGTGGAATAAGAGAATCAATGTGATTTTCAGATTTAGTCATATGATGTCTAGTTCTCAAGACAAGATTGAGAAGCTATCGTAGGTTTAACATGACAAGGAAGAAACGTACTTGCAACCACCTTTGGAGGTAGAGCAAACAAAATAATCACCACCAGGATGTACTGTAACTGCCACAGGATCACCATCACTTTCCTTAAGCGTATGTGTTGCCTTTGATCAAAGAAAGAGGAAAAAAAGTTGTTTTTTTTAGATGTAAGATGGAAGCACAAACATCAGAAGGCGCTTGTTCTGCTTCCTCACTATAGAAACAGCTTGAAAACCCCAAAATTTCCCAATCCAAAGAAACAACCTAGAATTCACCTAAAACCCAATAAGATTTCGAAGCTCTCGAATCGTTCCAGACCCATTAACACGTTATAAAAGATTCTAGTTACGATAAATCAATAGTGGTGTGAAAAGAGGAAATTACCAAGGGAGAGGAGGAGAGAGAAGTAGTGATGGGATCGAAAGAGAAGATGTGAAGGAGAGACGGAGAAGATGAGCCACGGCGTTTGGCAGCTCTGGCGATAATGGCCCAGTTTAGTTTCTTCGGGCGACGAATCCATGATCCGCACACAACATGCCCACTTTCACGACTCGCTTCTTCAATCTCCATTCGATTGATCGATTTGCTTCCTTGCTCTCTCTACACAAAATCTTAATAATTATCTCCTCCCTTGACAATTCGGATCCCTTATATATATAAAGATATACAAAAAATGTTTTTTTTTTTTCCTTGAGTTTTTCTAGAGCTGAAGAGGAAAACAGAAAGTAAAACAAAAAGAAAAAAAAAAAAGGAGTTGACTTTGGAGATCGGACAGGAAGATTTAGATGTGTATTTTAATGGGGGTTGCAAAATCTCAAATTTAACGGAAGAAGGATCAAACGGAGAATCGCGCTGTAGATTTAGCTAGAGAAGTCAAAGGAAGGTGGTGGGAAAGGATATTCCTTTGATCCTTGTTCTGATGCCACATTTTAATACGACTATACAAGTTCGGTCACATCGTGCTTCCGCGATCTACATGACACATTTGCCATTGGTGTCAATGTCATTGTTCCAATTATATATAAAAAAAAAAACAGGAAATAACTGAATGCAAGAAAATATTTATGTAACTGATGTACGCATTTTTTTTTTTTAAAAAAGTAATTAATCCATACAATATGGTAATTGCTTTTGTTTATAAAAACAAGTTTTGATCATTTAGATTTATACTATAAGCTTAACTTAAAGTAAGTGTTGGAATTGTTTTTGGGTTGTCGATCAAAAACATGACATGTGAATGTTTGTGTTGAGTAGATCCGCCTGAGATGAGGTCGGTTTTAGAGACATGCATCGCTTTTTTTGTCCGGTTAAATAGTGATTATTGGTTCATATGATATCAATATATATATATGCATGCATGACGTTCCACACGAACTTGATCAAGCATTTGTTGTTACAGATATACTATATTCAGACAAATATTTAGATATATGGCCACACAAAATGCTAACAACATCATTTTCATCTATCAGAAATACGACGCAGTCGATCATTTGTCATATCCATAAAGTAGCCGACCACTCAATTTAACGATTGCGATCGGCTTCGACTTTAAATGGATGATGTCTCTTTTGCCTTTTATTTACTATCCCAAAAGAACACCACGACCACAAATTCAACTATGCGGCATATTCAACAAATTTAACCGAATTCTCATTTTTTTAGAAATTGCAACGAAAAAGATTTAAAGATTAGGCTTGTATTACACATATGAGGTATGAATTTGTTGTGCATGTAAATCCATCTTTTACAATTATAATCTTTTCGTTTTAATTGATATATATGTGTATATAAAGATTCTGATTTTAACAACAAGCTGATAATTTCTACGAGTGAGTGAAAATATTCTTGTGATTTACCGTAACTAATATATTACTAATACAGTATAAGGAGTAGTTTGGGAAATCCAAAAAAGAAATTATTAATATCATAGCAAATCATTTTTTTGTGTGTGGAAAATCCGCAATTGTTTCGGTTTATAATCTTCGGTTTTCCACTCAGACCAAGCATCTACTGTGGTTTTCCGGTTCAAATAGTTTTCCAATCCAGGTCGGACCGGGCCGTATCTGAATACTGAAATCTCAACACTTTGGTGACGAGGATCGTTCGTGCGGAGCCATCGCTGCGATCTGACAAAAATAAAAGGTTTTTCGATTTCATCGTCTCTCTCCCATTTTCGTGATTCGCCGAAACCCTCCTCTTTCTCGAAGTGCTCTCATGGTGCTTCCGCTCCTCCGGCACGCAGCGATCGCCCGCACTTCTTCACTTCTCAGAGCTCGTCTTCTCGCCCCTGCCTCCGGATTCCACACTCGGTACGCTTATTCCTTATTCTGTTCACGCGTCTGATGTTGTTCCTTCACTTGTGATCCTTTGCAATTTCGAAGTTCGATTCCATTTTCATTTCCTTTTACTTTTTGGGCAATCCTCCCATTGACTTTTCGGTGATGTATAAGGAGTTCAACTGTGGACGATATCAATTCGATTGATATAAAGAATGCCAATTTGTTTTTGTTGGAACTAAACGAAATATTTTGTTATCTGAAATGCTACTGAGGGTTGCTGATCTTCTCTAGTTTGAGAGGAAACTTCCATTTAATGTTTTGAGTGTGTTTAAGCTCAAACGCTTAGAGCTGGTGAATACTTGTTTGTTTGAAAAGAACACTGAGTCACTCGTGAGAGCACAGTGAGCACAATAGATTGTTATGTAGAATTCCCGTTTCAGCTGTCATTGGGTTCTAAAACCATTACTAGTGAAAGCAATCAGCCTAGCGTTATTTTCTTCAGAAAGTTTGATCAGCCTAGACTTTTTAATTGAGAGGCATTGATAGTGGTTGGATTCCCAGAACATATGAATGGATTTTCTTTGCTCGATTTTAATGTCTATTGTGTTGCGTGACAGTTCTTATATCTCTGTGAATGGAAGCGAAACTGGTGTGATTTCTTTAGCTTTCCGATTTATTTGACCATGAGCTCTCTGATTCAGATTTTCGAATGGATTATACCACTTGGACGACAAGATTAGTAGCGGTAGTGGTGCGAGGTATGTGTTCCATACCACAAATCTTTGTAATCTTTCCAATCTTTACCCAAATTGTTGTACAACTAATACTAATGTTAAGATCGGCATGAACAATGTATTTCAGTTCCTATCCTTTTCTTTAGGTTTGGCCATATCCTGTACATTTTTCTTTTAAGATCTCATTTAGGCACTCAAAAGTTTAAGAATATCTTTAAATAGAAATTAAGATGGTTATGTAATTTATTTCCTATGTGTTATTCATAGCGCACTAATATCCGTTATCCACTGAACTCGCTTTTGTAAAACATTAAGGGGAATCCTCTTTAAGATTTTGTCTGATATACATTTTCAGGCGTGCCTCGGTAGACATGATTACAAGAATGAATGATAGTCCTCCAAAGTCCATTGTAAGTTTTACAGTTAGTACTGTTCTTTTTTCTTTTTCTTATTTTCCTATATTCCTGTTTCTCACATACATTGTTTTCTTCCAGCTGCGGTTTGGTGTGCAAAACTTTTCATCTTCAGGTATTCATAGATTGTTGTATCATCTTATGGAATAAAGATCTTCATCAATGAGTCTACAAAGAAATTCCACTATTGAATTACTGAACCAGTCGATAGATGGGCCTTTCATCTGATAAATCAACCTACAAACAAAGTATAATTGTTTTAGCCATAAAAATTACAAAGAAACATATATTATGTTGGTGATAAGAATCTTATAGTAAAAAAGAGATGATGGTTGATGCAGATGCAGATGCAAAAGCTTCTCATTACACTCTTTTCTCTGATGTTTGTGCTTCCATCTTACATCTAAACATTATACAAGATTCTTCCGTTAATTGTATTTGTCTTTGGTTGTAGGATCCACACCACAGACGGTTCTTACAATGCCAGCCTTGTCTCCTACAATGGTTAGGAAATGGGACTTTTCAATCTTGTAAAATATGTTTGGCCTCCCTGCAAGAAGTCATTGTTTTAATTTTGTTGGGCTTTTTCAGAGTCATGGAAATATTGCGAAATGGGTGAAGAAAGAAGGTGACAAGGTGGGGGTTTTCTTATTTTTGGTTGACAAATCTTCAGTCGACTTGTATGATGTTATTTAAGAATAATCATTATACGAGAACGATCATTTGAACTGACACAGAAAATATAGAATGCGGAATCTCTCTGTAACTGGTTTAAATTTGGTTTATCCTGACAGGTAGAGGTGGGGGATGTACTATGTGAGATTGAGACAGACAAAGCCACTGTAGAGCTTGAGAGTCAGGAGGAAGGGTAATTCTGAAAATCCCTTTCATGATTTCGTGTGTTAATATGTGTTTTTCTATTCCACACCTTGGTAATTCAAATATCTGCCTCGTTATAAGTATATGCAAAACTCAATTGGCTTACAATGAAGCATTGTTCTGTAGATTTCTGGCAAAGATTTTAGTAACCGAAGGATCAAAGGATATTCCTATTAATGCACCGATTGCAATAATGGTAAGCACAATGGCTGTCTGTTTAATTTAAAGAAACAAAGTATGATCTCGCAACAGGTGATGCAGGCAACGTATGCTCATTATGAGTTCCTTTTACTATAACTAGTCTGCTCTTGGCCTCTTCATTTTATTTTGTTTCCTGGCGTTACATCCTGAAAGGCTTCACGGATCATAGAGATCTTGGGTGTTGCTTTATCAATATTGTCGGAAAAGATGACCAAGTTCCTAAATATATTACCTGATGTCATACTGAGTTCTCTTGTGATGACCAATATTGTACTGTTTATTCTTCTAAATATTACCTGATGTCATACTGAGTTCTCATGTGATGTCACCTACATGATATCTTGGTGTATTTGGTCAGCATCTTGCTACATAAGTTTTGATTAATCTTATCTCATTTAATTGTAATCAAGGTCGAGGAGGAAGACGACATTCAAAACGTTTCTACTAGCGTAGAGGGTGGAGGAGTTGGTAAAGAGGAAACATCAGCTCCCCAAGAGACGAAACCTGAAGAAAGCCCACAACAGGGAGGTTCCACTCAGCCTGATGTATCAGATCTTCCCCCACATGTTGTCTTAGAAATGCCAGCACTTTCTCCCACAATGGTACGCAATTTCATATTTTGTTCTAGCTTGTTTTAGATGAGAGTGCATCCACCTTTTCAATCGGGAGACTGAGAAACATTTTCTGTTTATTTATGTGAAGAACCAAGGTAACATTGCCAAATGGTGGAAAAAAGAGGGTGACAAGGTGAGTTTCGGGTGGCCAAAAACTGAATTGTAAAGTGGCATTGTAATTTCACCACAAAGATTCAGGTGTTATGAACTTACCTGTATTGATTTTTCTCATTTCCTGGTCAACAGATTGAAGTGGGTGATGTCATAGGTGAGATCGAGACTGACAAAGCCACTCTGGAATTTGAAAGCCTTGAAGAGGGGTATACTAAAAATCTTGTCGTCTTATTCCTATAAGCAATCACTTATAGCATAAACAATATTTCTTTGTCTAGACATCCTAGTGATGTTCATTCTGGATGCTGCATCTTTTTTTGTTTATCTAGTTTTAAATGAGAAGAAAATATTGATTGCAAAAGTTAGGTCAAATCTTCTTCAAGTGTTCTCCCTTGTAATGGCAGTGTCCTATGATCTAAAGATTGATTTCATATTTCCTAGTTTAGGTATGAACATGGGCTCTCTCAATAATAGAAGATTTACCAGAACTGCTACATTCGTTTTCTGATGAGTGATCTTATACTAATAGATTGTATAACTTGATGGATGAATTTTGGTGTAGGTACTTGGCTAAGATTCTAATTCCTGAAGGTTCCAAGGATGTGGCTGTCGGAAAGCCGATTGCACTTATAGTAAGTCTTTTAGTTCAAAAGTACACTGACTGAATTCTTGATTCCAGAGAACTGTTTTACTAGCTAGTATGCAATGCACAAAATTGGTAGGCGCTTTTCTAGTTTCATGCTACGTTATGTATTGCCTGAAGTTAAAAGTTATGGCTGCACACAAAATCTTTGAAAATGCAATTGGTTACAGATTTGAGGGATATAAAATTTAGACCTTCTTCTGTGTAGGTTGAAGATGCTGAAAGTATTGAAGCCATCAAGTCTTCTTCCACAGGTGGTTCTGATGTTAAGACAGAAAAACAATCCCCTCATAGTGCCGTAAATAAATCCGGAGGAAGGAAAGCAGGCTTTACAAAGATCAGTCCTGCAGCAAAGCTATTAATTTTAGAACATGGATTGGAGGCATCATCAATTGAGGCCTCGGGTCCCTACGGTACATTACTGAAATCAGACGTTGTTGCCGCAATTGCTTCTGGAAAAACATCTAAAACATCTGCGTTTAAGGAAAAGAAACAGCCATCAAACGAGAACCTATCTAAATCCTCTTCCGTATCGCTACCTGAATCAAAGTCTCCCGTTACACAGTCCGATAATTATGAAGACTTTCCCAATAGTCAAATTCGCAAGGTAATTAACATTTATTGCCCTCTATGTTAAAAAAAATGAAATTCTTCCCATTCAAGTTAATAAGGTCGTTTTGACTTCGTTGTACAATATGCTGGCTTGTTCAAAAGTTTCTATAAGCAGCTTGAAGAAGTTCAGAAGCTGTCATCAAAAAGCCAGATCAACATGTTTCATTCTTTTGATTGGGAGGGTTTAGCTGAAATAAGTATCTAATGTATGCTGTTTTGAGTTGATAAATACATAGTCAAGGTTGACCTTTAGTTATATGGTTACATTCTGCATGCCATGGAACAGTTTATTTTGAGATGGGTGTTAGTAGCTTTGAGATGATGGCTATATCAGTGGGTGTTAGTGGCTTTTGTCTAATCTACAACTACTGATAATGGATGGAAAATGTTCCATCACTCAAGGGGAACATACTTTTAGCATTGAATTTTGCAACTAGGATCATAATGAAATCCTGACCTCTTTGACTTTTCCCTCTTGACAGATTATAGCTAAACGTTTATTGGAATCAAAACAGAAGATACCCCATTTGTATTTATCATCAGGTTGGTAATTCTCAAACTTTGTAGTTTTGTTGTGTATTATATTTACTGTTTAAGCATTTGAGTGTGCCTGCAGATGTTGTATTGGATCCTCTTCTTGCATTTAGAAAAGAACTTCAAGGTTTGTGAACTGCTCCTTATTCCAGTTCTTTGTATTTGTTGGCAATTTGAGAGGCTCAGATTGAACTGTGGTTTTATGATCTGCAGAAAACCATGGTGTTAAAGTGTCGGTCAATGACATAGTTATTAAAGCAGTGGCAGTCACACTGAGGAATGTACAACAAGCTAATGGTGAGAAATTATATTCTCGTCGTAAATGATGCTGCTGTTACAAGTACCTGAACCATTTTTTCTTCCCAGTCCTGTTGATGAACTAGATTAAAAACCTTAGTTCGTCTGCTTAAGGCAATGCGACATCCATGTTGGAATAATAATTGCAAATTTGCAATGCCATTTACCTCTCGCTGATAATACTTATTAAAGATGTTCTAAGGTAGTTGGACTGGTAATGAATTTTAGAAATCGGTTTTCGCTTTATACTTTGAGTTTGATGTAATGATCTGTGGTTTGCAGTCATGTGGTTGGCACCTCTCCTTGTGCTTGCTTAAACCTTCTTTTTGGTTGTTTAAAGTGCGTTGTCTTAATGTCTGGCAGCTTTCTGGGATGCTGAGAAAGGAGAAATTGTTATGTGTGAGGATGTTGACATATCAATTGCAGTTGCTACTGAGAAGGTACACTCTTTGGTTGTCTTTTATGATTACTTGTATAGTTTATCCCTCATCATCTTGGCATGTGTTGCAGGGCTTGATGACTCCAATTATCAGGAATGCAGACCAGAAATCTATATCTGCTATCTCCTTAGAGGTAATTTAGTTTTTTTCTGAAGTTTAACGTATATGCCTAACTATAGAGGAGTACACTTGTTTAATCAGTTATTACTGTATGTCATATGCTGCTTATCACTAGTTATAAAATTGATTTGTGGAGCAGGTTAAGGAGTTGGCACAAAAGGCGCGATCTGGAAAGCTTGCTCCTAAGGAGTTTCAAGGAGGGACTTTCAGGTATTAATCATTTTAAGTTCTTAAGCATCGTCTGGAATTATGTGAAACTTGCCCTACTTACTGAGAGAACCATTCTTTATCGTTATTACAGCATTTCAAATCTCGGAATGTATCCTGTGGACCAATTCTGCGCAATCATTAACCCCCCTCAGGTAATTATTAACGATGCACCCATAGTCACAAATGGAAGAGCAAGCTTTTTTTTTTGTTTTTCTTTGTAAATTTTGTCGTGGAAGATTTAGTATAGTCTTTACGGAGATGCAGATGCGTTTTTGGACAATAAAGTGATAAAACTCATGAGCGTCAATTGTCTTGCAGTCTGGAATCCTAGCAGTTGGTAGAGGAAACAAAGTTGTTGAGGCAATTCTTGGAATAGATGGTGAGACAGTAACATCCTTTTGGGTTTTCAAGTTTGGGTTGCTATTTTTTGAGGTTATGACAATTGTTTTGTCATTTCTTTTCAGGAACTGAGAAGCCTTCGGTTGTGACGAAAATGAATGTAACGCTATCTGCTGATCATCGAATCTTTGATGGACAAGTTGGAGGTAATGCAACAACATTCAGTAGTTTTCTCCTTTGTTATTCATTGCTTCTTATCAAACCGGTTTTGTTTCAGCTTCGTTTCTCTCTGAATTGCGTTCAAACTTTGAGGATGTTCGAAGACTTCTTCTGTGAGAAAGATTTAACTGTTGATCAAATGAATCTCTGCATAATAAACCTTGGATCGACCCACGTTCACATCCAGAACCACAACTGCTGGTCTACAGGATGAAGCTGTGAACACATGTTTCATTTTTTCCCGTACGGTTCTTACTACCAAAAATTGGTTTTTGTTTTGTTTACAATTCGTCTCGTAGATTGGTAACTTCCTGAGGTACATTCGTTTGCCCAGTCCTCTGACAAATAAATAATTTTCAGCTGTCAATAACAACACAACAGGTGAAATGAGGCTCATAACATTATCATGGGTTCAAAATGAGTTTATTTTCATTTGTAAAAACTTGTTTTTAGAGCTCGAAGAAACCGTCATAAATTTTTAAATGTTGAAACATCCGTCAAGTCATTAATCAAGAGATTACAAATTTTGTATCCAAGGTTCTTCCAAAAACAACTCTTATAATAATTGCATAATGTGGATTAAAAGTTTCAAAGAATCCGACAATTCAGAGATTTTTGGATGATATAGTTGCATTGAATCATAAGTAGTAAGTATGTTGCAAATCCCTAGCTCTAATTCGTTATTTGTAAAGATGTTCCAGTGGAAAAAGATGTAAATAAATGCTGGAAAAAAACGAAAAGAATTTACATAATGCAAAGAAATGTATATATTGGGGACAACATTAGAAAAAAGTATAAATCGGTTGCCAAATATGTAATTTAAAAAAATTCGGCCGGAGAACCAAAAAAAAAAACACAGATGAGCGGCTTGCCGGGTTCAAAATCGGAGCAGGGTCATCACCGTCTCTTCGATTTCGCCAAAACGGCCATAATAAACATCTTCGCACATCCTTATACCACTGTATATAGTATACTCAGTCACTTCCTCTCAGCTACATACACTTCGTTTACAAAAGTTTCATCCTTTATGTCTCTCTGCGGTTTCTTAGGTTTGCGAGCTCTACTGCGGCAAAGCTCCCGACACCGACAAGTGGGAAGCTGCTCCGATAGGTCATTACATCGGAATTGGTATTTCAGAATTTTTCTGATATACTACTATATACTGTATTACATCACTACGGCTTCCTCGAAGAGTAATGGTTTTGCTTTTTCTATTTGTGGTAATTTGTGATAACGTTAGATACATCGTCTTCTGGGATTTCCTGCTTAGGAGAAGCCTGGGACAGTGAGAAGAAGAAATACGATTTAGAATTCTTTGAAGCTGATCCTTCCACGGTGAGGCATCATGCTTTGTTCATTTGTTTTGCCTACTGCATCGGCTTAGCAATTAGCATCTCATGCTAAGCTACCTACATAATCTGGAGCACATTTCTTAGTTTCTGCTTCTTTGGTGTTACAGGAAGATCTTGAAAGCCAGCTAGAGAAGTTCGTTGGGCAGGTTGATTTAGTTTCTTGTTGGCGCCATCTCCAGGTTTGCTTTTTTTTTTAACTTATTTCCATTGCGCTTATGGAAAACGTAACACAGCAATAACGAGAATCCTTACTTGCTGTAGTTATGCTTTGAAACTGAGGAGAGTGCGAGAAGACTCCTAACAAATGTAGCATGTTTACTGAAACCAGGGGGTTACTTTTTCGGCATTACTCCTGACTCGTCTACTATATGGTATGATACATATAATGTTAGATCAGAGTTCTTATTTATTCTCTTAACATGCTCTGGTTATTTGTAATTCACATCTGCTCTTTCCATGTTCTGATACTGAATTCCTTCTTTTTTAATCTCTTTACTGGTGTATGAAGTCTATCACAAAATACCTTCCACCAAGTTTGTTATGTGTAATATCAAATGATGCTTAGAATGAAAGTTTACATTAGAAAGCATCTGAATTGATTGCAAGGGTGAATTCTTGTTCCAATATGTAATTTTCTTGAATACTAAGACCTTTGTTCATCAATTTCAGCATTTGACTGCCTATATATTATTTGGTTCAGTTGGACTGCGCTCCTTAACATTCTGGTAAAACAGGGCAAAGTACCAGAAAAATGTCGAAGCTTACCACAATAGGAGCGGAGGGACGAAGCCTAATGTTTTTCCCAACTACATTCGGTCAGAAAGTTACATGATCACTTTCGAATTGGAGGAAGAAAAGTGAGCATTTTTTGTCTTCTGAGAAAATAAAATCATTTTGCCATAAAGCTCCCTTTTTCTGAAATTAGACTGTTTGGTATTTTCCTACTCAGATTCCCATTGTTTGGAAAGAGGTACCAGCTGAAATTTTCTGGTGACAACGCTTCTGAAGATCATTGCTTGGTTCACTTCCCAAGCTTAATCAGGTTGGTTCTTGTGCACCATGAATTCACCTTTTTGTTCAGCAAAACGTAACATTAATTTGGATGGTATGGCATTACCATATCAACAACGTGCACTTGTTGTTGACCTTGAGGGATTGTATTCCCATTGCAATCCTAGTTGTGATACTTATTCTAGTTAAGTTACAAATGGCGTCCAATCTTTTTTTTTTTCTTCTTTGTATTTGTTTTCAGGTTAGCGAGGGAGGCTGGGCTTGAATATGTGGAGATTCAAAGTTTAACAGATTTTTTCGATGACAACAGGTTAAAAAGTCTTACAATGCTTACAGATTCTCAATCTCATACCACGAGCTTTGTGAATATTATAGTTGATTGCGTTGTGTTACATTGCTGATGCTGTTCAACTGTTATTGTCAGAGCCCAATTTGCAACCTTGCTGATGAATGCTGGCCCTAATTTCGTTGACCCCAGGGGAAAACTTCTTCCACGGGCATTTGATTTGTTAGGTAACCTTATCATCATCTTCTGCCATCTTTATCTTATCTTATCTCCAGTTTTTATACCTTTTTATGTCACTTATTTATCCTTCTTTTGTGCAGGGCTCTATGCAACATTCATATTTCAGAAGCCTGACCCAGATCTTGAACCTCCTTTAAAGACACCTTTTGAAGGTTCCAATAATGATGATGAGGCAAGTGCCTTTTTCTTGTCGTCTCCCATTCTATACAAGTAAAATTACTCTGAAGTCTGAACTTCTCTTTCACTCGAGAATAAAGAGCCTGGCTATCGCTTTAATACTCTTAAGACTTTGTAATTATAAGATATAGACTTTAGTTTATAACACAACGGTTGCTTCAGTCTCCAGCTATCTGGCAGGATATTATTGTAGGTGGTCCATTTCTTAAGTCTTCTTTCACGATTTTGCAGAGAGAACTGTCGGGGAACACTGATACAATTACCCCTGCGGAAGATTCATCAAAAGGACTAGGGAAGATTAGTGAACAGAAAGGAATATTGGGACCAGGCCCTGCTGATTTACGTTTCACCGAGGCAATTTGACTGACGCATCTGTTCTTTAAGGACCATACGTAATGCTTTGGTGAAAGTGGTGTTTCAGTAACACAGATAAGCTATAAAAGTCTTCAACATCAGAATCAGACGACATTAATTACGTGTGTAACAAACCATAGTTGAGTTCACTGAATGATTTCCATCGATATTCAACAACAGTTACCGTATTGATAGTCATCTTAGCTTACATGATTTGAAAGCGAAATGAGCAACAGATTCAAATCTTGCAAAAGAAGCAGAAGAGTTTTGGCAACAGAGCCGAGCCCTCTTTCCTCCTGAGGGAAGAAAAACAATCCATCCTCGCAGAAATTCACTTCAATCAGAATCAGAGTCATGCCTCCTCTTTTTATCCTTCTTCTCTTTCTTGTGTTTCTTTCTATCATCTGAATCACGAGTGCGTCGCTTTTCATGCCTCTCACGCTTATCGCGCCTTTCATGTCTCTCTTCCTTCTCTCTCTTGGCAGGTTTCCTTTCCTCATGCCTATCTTTCTTTTGGTCCTTCTCAGTATCATCCGGTCTATTTTCAACAGTTTTAATCCCTGGTGTATCTGTTGGCAGACGTGCTGGCCCTGCGTCTTCTGTCTGAGATGATGTAAGAGTGCTGGGATCTTCCCATGGTCGTGGTGCCCTGTACAGTGTTGCAGAAAGAAATGTGAGAAAAAAGATGAAGGCAAACTATCAAAAAAGCATAAAGCCACCAAAAACATCAACAGAGTTAAAAAAAAAAGGGCAGAGAGATCATCACACAAAAAGAAATAAACTTACTTTGCATAGCCAAGGCCGTGAACCCAGACTGCATCAGCATTCCCTGAACCCAAGTCCTCGGCTGTTGAACCTCTCTTCACAAGATCAGTATACTCTTGCTTGTCAAGGCGATTGCCTTGTGGTCTTGTAGAGGACTTTGGCGCCAGACCCAGAGCCTCCCTCATGGCTTGTTCCTCCTGTTCCTTAACTCTTTGAATCTCCTCTTTCACAGCATCCGTGTTGGAACCTCCTCCTTTTTTGTCTCTAGCATACCAGTTGAGATCTTTACCTATTCATTTTTTGTCCGCAGAGAAATCGAATGTCAGTCTAAAGCTCTACAATTGAAGATTAATCTACGAAAATCTAATAGCCAGGAAGGAAAAGAAAACCACGAAGAAAACATACGCAAATCCATTCCTCACAGTGACAGATGGAAGGTACCGAAAATTTCCAAGTGCAAAGTGATTATTAGAAGAAGAAAAAAACAAAGCAGAGAAAATGGTTGAGCTCAATTAAGACTACAACATTGACGCCATGAAGTTAAGATGCTATAGATTCCAATTGCAGCAATTTTGCATGACTAAAAAAGGCATAGAAAGAGCTAATTAGATGATAACAAAATCAGGAACTACCAAGCTTATACCTCAAACAATCAAACAAGTTCACAAGACTAATAATATCCAATAAATGCCGAAGGAGGATCAAGCATATTGTCAAGATGGCTAGCTCAGTTACAACCACAGTGTCATAGGAGAAGCATAAGCATTAATTAAGGAGCAACTTCATCAAATTCAAAACAGGAAAGGAGAAGTAAGAAAAAGAACCTTTTTGCCATCTTCCAACAGGGGCCTTGACACTGTGACCCAAATAGTTCTCCCTATATTTATCAGCCTTCACTTCATCCCAACTAAATTCTGCACATTTACAAACAAATCTAATTAGTAATACAATCTTGCATAATCATAATAAGCAGGTAAATGTTCCACATCATGATTTGAAAACTATTTGCCCAAAAACAGAGGGAAATTAACCGATTCACTAGAGCTATGGCAACACTCTTATCAAATTCAGCTTCTCTCACAAATTCTTATACCCAATCTACATCTTCAAACCCTATATCGTTCATGATGAACCCCCGAAACCAAAATCATATGAAAAAAAAAGAGCCGAGAAGACGATCAATTTAAGTTGGATATAATACACGGAAACCCTAAAAGTTGAGAAATTTATATCGGATAGAAGCAAAATCCGAAACGGAGCTAATGAAACTTACGATCTCGACCACCACGAACACCGCCTCTCGTCGGATGATACATGGAGATCCTAAAAGTCGCAAACTTTTCTGTCTTTCGGCCTTGATTTGCCCTGAGGAAACTAATCTGACAATACGAATTGATCAGATTCTGGGTTCGGGGATTGAGAGGAGTAGCAGAAAAAACGAGTTTAATATTTTTATGATGTTTTCTTTAGTTCGGATAAACAAAATAAATATGTTGAGATATGGGCCAGTTTGCTAGCCCGTCTAGGATCAGATCGGGCTTTCGAGCCCGTTTAGGGTTAAATACGAACAAAACTTTGAATAAGACAGATTTGACACGTGTCCGTATACAAAGGAGAAGTGCAGAGAAGTGACCACCAGACAATTGTGAGCCTAATCCGCCGATCCAAACAAACCCTAAGCGGTGGGCAATGGCTGAATCTGAGCAGCGTACTCACGGCTCCGATTCTCCTCCTCAACTGAAGTTTCCTACTTTCGTCACCAACTTATTCCCCTTTCTCAATTCTAAGCCACCTTCTGTTGCCGATGGTCCCAAACCCACGGGAGGAGTCTCCGGCGAAAAGGACAGTAAGAACTCGACCTACGAGACTGTCTCTTTCCCTTACAATCCTCCCAAGAACCCAGAACCACTCAAGGTTGAAGCCGAAGCCAGCTCCAGCAGGACTTCCAATTCCCTCGTCATTTGGCAGGTATTTGATTAGATTTGCGTTTTTAGGGGTTTCTTAGTTGAGCAATAACCATGGAATCGTGATTGGGCTGGATTGTCTTTCAATTGAGGAGCTTTTGTCCAACGTTATTTATGAAGGGGGTAAACGATTGGGAATGGTAGGACCATGGCTGTTTATGGCAGATGTTGATGATTGTATCTTTATGACCTCAAATCATTGCTTCTCCTTTTAGTTGAAACTGTTCTCTACCAAATAATCACTGGTTCAAGAGTTTCGAGTCCCTGAAACATCTTTGAGTTTCTCTGTAGGCATCTCTGTCTGTTAAGTCTTGGATGTAAAATGTAAAAACAGTTGATTTCTCGGTTTTGCAAAAGTTGCTACAGTTTTTTCAACGTTTCAGTCAGTTTCAGTGGCGCTACATTTGAATGTTGAAGATGATTGCAGTTTTTTGTTTTGCTCCTGTGAAGACCTTTAAAAGTTATCTGTCTGTTTTTGTCTTTTCACGGAGAAGTTAGGTGCCCCCATTTGTGTTACCTACAGCCAGAAACGCACTACTTGTCCTTCTTCTGCGTTACTTGCCTTTTTATTGATTTGTACATTATTGTGTCCTCACTGTTCTGGATTTGATAATTGAGTAGCATGAGCCTGCAAAAAGTTGAAATTCTTCATGGTTGATTTGATTCAGGAGAGTTATTCTTTAAAATTATCTTTCAGGTATATGCACTTGGAGGGTTTCTTGTCCTGAAGTGGGCATGGGCGAGATGGAATGAGAGGAACGAGAGAAGCGACAAAAAGGAGACAACGGATGATGATGGTCAAGCTTCTAACCAGAAAGATGGTGATGATGAAGAAGATGATCAAGCTTCTCGTGGGCATGAAGACTAGTCATATTACACGAAGACTATGAATGTTGCCCATTTTGGTTCTGTATAGCAAAAACACCAAAAACCTTTTAGGGTGAAGATTTCTTATTTTCCATTGTATGTACTCGACTCTTGAGTTTCATCTACTTCTGTGTAATTGAATTCGCCTCTCATGCTCGCATGAGCAGCATTTTTTCTTTCTAAATCTCATCTGCGTCCTGGATAAATCTCGTAAGCTTCTATTTTTTTCTCAATAGTTTTGTTAAACTTATGGATGAGTGATGCTTTTTGAAACTCAGAATTCAAAGTCCAACTTGCCGGAGAAGTCACCGGAGAAACATAATCAATAAAACTTGATTTAATACATATATTAACGACCAATGTGTGTCATATAATTACAAAGTTATGAATCACATACATTACTTTTGCCTCATTCTTTACAGTATATTGACTTTGTTTCTGCCAAATTCATACAAAGCTGATATCAGTCTACAAACATTGTATACAACAACACTCACACTCTACTAAGATCTAACAATGGTATTGCGGCGCTGATCACAAGCACCCAAACGGAATCATACTCGCCTATATAAGCCGTCACCTGAACCACCAGTAGGAGGCAGCCCAACAGGGCGTGTGTAATAAGGAGTCGAATACATTTCTCTACTACGCAGGACTGAATCAGGATACAAGCTTCGAGTTGGTGTCATGGGAATGTATGACCTTACTTGTCTATCGAAGTTGAAGCTACCTGAGGATAGTTGGTTCTCTTCAAAACCAGATGTTCCACCAGAGATGGCAACGCCTGAAACACTTGGTGTGCCTTTATAAACTCTGGATTCTTGAGTATCCACAACCGGTTCGCCATCTGCTCTGAAGCCTGCCCATAGCTTCGGTCCACCGATGTATGGGGTGGTTAAAAGGCGATCATCCGTTGACAAAGGGGATGTTTTGGTGAAAAGTTGATCTCCAGGTAACAGGGGAAGGTCTTGCTCAGGTATATGGCTAACAAGAGCTTTCTGAGAACTCGAAGCTAGAAAGTTGTTCCTCGTTGTTGCGTCAGGTGAGAAATCAGTGGGTACTCGAAAAAGTCCAGCACAGCCAACAGGAAACTCTACCATGGACCCGACGTTGGAAGCAGGGAGAGATGGTTTGGTACCCGGTGCTGCCTCTATCGGTAGTGCGTAAGTGTTCGTATATGAGTTTGGTGTTGAAGGATAGGAGCTTTCAGAGAGATACTCAGGTTTTCTGATATGTAGGCTATTGACTTTCTCTTGCAGAGACAACTTAGCTTGCTTTAGCGCAGTGAGCACAGTATCACAGGTATCAGACTTTTCCTTTGCCACTGGTACTAAGGAATGATCTACTCTCTGGATTGTATTGGCATTACTGCGGAAGGAACCACCTCTCGAGTTTGGTAGAGTTACAGAAGGTGACCGAATAGCTGATGAAGAATGCTCAGAGATACCGTTACAGCTCCGTGGATGGGAAGACTCACTTTTAGGACTCTGAGAAATGTGTTTTCCTTTGTCTCCTTCTTGTTCCACAGGTTTGGAAACGCAACTTTTGCAGCACTTATCAGATGATGTTACTGAATTATCAGGCGAACCATGCGACAAAGTTTCAAATGAATTCTTAAAGTCGACTTCATTGGCTATAGACATTGTATCACCGAGTGAGGTGACTACTGTGGAACCATGAAGCTGAGCTTGGGCCTTTTCCCCATTACATTCATCCGTCACGTCTGAATGGTTCCCTACGTCACATAAATCCTGCAAGATTGGAGAAGAAGTATTGATAAGATTACCAACTTTACTTAAAATGAATAATATAACAGAACCACAACTAATGAACTCATGAATAGATAAGATCTCTCAAAATTTTCCAGAGGTCAGATTCTAAGACATAAGGCATATACCAGGGCGGACGATTTATTCTCTGTGAACTTTCTCTCCCATTGCTTTTGAGTCTCTTCCATATCTTCAAAAGATCCGATAACTTGTGCACGTTTATGTAACGCTCTCTCTAAGTTGATGTCCATACTGTTTCTCTTCTCTACAACATGCTTCTGCGAAATTTCGTGTTTCTTCACTACAGTAACATCAACAACAGTTCTAGATGCTTCTTCACTCGTTTTGGGAAGCACTTCAGTGCGAACTCCGTTTTCTTGAAGTTCCACAACTGTATTTCCATCTCTCTTATAATCTTCAGATATAGTTCTGGAAAGTTCAGTAATGTTGGTTTGTTTTCAGTACACAACATATATAAACAAGATTTACAATAGATTTTACCAAGAGAATCATCAGTGTCTAGACTGAGCAGCGGAGGATAATGAACAGACCTTGTTTCGCTGCGTTTTATTTGTCGACAAGATCTTCCTTGGCGATGTCTAGGCGAGGAGAAATAAGCGGAGTCAAAACCTCTTTGTCTCCTATTACGCGACTCATTGATCTTGTCGGAAGAAACTGGTTCTCTCCTGCGTCCTTTCCAGGATAGACTTTTGCCAGACACTAGAAAATAAACCAAGAATCTGATGCTGAGAAGTCTGCTCGATCTCATTCAAACCCCGAAACTCAGAAACTTTACCGAGATGGAACTCTTACCTGAATTCGCCTGAGTGTAGCTCTCTTGATCAGAGCTTGAATCATAAGCATCCGAGACATCAGTAAAACCATTTTCTTCAAGGATTGCAAGGACATCAGCAGTTGCCTGTTCTGCCTTCTTTCTCTGTAAAGACACAATCTTGAGCTGTTCCTCCAGCTCTGCTACCTAAAGATCCCGACAGGACATAAGTCTATATGATACAAATTATCAAAAAGATTTCAAAATAGAGGATTTAAGACAAAAAATATTACTTTATTAGCGAGTCCATCAAGCTTCGCTCTTGCACTCTTGGAGACAGCTCTTTCAGCAAGCAAACGTGCACGAAGAAATTCAATGGTCATTGAAGTAGGATCGTGTGCGTCTGAATCAATAGACCTATAAAATGCACCCAATGAGCCATACTATATTCCCCTAATTACAGATCAACCAGCTTAAATGTGATTCGATTGCAAACGACTATAGTCAATATGGTTGGTGAAACTATGGAAGTAAAGATCAAACGGATGGGATTGATCTGGAAAACAGACAGAACTATACCGACGATCTAAACTGTCCTGATGCGCCATCATCAAGAAGACCAAAGATCTGCGATTTTTCAAAGATTTGTCTGAAAAAGTTAACGAAACTGCTTCGTGCTGCCTGCGGTGAGAAGCCGGCTCTCTCTCTCTCTGCTTAATAAATCAACTCCACAAGTCAATGAGAGCTCTCTTAAGGTTTTTAAATTTGATGATTAAAGTATTTTATTTGTTCTCATTGGCTTAAATGGAACTTATTAAAGAGAGATGATGATTGCTAATTTATTACAAACTTTGGTTAAGGTAGACAAAGGAGGTGTTATTGGTTCTTGTATTTTAATGGATTTGAAAATCCAAACCAAATTCAGTGTTATTGGTTCTTGTATTTTAAAATCTATATTGAAATACAGTGTTATTGGTTCTATGATTTTAAAATTCATAATGAAATACAGTGTTATTGGTTCTATCATTTTAGAATCTAGATATTATAAGGATTTGAGTTTTAATTGAATTTGAATGGATTTAGAAGGATTTTTATGACTAAAATACAAAGACTTATTGTATTTTTAGTAGGGGTTATTGGTTCTTGTATTTTGGTGGATTCATAATTTTTTTTGGATTTGATAAATTTATTAATTTCAAAATCAGCAAAATGGAAAAAAAAACAAATCCACTCAAATACCAAGGTTAGACCTTGTATTTGGGTCTTTGTATTTTAGTCATGAAAATTTTTCTAAATCCATTCAAATTCAATTAAAACTCAAATCTTTATAATATTTAGATTTGAAAATGATAGAACCAATAATATTGTATTTCATTATGGATTTTAAAATCATAGAACCAATAATACTGTATTTCAATATAGATTTTAAAATACAAGAATTAATAACACTAAATTTAGTTTGGATTCTCAAATCCATTAAAATACAAGAACCAATAACAGCTCCTTAAATACAAAGTTTAAAGTCTTGTGCAATACCGAAGATTATTACAAAAACCAAAAAAAAGGTAAAAAAGTAAAATCATATATTTTACTTTTCTTTTTCGCCAAATTTTTTTTTAATTAAATAGGTGTTAAATCATATAAATAGTGCGGACGCCAAAAATATATTGAAATACGGTTTTATTGGCGTCTTTAGGTTACAGGGATTTTCTCTTTCATTCTTTCTCTCTCCATCTCTCTCTATCTCCATTCTCTTCTCCTCTTGTTCGAGCTAATACAGAGAGAATCAATCGCCTGATAAATCCACTTTGCCTGAGACCCGAAATTAAAGGAAGCCTCTTTCTCTTTTTAGCTTTTTTTCTTCACCGGTGGAATCTCCGTTCTCTCAGTAGTGATTACAGCTCGGCTCCTTCCAGGTTCCTTGTTTGATTCTGTTTCCGCCTTTTTGGGCTACCTCAGATTGACGAAACCCTAGTCTCTAACTGCGGCATCTCCGATTTGGTTTCAGTTTTCGTTTTTCTCCTGGAGGCGCCCTTCATTGGATTCAGCTCTCCGTTTGGCCACGGACGGACGGACGGACGGACTCTGGAGTGGGTTCGAGGAGATAGTCTTATGCGATTGTTGGGGATAATTTGATGCCGCAGGATCACGCATCGTGGGATCGGAAGGAGCTCTTGAGGCAGAGGAAGCACGAGAGGCCTGACCCATCTTTCGATTCGGCTTTCCGATGGAGGGGTTCGCCTACGACTCCTTCTTCTCACCATGTTCCCCGCGAGTTCTCACGCTGGGGATCTGGAGACTTTCGCAGGCCTTCTTGTAAGACCTAACCCTCTCTTTTTTTCTTATTTTTATTTTCTTCCATATCTTGCTACCTTTTTTTTTCCTCGCTAATTAGGGCTTTGAATCCATCGATATAAAAAATTTCCTGCTTGTTTTGATTGTTGATTTAGAGGCAGTACCTGTGTTTCTTTTAAATTGGGTTCTTGCTGTATGACGATTTAGGTTTTGTTTTATGGAGCATTACCACAGCTCTGGAGATCCATAGGAAGTGAGTTGATGAGGTTACTATTGAAAGGAGCAGTTTTTAATTTTTGGAATCTAATACTCAGGTAGATATAGTTTGACGGCAAGAGGAGTTTGTTATCTCAATTGAGTTGGTATTTTTTGCTCATGAATCTGTAAACAGGAAAAAAAATTGAAAAACTTAACTTTGTTCCTGAGTCGTTGTCCTACCAGACTTGTTTCCAGCAGTAGAAGTCTTCAGAATCGTGGAGGGTCGTTAGTTTGAGTTTTACATGTTGTAGATTTGGATGATGTTGGGTCTTTTCATGGTTTTCATTTTATTTGTAGTTCTCTGGTAGATTTGAAACCCCTGTCTGGGCGTTAGGGAGTTTTTTTGTTCTTCAAATTGATTTCTTGCTGTGTTATGATATCTTCTTGGGGAATATTATACAACGTTTGGGGAAAGTCCAAAGTTTGGGGATATATACCTTTTTAGTTTCAGAAGTTGTATATTTGGATGAATATAATATCTTGCAGACTGTTAATTTCCATCTTCCTCTTTGTGTTCAAAATTTTCTGAAGGTCATGGTAAGCAGGGCGGACGGCACCAGTTTGTGGAGGAGACTAGTCATGGATACACGTCCTCTCGGTCCAGTGCCCGGATGTTTGAAAATGACTACTATAGACAGTCAGGACCACGTGGAGACTGGCGATATACCAGGAATTGCAGGGATGATAGAGTTCCTTTAAGCCAGAAGGACTGGAAATGCAATACATGGGATATGAGCAACGGATCTTCTCGAGGTTTTGAAAGGCCATGTGGTATTAGAAATGGTCGGAGGTCAGTTGATGAAAGGCCACCACATGCTTCAGATACTCATACGAATGTGGTGAACTCTTGGGATCCAGGAAACTCCGCTCATCAGCCGGACATTGAGTTCTGTACCCCAACGCGGACACTTAAATTTAAAAACGAGCACAAGTTTTCAGATCAAAGGCTATCACTTCCGTCAGAACCTGATTCTGACTGTGTTAGCTTGTTTGACCGGCCTTCTTCGGAGAACCATTATGGCAATAAGGCTTATTCTCCAGCAAAACAATGCGATGATTTGATGTATGGTCGAAGGTTAACTAATGATAATTCATTGGATCCTCCTGCCCTCAACGCAGAGCTAGAGGGGACTTCGGAACAGCTTCATCTGAAAGACCCGCAAGATAATGGGTTACATGGAACCAGTGACTTAGACGGTGCCAGGAAATGCGACAAGGAGAGTTCTCTTGGAGCAATTGGGAAACTTCCAGTGTGGACCTGTTCTGGAAGTTTTGCGTCTCAGAATTCAGGTTTTAGCCACTCAAGTAGCTTGAAAAGCGTGGGGGCTGTTGATTCAAGCGATCGGAAGAATGAGGTTCTTCCTAAAAGTGTCGCTGTGACTCAATCTTCTTCAGGAGATGCTACTGCATGTGCCACAACTACTCATCTTTCTGAGGAGATGAGTTCTAGAAAGAAACAACGTCTTGGGTGGGGTGAGGGCCTGGCGAAATATGAGAAGAAGAAAGTTGATGTTAACACAAACGAAGATGGGACGACATTGTTGGAAAACGGTACAGAGGAACTGCATTCTTCGAACAAAAATATTGCTGATAGAAGTCCTACAGCAGCCATTGTTCCAGAAAATGGTTCCCCCACAACTCCATCCTCTGTAGCTTGCAGTTCATCACCAGGTACGGTTCATTTTGGTATACATATCTCTGCTTGCTATTTTCATTCCTGTGCTATTTGGAGTTATGTGCATCATTTTCCTATAAAAACACTGGTTTCCCTTTTATCTTCTATCATGTCTTTCAATTGTTTTTATACATTCACTCCTTATCTTCTGCAGGGGACAATGTAACATATCCGTCTAAGTCATTTTTTGATTTTGTTTTTCGTGTGCAGGATTCGCAGATAAATCATGTACGAAGGCTCCTATAGCTGCTAGTGATGTCAGTAACATGTGCCGTTCACCTAGTCCCGTGTCTAGTATTCATCTTGAACGATTTCCAATCAATATCGAGGAGTCTGATAACGTCTCAGTGGAGCGATTTGGCTCTTTACTCAGTGAGTTGCTTGGTACTGATGATTCTGGTACAGGGGATTCTAGCTCTGTCCAATTGACATCAATGGACAGACTACTTGCCTGGAAAGGTGATATTTTGAAAGCTGTAGAGATGACTGAATCAGAAATTGATCAGCTTGAAAACAAACATAGGACGCTAATGCTTGAAGGTGGAAGACACGGCCGTGTTGTTGGATCCAGTTCACACCTTTGTGAGGGAGATGAAAATGTGGCCAAGGAGCAGGAAGCGTCTTGTATTTTGGGTCCTAAGTCAACAGCGTCGTGTGTAGCTGAAACACTGGTGAGGGATCCTGTTCATCAGGCTGTTTTAGCCAAGGTTCCTGTTGATGTTTTTGAGGATAGTCCTGGACAAGTTAAATCTCTATCCCAAGCTTGTGCCACTGTTGAAGGCAATGAAGATATGATGCCCGTGCCGTCTATGAAGGCAGCTGCTTCTTCCAAAGAGATTAACACATCTGCTTTTGCCAATCCGGAAACTATTGAGCTTTCTTCTGCTGATGATAGCATGGCCTGCAATGAAGACGTGATCTGTGCTAAGTTATTATCTTCCAATAAGAAATATGCCAGTGAATCATCTCAAGTATTTAATGATTTGCTTCCAAGAGATTTCAGTTCGTTTGATGACTCAAGATTCCCTGGCATATGTCTAAGGCAGTTTGATTCTCATGTCAACGAGAAAATTGCTGATAGGGTAGAGCTCTTGAGAGCTAGGGAGAAAATTTTGCTCCTTCAGTTTAAAGCGTTTCAGCTCGCATGGAAGAAAGATCTGAATCAACTAGCATTAACAAAGTACCAACCAAAGTCCAACAAGAAAACAGATCTATATCCGAATGCAAAAAATACTGGGCATCTGAGGCTTCCCCAACCTGTACGCCTGAGGTTCTCTTCTTCAGGTAAAGTTCTTAAACTTCTTTTGCTCTCTGTCTTTGTTCTTGGTATTTTAAGCTTTTCGTGGTTTGTCTTTGTCTGGGATATAAATTCGGTTTTTATCTTGTCCTTGTAAGATGTCAGTCTATGTGTTGCTTTAGAGTATTGATTTATCTTCGTTTTTTTTCCTTTTCTGAGGTAAATATGTGTCTTAGTTGTAGGGCCTTGAAATGTCTGACTTTTCAAGGGAGCATGAGTTATTGAGTGAAAACATCTAGAACTCTTGATAACTTTTGACACGGTCAGTTGAACCATGGTGTTCTCTGGGCTAAGTATCTTGATTCCTCTGACAAGTTTATCAAGAGTTTGTTGAATATTAGTAATGCTAGCTTTGTAAAACTTTTGGATAATGATCACAGATGAATTTCTTTTTTTTTTCAACGAATTTTGGAGTTTAATAACTGTTTTTCTCTGCATGTGCAGCTACAAGAAGGGATAGTGTAGCCTCCACAACAGAGCTCGTAAGTTATATGGAAAAGCTACTCCAGAGTACCCGTCTAAAGCCTTTTAGAGACATTTTGAGAATGCCTGCGATGATTTTGGATGAGAAAGAGAGGGTGAAGTCGAGGTTTATCTCTAGCAATGGACTGATTGAAGATCCATGTGACGTTGAGAAGGAAAGAACAATGATCAATCCTTGGACGTCAGAGGAGAAAGAGACTTTCCTGAATATGCTAGCAATGCACGGGAAGGATTTCAAAAAAATTGCTACATATCTTACGCAAAAGACAACTGCGGACTGCATCGATTACTACTACAAAAACCACAAGTCTGATTGCTTTGGGAAAATAAAGAAGCAGCGTGCTTATGGTAAAGAAGGGAAGCACACCTACATGTTGGCGCCACGAAAAAAGTGGAAACGTGAGATGGGGGCTGCCTCTCTTGATATTTTAGGTGCCGTCTCCATTATAGCAGCAAACGCGGGAAAGGTTGCATCAACCAGGCAGTTCTCTTCCAAAAGGATCACCCTTAGAGGTTGCAGCAGTTCTAATTCATTGCATCACGATGGCAATAACTCTGAAGGGTGCTCCTACAGTTTCGATTTCCCTCGTAAGAGACCTCTTGGTGCAGATGTTTTAGCCGTTGGTCCTTTGTCATCCGAGCAGATAAATTCTTGCTTAAGGACTTCCGTGAACTCTAAAGAGCGGTGTATGGATCATCTGAAATTTGATCCTGTTGTAAAAAAGCCTCGGGTATCTCATACTACACATAATGAGAACAGCAATGAAGACGATGACTCATGTTCGGAAGAGAGTTGCGGGGAGACGGGTCCTATTCATTGGACAGATGATGAGAGATCTGCCTTTATACAGGGGTTCTCGCTATTTGGCAAGAATTTTGCTTCAATATCGAGGTTCGTCAGGACAAGGTCTCAAGATCAGTGTAGGGTTTTCTTTAGCAAAGTTCGGAAATGCCTTGGGTTGGAATGTATACAGTCTGGATCTGGAAATGTAAGCACGTCTGCAAGTGTTGATAATGCCAATGAGGGTGGTGGAAGCGACTTGGAAGATCCTTGTGCTATGGAGAGTAACTCTGGCATATGCAATAATGGAGTCAGCGCCAAGATGGGTTTGAATTCACCTACCTCACCATTTAACATGAATCAGGAAGGAGCTGATCATTCAGGCCCTGCAGATACGAAACCCGGCCTTAGTAGATCAGAACAGGAGAATGGGCCGACATATTTGCGTTTGAAAGATGATACAAATCTCGTGAACAATGCATATGTCGATGGGGGTCTCCCGGGTCTAGTTTCGGAACCTTGCAGAGATTTGGTAGACATTAACACTGTTGACAGCCAGTGTCAGGCTGCAGAGAAAATTAAGAGCAATGATCTATCATCAATGGATATAGATGAAGGTAATCTAACATCTGTCGCTGTATCTTCTGATCCCTTGTACTGTGGCTCAAGCGTTCTTTCCAATATTATTGTGGAGACTCCCATAGAAAGCTCAAGCAATGGCTCAGGAGATCAAGGTGCTGCAATGCCTAAACAAAGTTCAAAGAATCAGGATGGTGTGATGCAAGCTGCAAACAAAACCAGAAATTCTGGCCTTGATGCTGAAGCTGCACCTTCAGGTTTCAGGTACCCTGAATGTCTGCACCATGTTCCGATTGAGGTATTGACAGAAGACCTTGTAGGTGTGAGTGTACCACAAGGAAATCCCGATCGCCATACAGAGTCCGAGTTACCAAATACTCTTGTTGGACAAGTGGTCCAAACAAATAACTTTGGTTGGCAGAATTCTAAGGTCAATCTGGATTTGGAGGGGAGGCTTCGGGTTTTAGGCCATGTCAGCGCTGAGCAGAATGGTCAACTATATGCGACTAATACGGAACCTTGTCAAATTCCCCGGATATCATTCACGCAAGATCAGAGCAGAATAAATAGGTCAAAATCTGATTTGATTGTGAAAACCCAACGTACAGGTGAAGGTTTCTCACTCAACAAGTGTTCGAGTTCAGCTACTAGGCCTCTGACAGTATACCATAGAGATGGAAGATCTGGTCATGGCAGGAGCCATTCATTTAGTTTGCCTGATACTGAGAGGCATGATAAGAATGGAGATGTGAAGCTGTTTGGCACAGTCCTAAGCGCTGATGAGAATGGAAGCAAGCAAAAACACAATCCAGGCGGAAGTATCAGGTCATCATCAACCTTGAGCAGGGACCGTGATACAAGACATCAGTACATCAATCAGCAACACCTTCAGAATGTTCCTATTACGAGCTACGGTTTCTGGGATGGCAACAGAATTCAAACCGGGCTCACATCTTTGCCAGAGTCTGCCAAGTTGCTTGCAAGTTGCCCTGAAGCATTTACAACGCATCTTAAGCAACAAGTTGTTACCACCAAAGAGACTCAGGTGGATGTTAGTGGAGTTCTGAGCTTTGGGAAGCATATCGAAGATAGAGCAGAGATCGCAAGCGGAAAGGATGAAGGTAACATAGGAGGAGTAAATGGTGTAGCAGAGGCAGCCACGTGAATCAAAAGCTTCTTAGGGTCATGATTAGTTTGTTTTTGGAGGTTGGCATATTCTTTGTTTGTCATCCTTTGTGTATTATATATCTCATTTTACCGTTTTTTTCTTCTTAATTTAGAATGTCAGTTAATATAGGCATTTTTTTTTTTTGCTTTTTGTATTTGGTTCAGCTTAAGTTAGGTGCCTGCAGAAAATTCATAGCTGATGTTTGTATTTGTAATGTTGCTGATAATAACAGAGAGAGCTAAGCTTAGCTCTCTGTATGTTTTCCAAGGAGGATAACACTTGAAGAATCACATCGAATGGTGTCCAGTGAAAGGGTAATTCAACTTAACTTGCAGGAGTAAAGAGCTTCTTCTTCTGCTTCGGATCTTGTTTGGAGGATTGGTGGTAATGGCGCCGCAACTTTTACGACCTGCGAGATGGTAATGACATGAATATCAGCTGATTTAGATAGATCTGGTTAAGGGCTAGACAACTTCTGCACTGACATTCAGATTTTGAGTATTGTGGCTTTAGCATGATTGCGTTTATACCTTACTAGGGTTCAACAGGTTTGGTAGCTCTACTTGATGTGCATGCAGATGATATCCGCAATCCCCAGGAACAGCCTGATTTGGTCTTCGGTAACCCCTGCATCAAAATATTCAGCCACGGTGCTTCGATATAATCATAACACATGCTACAACACTAGTCTACACACCCATCCTTATTCCACAACAATCTAACTATTATATTGCATTAGTTAGCTCTATATTGTTCACTTCTCGGGACCGTTGCTCCCAAGGAATCTAGAAAACGTATTGGAAAACTCAAAGTACGAAAAAGAAGTGATCCAAGTTTGTACCCGTCTTGAGCAAATGCAGCAGCATCTACAACATTTGGATCAAAGCATTTTGGTTGTCCGCCCGCAACATAAAGAGGGTCCCCTGCACTTAGGTGAACATGTAAGCTTTCTATTTCCATGTTTCATGTTTGAGGGCTTGCATGCACTGAAATCTGATAAACATCACCACCTCTTCAATAGACCACTGCCAAAAGAAAACTTATGTGTAGCAAAATCTTCCTAGTCTATGCGATAAGCAATCATGTCCTTAAGGTCCATTTTATCCATCGAAACATGGTTCCATCCTTTTGTATTCAATGTTCTATCCACAGCCAGCAGATTGATTGTTCCATGATTGCCTAGTTAATAAATGACTAAAGTTGCAAACAATCCATACAAATCTTGTCTTTCAAAGCTAAGTTTACAATAATAAAGGGGTACAAATACACATTCGCACAGAATACCAGTTGTAAATGTGTGAGAGAGCAGAGGAAAGAGAAGTTTTTTTACCTACCAAGGGATGTCCCATGTATGCAAGATGAATCCGGATTTGATGTGGTCTTCCAGACTGTATTTCCACCTGTATTGCATAAAAACAAGATCATTCTCAACAGCTTTGTTTTGGTTCTACTTCTCCTTCGTTTTCTGCATTATTATCACTGTGTGACATGCAAGTGTGAAAGCTAACGGCAATGGAAATTAGATGAAACAGAAAGAAAGACCTTAACCAGCGTGCAATTTCTTTGCATGTCCCTCTCCAGAACAGCTACTTTGCTGAGAGCAGGTTTGCCTGATAAGAGGGAAAAGCAGAAGAAACATGAAAGACAAAACAAACACTAAAATGAAAACAAATTAGATATAGTATGGATTATTCTGTCGCTCTAACTAATGGTATACGATACTGGAACTGACCTTCTGGAGAAGCAACATATAATCCTTTTGCGACACCAGGATATCGAACCACTCCAATAGGCTGTTTGATAGCTACCTTCAAAATGTAAATGAAGAAGAAGCACTGTCAGGAGACGCTATCTCAGTTCCATCTCTAAGCATATTAGAATGAAAATAAAAAGATTAATTCTCAGCGCAAATAATAAAGTGGTCTTGCCTCGTCTTCTTCAACTATACCATCTGCTAGTGCTCGATATATCTTTGATATTTTTCTTCCGGTTCCACACTCTTGATCCAGGTTACTGTAAGAAAGAAGAGTTTACTTCCTAAGAAGATAGTGAAAGTGAACATACAAAAACTTCATAGATCCTATAATTCTTCATATATTTCCCTTATAGTGGAAGTGTCCAATAAGTTAACCGACCATACATCATACATTTTTACATCAGAATTAGAAAAAAAATGAATACAGGAGACTGCAATCTGTACTTGAAAACACCTTCACATATAGCACTGATAAATTACGCGCCAGTTCTAAAAACAAATGTTTCCCGAATAATCACTGACTAAAACCCCTATAGATAAGACCAAAGATGTAATGAGCTGAGTCAAGAAAAAAACAAAGCAAGAAATCTTGTTTGAACTCACCCGAACCCGACAAGAGAGGTTCCCTCAGCAAAATAAGCTGCAAGTTTAGTTTTTGCAAGCTTTGTCTTCGCACAGAGAAGTATACCTGACAAAAGAGTCCATCCATGAAAACAATATTCTTAACAACTTCCCTAGTAGATAGATGTCATTGTAGATAATGCTTGAATCTTAGCTGGTCAAATGACAAGGAAAACAAAACTAACATCTATAGGCTAACCTGATGTTCCTCTGCCCAGTCGATGTACAGGGACAGGGTGTGAAGCCTCTTTATTACCAAAACACCATTGCAGTTGCGTCAACAAAGTCCGCTGCTGGAAAAGCCCTCCTGGCAATACTTGGAGTCCAGAAGGCTTGTTTAAAGCTATCTGCATCAACAAATATCAAAACCCAGTAAATACAAACACTCATCATCACTGCAAGTTGAAAACTAAATTCCAAAGATCTTTCTATGTTTTGTTCAGAGCTGGAAGTCACCATATCATCGTCTTCATACAAAATTTCTAGCGAGTATGGCGTGTCAGGTTCCTTCCAGGGAAGCCTATGGTAAACTAACTTCGAACCACTCCTGAGAAAGAAACAAATGGCACACCTTTTACCAAAAGCTGAAGAATTTATTACAACTGCTAAAATCATTCTAGGAAAAGGGAAAACAAAAACTTTGTTTAGCTGAACCTAAGAAGTGTGGTTGGATCTTTTACAACTTCCCCGTCAATTTGTATCTGCAAAGCATCGTTAAACTGAAATTACAAATCCTCTCAAGAATCATGCGAGAAGTTCCGTGACAAAATGATGTGGTACAAAGAGCAACCTGTCCGTTTTGGATTCGTTGAACCCACCTGGAAAAGAAAAGAACAAAGGAGTTAAAAAGAATGAAACGTAAAAAAAAACGATTTTGTAGGAAAGAGTAGAGAGCAACAAGAGTAGAACCCTAGCAACGGAGCTGAGCTCTTGTATTTAGTTGAGTAGAAATCTAACACCGTCCTTAACTCTGTATACAAAATTCCACAATTTCAAAAACAATACAAAAAAAAAAAAAAAAATCAAAACTTTTGAATCCTAAAGCAAGTAGTGGAAGACCTGAATCAGAAGAGGAGACGACATCCTTGTATGCCAATCCATCGTTGAGCTCGGGCCATGGCAACCCGATACATTTCTGCCGCGGCGGCGGCGTCGTCGTCGTCGACATCGTGACCGGAACCACTTGCGAGATTATGTTTTTGACGTAACCCAAATCGAGTAAATAAAACCAAGAAATTGAAAGCTTGTGTATTGTACCAAACCGAAACAGACCAATACCGAAATCGAATCAATCCCATACCAAACTCGGTGATTCAAACCGTATTGTAAACCAAATTTGAAATTTCTCCTGCATCTTTTTTTTTTTGTTAAAAGTTTTTCTCGTGCATAACCCTTTATTTTCTTCTTTTTATAAGTGAAAGTGAAAACCAGAATATATTCTAATACATAAAATATTTTGAAAAACAAAAAATGTGTTTTTATAACAGAAAGTATGTACATTGGACAATGGGAAAGCTAAATGTTTTGGTTCGATATATTAGTGTATTTGAATCCAATTCTTCACATAACTTTTTTACTTTATTGGTGAAAAGTTTCTTAAGAGACTAGTAAATGCCACAACTTATGTTTTTCTTGTATGGCTTTTCAAGTTGAGCATCGAATGAAGAAGAAAAAAGTTATCACTTTCCATGGTTGACATTGTGAGGATTTAAGGCATAGTATCTAACGAACCTTTCTTTGTTATTAAAGTCATAAACAGCAGTTACAATTTGAAGTAACTTATTAAGTAGAAATCAAACTTATTAAGTTACTTTCCAAAATTTGGAACAAAAAAAAAACCTTTTGACCAAAAGACATTGAGAGAGAGTTGATTCTATTCCTGTGTGGCTTTCTTGTACTCAGGCTTAAGCTCATAAGTTCCTTGGTTGCTTCCTTTGTTGTTGTAGATGCAAAGATCTCTCAGCAAGTCTTTCAGGAATTGCTGCATCAAACCACATTCAATACACATTTTGGACAATACAAAAAGTCTGCAACATCCTTCTGGTTACCTCTGGTTGGTCGGTTTCTTGAATAAGCAGCCTCAGAGTCCAATTAGATTGTCTTTCAAAGAGATTAAACATGACCTCCTCCATCTCTCTCCGGTCCCTTCTTGTTCTCTTCATATCCGATGTCTTGTTTGTCAATTTCTTCTTGTCCTGATACAAAGCAATGACTTTTTTTTCCCTTAAACCAACACAGTATGTATGTAATGTGTGTGTTTCAACTGGTAAAGATATATACAGGATTCGCGGTGGGGATAATCATTGGCTGCATCGGTCTCAGATGCATTCCACTGGCATTACCGATGACCTGGTCAAGAAACCATAAACATGATCCACTGAAGAAAAATGGAACCACACTTTTTTTACAAAAAACCATTCTTTACGACAAGAACCTGGATCTGTCTATTTTTGCACATATACTTGCTTGCCCTTTCGCGGCACAGCTGTCCATAGCTCTCGATGCTCTCGTTATGAGGCCTCATGTCAAATTTGTTCTTAATCTTCCCTTCTGCTGTCGTTCTTCCTACACCTCAAAAGAACATCGTTTCAAGACAATCACCCACAGTTCATGTTTCATTTCTCTTGACTGTAAATAAACAGACCATTTGCTAAAAACCTTTCAACCAAATGATCCAAAACGTGATACAACACAACTAAGATACTAGAGAACGTCCAAAAGAGCCAACAGTTGCTACTGAAGCATATGGGACAGGAGAAATCTCATTACCGTCTGAAGTATCAGAGAAAGCACACATAGGAATGAAATCCTTAGACATATCCAAGGCATAACGTTTTGGAATGTTTCCAGATTCAGCTCGAGCTAACTCCATTACGAACTGCAGAGGCAAAAGAATCACATGTTTAATGCTTTACCACCCCCCAAAAAAAAAAACTTGCAGTTGAAGTGACGAGCAAGAAAGCAAAGGTGGATACTTTTTAAGAGAGTCAATATAATCCTACAAGACAGATTTCTCGAGACAATAGAAAAGATCTCTAATTTGCAGAAATGCTTTCACACAAATACTACTCAATTCTCAAATTACAGCCAGAGAGTGAGCAAAACCACTCGATATCTCCAAACTTAGAAGACTCATTTCCCCCAAAAAATATGGAATTTCAGAGAATGTATCTCAGGAGGCTGAAAAAACCCGACGACAGAGAAATCACGAGGAAGAATTGAGGAAAACGCATGCAGAGAGGAGAGAAACGCGAGTGAGAGATGCGAAATCGAAATAGACAAAACAGTACTTTGGTTTCTTCGTCCTCGGTGGCAAGAGGATCGATGGCGAGGGCGACTTTGGCGACAGGACGGTACGATTCGTCAGGAAAAGGAAAATATTGGAGAGAAGAAGCGACGAGAGAAGGGCATTTCAGTATCCAAATCGATCTATCTGCTAAACCAATTTCCAAAGCTGGAGTCCCATCCTTCTTCGCCGTATATTCTTCCATTTTCATGCAGAAACCGAGAGAGAAGAGAGACGATGTAAACACATGAATACAAGCACGTTTATATACACACTAACCCTGATTATTGCTAAATTTATTAATCTCTGTCTCTCCCTCTCTCTCTCTCTTTATATCCATATCTAATATCACAAAAGCAAAAGCTTTTTAAAGATTGCATTTTTTCTATTATACAAAGCTAGTGTATGGTATCTGATATACACAACGACCACAAAACTATTTTCTACAAAGAGAAAGACGTTTTCCTCTTGAGATTCGTGTGTACTCAAAAGCAACAACTGTGAAATCACACGCGTGACCGCTTCGTTCTTCTCTCTGCTAACTTGTTAGTCGCATTTCGTTTGTTAGAAACCTCTTTGTGTTGTGTCTCTCTCCGATCTTCATCCTTTCTTGTCTCTTCTTCCTTCTTCTTCTTCGTTGAAATCTCCAACGCATCCTTCACAAAAAACTTTAGCCTCCACAGTGTTGGTTCGTCCTGCATGAAAAAACTTAGCTTTATAAAAGAGAAAGACGGGACCTTTCGACCAGAAAAAAGTACAAATGACAATGGCTTTCGTATGATTTTTTTACCAGTAAGTCCATTTCAATATCCACTTCCTCTCCTCTAGTATGGAAGCTCGGGTTAGCCTGAGCAACTATACCCAACACTTTCTGTAGCTCATCTGGAGACAATTTCAAGAACGCCAAACCAATATTACGCTTCTCCTCAGTTGTGATTTTCCTGATACAAATCACTCACCGGTGTGAGCAAACTGATACATTGACTAAAGGAACCTAAAATGTGTTAAAGAGTTCATTAAGAGTGATTATGCCAACCTGCATCTTTCCACAACTATATTCCTTAGTTTCTCCAGCTCGTCATTAGCATTGTAAATCTGGACAGTAATATGCCAGATTGTTAGTAAAAAGGTTGAAATTACAAAAGGGTCGCTGATGATATCGAAAAAAAAAATTAACCTCATTGCTCAATTCTCTAGTTGTTTTGGTATGAGATGCTTCTTTTGCTAGCAGCGCATCCATTGCGGCTTGCTTCTCCTCTTCCTCCCGTATTTTCTCCTGTAATCAGTTTTGTTAAGAACTCGGCTCAAGCTGAAAAACCTTAAAGCTAAACTCCTTCAAGATGATAACATATTAATCATTTACCTCTTCTTGAACTTTTGGAAGAAAGTGTGCCCATTTCTCCTCAAACTTTCCCAGCAATGTTTTCGCCATAGAGTAAACGTCACTTGATTCTTCATTATACTTCATTGCGTTCTCAAACACAAGCCGCATATCAGCATATACTTGCATAACATGTTTGTACCCGGTACCATCCTTAGCCTCCATTTGATTCTTTATCGTACTGAAGTCCATGGGCTTGTCAATAACCTACAATCAGAACAAAAAAAAACTCATAGCCTAGAATGTAGACCGAGGAATATAACACACACAAGATCTTAAACGTATTCAAAGAGCAAGATATAGTAGTGTACTTTTGATAAAACTAGTTCACAACAACCTGCATTGATCACTAGCTTTTTCTCCATTTTCTCATTAACTATATAGACTTGAACAAGTAACTGGTTTCAAGTTCATCCTAACTAAATAAGTGAACATATATATTTTCTCTAATGGACAAAAGCTATTTACATTGCAACGATACCAAAGCAATTCAATAAAGAATGGTGAAATTCTGGTAGATCTAATAGGCAAACGCGGTTTAGTCAGCTGTCACGTTCAACCAAAACAAGAATCAAAAGCGAAAGGTTAAATTTTTGGTAGCTCTCATAAGCCAAAAAGGAGCAAATTTTAAATGTTTTACCAAAAGGAAGATACAGTATCAACAACGAAAGACGAAAGCTGAGACGAAAAAACGTTACCTCATAGTAGTCATGCAAACCAAGACCTTCTACATTGACAGGATGCAAAAAAGGCCATGCGCACTTATGCTGAGTTATCTGAGAAATCCAATACAATCAACATTTAATGGGTTTCAAATTCGTCCTCAAGTGCCAAGAATAGATCAACTCAAGTGGAGAGATGATTTCTTTTTACCTGACGGAAGATTGTTCCGAATTGACGCATGAGGTCATGCATTCTTTTTGCAGCAACAGCTTCCCTACGAGCCGCCTCTTGTTGAACTTTCCTAACCCCACCAACAACATGCCTAGAGCCAGAGTTTGCGACGGCAATGCTCGAGTAAAAGTCCTCTACTTGCTTCAGCTTATGCTCAAGCTGCAGGTACAAGTCGAACCAATCAAACATTCTATATCTATATTATGAGTTTATGACTACGCCACTTCAAAGCAAAACTCCAGAGACGGGTTTATGAAACTTGTTTGGCAGAAGAAAGATCAAACAAGCAGAGCAAGAATAAGGAATCACAACGAAGACCTAATTCAGTATCGAGAAAGACAATAGAGCAAGAAGAAGGAATCAGAGCTCTGAGGAGAAGATTGGCTCTTACCGAATCAACCCAATTAAGAACCTCGTCGACTCGCTGGTTGATGCAATCGGGGTCGAGAGGGAAAACCTGGGAATGTCCGCCGGGGGTTTCACCTAATCCCGGCACTGAGCGAGCCATTAACAAGTCTCAGAACAGCCAGTAAAATCCTCCAAAAGAAAAGGACCTCAAGTATTCTGCAAAAATTGAAAACACGTATATCTCTCTCTCTAATGATGAAGAACCGAGGCCGAACGGTGAACTACCTGTCGTTTCTGATATGGAAAACGACAGGTGTTGCTCATTACGCTCTCGAGTCGAAGAGAAAAATAATTTTAAAAAAATGAAAAGGGGCATTCCGAGAATTGAACTCGGGACCTCTCGCACCCTAAGCGAGAATCATACCACTAGACCAAATGCCCTTTTATTGGTTTACTCGATATTTTAAGGAATACATAAATACAAATGGAGAAAACACATTGCCCATATGCCAATTTAATTTGGTTGTCCCTTTTTTGTGCAAAATTTTGGTTGTCTATGTTTGTATGTTTATGTAAATGGATAGAGGGATAAGGTAATCTTTTAAAAGTCCAACCACCGACAATAAATAAACGTGAAATCCATATTCTTCTTCAATTTGCCATGCATTGATAAAAAAAGACTTTTGAGTATTCTTAAGATTCCAAACCAAAAGAAGAATTCAAAGGTAACCGAGAAAAACTCTTATAGAGAATATTTTTGTGTTGGTCCATGTTCATTGCTACCAAAATTGATTTTTTTTTTTATTTTTTTTTTGCTTCTTTTTTTGGCTTAGTACTAGATGATAACTAAATAATAATAAGAATGTGCCTTAAATATTTGTTTAGGCAATTTTATCTTAAATTTGATTGTTACAACCAGAAATCTAATATTTTTCCATAACATGTTATTCAGACATTTCATTTATGAAATATATGTAAAGTTTTATCATTTTGAGTTTTTTTTAACAACAAAAATTAAATAACTATGTGACAAACTTAGCCTCATGTAATAAATTAGACATGCTCATAACAATATAATATGTTATGAAAAAACAAAAATCCATCCTATAATTGTCAAATTTCTCAATAGTTAAATGATTAGTATTATCAAAAAAAATGTAAGAAATATTTCTTTTTTCTATAATATGGTCTTTTAGTCATCAATTTTTTAATAAAATAATACTATTTCATAAATATTTGTTGATCAATTAAATTAGAAATTATCGAGTTAATTCATAATAAATCTCTATTTTAATTTTAATGAACGGTTAATATTAATTTTAAGAAAAACTGAAAAAGAAATTTAAATCATCTCTTCAAACCTATAAATAGATTCCTTTAGTCTATTGTAAAACATCTTATTTCCTCTTCTACAAAAAATTCTCCAGTGCCAGTAAGTTATCACAACAAACAACATTGTTAAAAGAAAAAGAAAAATAAAACTTACACGATGATCATCGTCCCATGCAAATATGCCTGACAATTTTGTGAATTGCCATCTTGACTTTTTCCCATCAGACCTCATATGTTTGAAGAGCTTTTATCTTCGCCAAACCAGTGCATCTACAATTTTCTTCGCGTAAAGAAGCGTTTCTTTTTCTCTTATGTTGTCTGCAATTATATCAGCTTGACAAGATTGTGAAGCATGTGAATCATATGCTTCAAAATGCCTGACTGAATTTTTTCTTACTGCACAACAAATTATTCATGTTAGCTATCACAACAAAAAAGAATTTGTTGAAAGAAAAATTAAACTTATTTGAAGCTGACCATCGTTCCAAGCTATATATATATATACTGATAATATGGCAAATTGCCTTCTTGACATAAGGTTTGTGTGTTCCTGCCAAAATGTTGGAGATATCCAACTCCAAAAGTGGTTTATGGTCAATTACTAGTTGAGTATGATTTGTATTCTCCCACTACACACTACAGTATACTATATATATCGTAGGGAACGTGTGAAACTGAATTGTTATACTCTTCAGATGACTAGAAATACAAGGAATCGCATATCTAAAAATACATATAACCAATATCGAAACAAAGCTCTAAAAATACAGATAACCTCATATTAAATTATGCTAAACAGAAATTTACTTTTAAGAGTTCAACTATCCAAAACCTAAAAGTCCAATCTCAAAGATTAAACTTTTCATTTTCCGCGACAATGGTAAGAAATAATTGGATAAATCTCTTTATAATTATATTATATAATTACATAAATGTTTAAAAATCTTAAGTTCATATAATATATATTTTACAAAACATACTTTGTGATTTACTTTGGAAGTTCTAACTACTGCCAAAAGGCTGAATTTGGGGTTTTCTAGAATATAAGCAACATATAAATACCAGCTGACCTTGATCCAATTTTTATCAGAAGGTAACAACATGAAAATACCAGCTGGTCGTAATCCATTTTTATTGGTTTAAGAATTTCGAATTTCTTAAAGCAACTTGAATATAAAGTTGAAGTTAGATTTAATACTATGTGATTCAATACAAATCATGAAATCATTACCATTTTTGAATTTATGTCGTACTTAGTGTCATTTTGGGAGGGTTTGTTGAATAACTAAAAAGGAAAAAAAAATTACAAACTAACCAACTTTTTAGAGAAAGATAAAAGAGATATAAAGTGAAAATAGTTATTTTGTGAGTGGTTTATTGATTTAAAATATCCGTTTAGCAAAACCCTGTCAAGCACTCAAAACAAATACGAGTTTTTTAGTGATTGACACATGAAAGCAACCAACAAATTAAGTAATGAAATGATTTAAAACTGATAAAAATTTGGTAGTATAAATATAGGAAATAGAAGAATAGTCCAACTATGAAGAAAAGGTCTATTTTATATAACCTTCTGTCACGGGCACTGTTTCATTCCGTTGGACCCCTTCTCCTTCAAGATCTGTTTCTTCCTTCTTTTCCTCTACCAGATTTTGTACCATAGATCACTCTCGACTTCCATACCTATTTACCTTTCTTGTCTGAATCCTACAAAAGACTCTTCACTCTGTTCTGTTTGGTCGATCTAAGGACCTTTCTTTTATTTTCATTTTTCAATATTGCCACTCCCCAAGTGTAGGTACGCGTGTATACTACGCAGTTACATAAGCCTACGTGTTTCTGTGTCTTTAATTCATTTCTGAAACTGAAACCTTTACTTTCTTGCAGATTCTGCGTTTGAACTACAGTGAAACGTATTCAAGGGTTTTGGTTTTTTCTCCGAGAGTTTTTTTGTCCTACAAAAAAAAACCTCGACTGCTCTCTCTCTCTCTCTCTCTCTCTCTCTCCTCGAGAAAGATCCGAACTTGATTTACAATCTGTGAGTCTATACATTCCAGTTGGTGCTCTGATTTGATATTCCTGAATTAAGTTTTATCAATTTCCCCCTTCTATGAGATTCAGGAAAAAAAAAGATGAAGTCTTGATTAATTGAACAATTGATATAATATTGGGTCATGAATTTACCTCTGAGGTTTTGCATTTGCAGATAATTTTGAAAACGAAAACTAAAAATGGGTAAGAGTTGGTTTTCTGCTGTGAAGAAGGCCTTTACTCCAGAACCAAAACAAAAGAAAGAACAGGTTTTTTAATCCTTACACTACTTGGTTATTATGCGTTTGATTGAAATTTGAAAACTGACACTGAAAAATGGGTTTGTTGTACTTTCATTAGAAGCCACATAAGGCCAAGAAATGGTTTGGTAAATCCAAGAAACTGGATCTTACCAAATCTGGCGAATCAGATCATTCACTGCCTAACAATACTCCTCGTGCTGTCAAAGACTCGAAACTAAAAGAGATCGAGGAGCAACAGAGCAGACATGCTTACTCCGTCGCTGTTGCAACTGCCGCAGCTGCAGAGGCAGCCGTCGCAGCTGCTCAAGCTGCTGCTGAAGTTGTTCGTCTCACTGCATTGTCACGTTTCCCAGGGAAATCAAAGGAAGAGGTCGCTGCCATCAAGATTCAGACAGCTTTTCGAGGATATATGGTATATCTTGTTTTTTGTTCTCATTCTGTTTCACATTTCCGAGTCTAGTAACTATAAAGGTGGGTTTTGTTAATGGAACGAAGTTCATCATTACTTTTATTTGTTACCTTTTTATAAGGCAAGAAGAGCATTGCGTGCGTTGAGAGGCCTCGTGAGGCTGAAATCTTTAATCCAAGGGAAAGGTGTGAAACGTCAAGCCACATCGACATTGCAGAGCATGCAAACACTAGCGAGACTACAGTATCAGGTTCGTGAGAGAAGGCTACGATTGTCGGAGGATAAGCAGGCTTGTGCGCGACAGCTCCAACAAAGACACAATAAAGATGTTGTTGCTAAGGTAAGTTACTTCTCACAAGATGTTAGCTTTAATTTTTCTTGATCTTGATGATATAGGCTTGTGGAAATTTGAATTTCGACCTTGGTTCCAAATGCTGTCTGAATCTTGATGGATTATATATTACGTTTTGTGGAATAGACTGGAGAAAACTGGAACGATAGCACATTGTCGCGGGAGAAAGTTGAAGCAAACATGTTGAACAAGCAAGTAGCAACAATGAGAAGAGAGAAGGCGCTTGCATACGCATACACTCATCAGGTATCAAAGCTAGTTTTTATATCCTACTCCCCAATGTCTTTATGAATCTCAAAAATGGTGAATATGCAGAATACTTGGAAAAACTCAACGAAATTGGGATCGCAAACATTCATGGACCCGAACAACCCGCATTGGGGATGGAGTTGGCTAGAACGTTGGATGGCTGCAAGACCAAACGAAAACAACTCAGCCACACCAGATAACGCTGACAAGAACTCTTCTGCTGGGAAGAGTGTAGCAAGCCGAGCCATGTCTGAGATTGTTCCACGCGGCAAAAACCCTTCACCAAACAGTAAAAGAGGTTCAAGCCCGAGAGTGAGGCAGGTCCCAAGAAGTGGTGAGGAAGACTCGAAGAGCAATTTGAGTATCCAGTCAGAACAACCTTGCAACCGTAGGCATAGCATTTGCGGGTCAACTGCATCCACTAGAGACGACGATAGCTTAACCAGTATCCGCTCCCACTCAGTTCCAGGCTACATGGCGCCTACGCAAGCCGCCAAAGCAAGAGCTCGGTTCTCGAACCTTAGTCCCTTAGGCTCAGAGAAGACAGCTAAAAAACGTTTGTCCTTCTCAGGATCTCCCAAGACTGTAAGGCGGTTTTCTGGTCCTCCGAAGCTGGAAGGCAATGGTAATAATAAAGATACCGATCTTGCTTAAGCAGAAGGATGGATAGAGTTTATATCTGACATTGTTGAGTAGGTGAAAGTCTGGAACAGAGGTGATATCAGAAGAAGGCTCTGTTGTGTCTTTGTTTATAGCAATTCTCTTGATTTGTTTTTTTGGGGGTTTTGTTTACTGCTACGAACTTATTTATTTGTTTGATTTTTTTATTGGTTTAACATTTGATTGTTCCTGTAACTTTCAACTGATGAGGAGACAAATATAAGCAAGATTGATGATTTGCAGCCATACGAAATTGATCTCAGGATTCTTTAGTTGATTATTACAGCCATACGAAATTGATTTTCACGTCAAGAACAAAAATAACGTAATTTTTTCTAAGAGAGCCAAAGTAATCTAAAACTCAGAACCAGTATCGAAAGTTAAGGGGTTCTTCTTAGCAAAATTAAATGTTAAGGGGTTAAAGTTAGAAATAAAGAGAAACGAAAGGGCCTGCAAGCCTTTTTAGGATTCTAGGGCTTTCACTTCATTGGTCGGATCAGACGACGTTTACATCTTCTTCATCCTCTTCTTCTTCGCATTCATCAGTGTGTTTTTTTTTTTGTTGGGTGAAATTGAAAAAAGAGAGAGAAAATGAGCGGAGCCGGTAAGAAAGTCGCCGATGTCGCTTTCAAAGCTTCGAGGACTATAGATTGGGACGGTATGGCTAAGGTCCTTGTCACCGATGAGGCTCGCAGAGAGTTCTCTAACCTCCGTCGTGCGTTCGATGAGGTTAACACGCAGCTCCAGACCAAGTTCAGTCAGGTTCTCTTCCGATTTCCTTTCCCTTGATCTGATTCCCTCTAATCTATTCAATTCATCTCCGATTTTTGTCACTGCCGGGTCTAGAATTTTAGATCTTCATCATTTCCGATTCGACATTAGTATCTCTGGATCAGGTCATTCATTTGCGATTTTTCAGATTTTTTGTTGGTGAAACTTCTTTCTTGTATTCTATATTGTTGTTCTTCCCATAGTTGATTTAGGAATATATTTGTGTTAAGATCTGTTTCCTTTAAGAAGTTATTCATCAGAGAACATTGTTCCTGGCCTTTGTTGATTGCTCATTTGCATCTCAAATGTCGAATTTTGTCACTGTTGCTTCACCATGTTCTATTGATAGCCTCGTGTTACTTGTGCTCTGAGAATTTGTTTCCATCTTGTTATCCTTATCATGTTACCATTTCACTAATGTTGTCATTTCCAAAGAATCGTTCATGCTCTGATTCTTGTTTTATGTCTTGGGTTGTGGAGTGATTTTTCCTCTTTGTGTTGATGTATCCAGGAGCCTGAACCCATAGATTGGGATTTCTACAGGAAGGGTATTGGCTCTGGCATTGTGGACATGTACAAGGAAGCTTATGACAGTAAGTTTTTTTGGTAAATCTTAATGCTGTACAGAACCTGTCTTCTTAGGCAACTTATAAGCGTAGGTCTTGAAATTGAAGTGCAACTTCTAATTATCACACCCATCTGCGTTCCTCTCAACTAGTTTTTGCGTCCTTTTAATCAAGTAAAAGTCTTCTGCTTGCCATTTTTTGGCTCATTATCTTGACTAAAAAGTCTTGAGAGAGATCTGCTCTATAGTGAGATCTGACACGAAGTTCCCATAGTTGTTAGTTTTCCTGTTTGATTGTTGGAATTGTGGAGATATGCCAAAGGAGATTATAAGATACTAAATTGTATATTTTGTTGATGTTTTTTTCGGTTTGGTGCAGGCATTGAGATTCCCAAGTACGTTGACACTGTTACTCCTGAATACAAGCCCAAGTTTGATGCTTTGGTGAGCTAATAGCGATTTGGTTATGATTGTTTTCTTAAAAGTCTCTCTTCTAATGAGGTCTTGTTCAGTTTAACTTAAGTTGTGTGGCATATGTTTCATTGCTATATGTAGTTGGTGGAGCTGAAAGAAGCAGAACAGAAATCGCTCAAGGAGTCTGAAAGGTTGGAGAAAGAAATTGTTGACGTCCAAGAGATAAGCGTAAGTACTCCCTCAAAACAAGTTCTTGAGATTGGCTTTGTGTACTCGGGATTCTGATATTACTATGATCATTCATGTCTGTATAAAAAAAAAACAGAAAAAGCTCAGCACCATGACTGCAGATGAGTACTTTGAGAAGCACCCAGAACTCAAAAAGAAGTTTGATGACGAAATCCGTAACGACAACTGGGGATACTGATGAGTGATGTTTCCTGTCTATCTCTGGCCTGGAAAAAGAAAATTTCTCTTCTCTCTCTCTCTTTTTCTTTTACTGTGATTTTGTGTCCCAATCGTAACAATAATAAGTACGCCATTCACTTAAAACAGTGTTGAGATCTTCATTGGGGACCCAATGAGACAATGACGATAAAAAAAAAAAACCCATTTGGTTTTAGTTTTCAATTTCATAAATTGTTTCGTTTCCTTCTTTAAGTGAATAATAACAAGCTTGAAAAAATCTCATTGGATATCTTCATTTAAAGGTGTCACTGTCGCATTTTCTCTCTTAGCTCACAATATATATGAAACTTGTCTACGAATAGCATAAGAGTCCATGACTCCTTGTAACTACTTGTGAAATTGGTTAGCAATGTGCTTAATGGTAAGTAGTGTAGAAAGACAAATCTTTATTGGTCTAGATGGAAACAAGATGCACGTGCTGCTGTTCTCCTACCCGCTCTGTAACGAAAGTCAGGTTTTGGCCTTTTGCTAATAACTGTATGCACAAAGAAGATAAGAGAGATAAGACCATTTCCTCTTTAAAGTTAAAACATGTTACCTGTAAAATGCATGAGCCAGAGATTGCTTCGTAGGTCATGGTCTCATGTCTATCACGTGTCTCTATGGCCAAAGAGCGTCTTTGTAATCTCACGCTCCCTTTCCCCAGCTCTATAAATAGGTGATGTTTGTATGTGTCTCGTCATTACTTAGCAAAGACACAACAGTGAGGGAAACAAGATGGAAACGGGAACCTCATCATCATCATCAGGCTTGGTTAAGGCCAAATCTGAGACACTAGCAGAAGCTCTTAAGTCTAGCTCACTCGATTTCAGCAATGGTGCCGGCGGCAGCAGCCATGGGAGCAGCAATCAGCATGTGATGGCAAGAACATCGTCATCGCCGAGCCACAGTGGCAGTGGTAGCAGCAAAAGCAGAAGGAACACACACATAAGGAAGGCTAAGAGTGCACACCCTGCTCTTGACCTTAGTCGTCTCACTGAGGGTGCTGCTGCTCTTAGCCGAGCCTCTAGTGCTTCCCTTGGACTCTCCTTCTCTTTTACTGGCTTCGCTGTGCCACAGGAAGAGATCACTGCCTCAGAGAGATCATGCAGCAATGATGATATCTGTAAGAAAACCATCCGTTAAGCACGGCACCTAATTGCAGTCTTGATGTTGAAATTTGGAGTTTATTGGGTTCTTGTTCTTATTATTATATATCCTTCATGTTGCAGTGGAAGATATTGAAGCAGCAAACAGTAGTGTGGTCAAGTTTCAGACAGAACCTACCTTTCCGATATATCTCAAGGTAAACTCATTTCCGCGAGGACAGATAAATTTATGGGAAACATGGGAGATTGATCTTTATGATACTCTCTGTTTGAGCGCAGGCACTGATGGAGATATGTATCTATAATCATCAACACCCAAAAGTCCTTATAAATATATTAGATTTTTGCTGCCATTGGTCAGTCCAAACTTCAGTGGGTCTGTTATATCTCATATGATGTTTTCTGCACAAGAACTTCCCATAAAGAAGAAACAGATTACATTTGTTAAAGTAGTTTCATCATTTGTCATTGCATTAATACAGCATCATGAATGTTCCTAGACATTGGAAACCTCTGTTTTGCCTTCTTTGTTGGTCTAACTTTGGTGCCCAAAAGTCAAGCTTAGGAGGCTCAACTACAATATTACTGGTTATCGGCAAACATGTGAAGCAGAGCTTCACGCTGGACCAAAAGGGTATGGTTATATATAGGTATTACTCTGCATATATCAGAGAGAATTTTAAGTCCTTCTGTAGATGAAAGAATAGTTTTCTTGACAAATTCAGGCATATGGAAACTTTTACCTGCAAAATTTACTGACCAAATCATGTGCTGTTGCAGTTCACAGATATTACATACAAGGTAACTTGTAAAAGAATGACATCTTCATCAGAAAAGATCATCTTGAATGGGATTAGTGGCTCAGCATCTCCAGGGGAGCTTCTTGCTCTCATGGGACCTTCTGGTAGTGGCAAAACTACACTACTCAATCTTCTTGGTGGCAGATTTAATCAGCAAAACATCGGTGGTTCGGTTAGCTACAACGACAAACCATACTCTAAGCACTTGAAAACCAGGTTAATACAAGATTCCATCAGTTCAGTCTCTAGATGATGAAACTGTAGATATGCATATATAACTGTAAAATTGACAATGGGGAAAAGCACCATGGCAGGATTGGATTTGTGACACAAGATGATGTTCTGTTCCCTCACTTAACTGTCAAAGAGACACTAACCTACACAGCTCTTTTACGCCTTCCTAAAACCCTCACAAAGCAGCAGAAGGAGCAAAGAGCTGTCAGTGTTATACAAGAGCTTGGACTAGAAAGGTACAGTTTTAGGCACTTCCTCTTATAGTAAAGCTAATAAGTCTTGAGAATGGAGCCTAATTATAAGATTGTGACTATAGGTGCCAAGACACAATGATTGGAGGGTCGTTTGTGCGTGGTGTCTCAGGTGGTGAGAGGAAAAGGGTTTGTATTGGGAATGAGATCATGAATAATCCTTCACTTTTATTCCTTGATGAACCCACTTCGAGTTTGGACTCTACTACTGCTCTCAAGATTGTTCAGATGCTACAAAGTATAGCAAAGGTAAAACATAAACTCCCTGTTACTATATATGGATTTGAACATATCCAAGTTCTTACTTGTTTACATGCAGTCAGGGAAAACTATTGTCACAACAATACACCAACCATCAAGCAGGCTCTTTCACAGATTTGACAAGCTCGTTGTGCTCAGCAGAGGAAGCTTGCTTTACTTTGGGAATGCATCAGAAGCAATGTCTTATTTCTCTTCCATAGGATGTTCTCCTCTACTCTCCATGAACCCAGCAGAGTTCTTGCTGGACTTAGCGAATGGAAACATGAACGATATCTCCATACCTTCAGAACTTAAAGAGAATATGAAGATGGAAAATTCTTGCAGCAAGATAAGATCTTCTAAGCCAACTCCTACAGTTGTGTATGAGGTACCTTTGATTCAACTACAACTGTTGAGAAATATATCCTCTTAAAGCTCTATTTAATAAATGTGATGTTGCTGGGGAAAAACAAAGTTTCTTGAGGAAGCTTACAGGACACATCATGAAGCCGTGGAAAAGAAGAAACTTATGGCTCCAGTTCCTCTAGATGAAGAAGTCAAAGTGATGATGACTTGTCCCAAGCGAGAATGGGGATTAAGCTGGTGGGAACAGTATTGGATACTTTCCTTGAGAGGGTTCAAAGAACGGAGGCATGATTATTTCAGCTGGTTGAGAGTCACTCAAGTCCTCTCCACTGCAATCATCTTAGGTTTACTCTGGTGGCAATCAGACATTCAACATCCCAAAGGCCTACAAGATCAGGTACTAAATGTTTATATGGTCTAGAAAAATTTGGTCACTTAACGTTGAAACTGAAACTCTCTCTGCATCTCAGGTAGGGCTACTCTTCTTCATTGCTGTGTTCTGGGGGTTCTTTCCAGTATTCACAGCGATCTTCACGTTTCCTCAAGAGAGAGCAATGCTGAGCAAGGAACGAGAGTCGAATATGTATCGACTAAGTGCATATTTTGTGGCTAGAACCACAAGCGACCTGCCTCTTGACTTGATACTACCTGTGCTTTTCCTAGTAGTTGTGTATTTCATGGCTGGATTGAGATTAAGAGCTGAATCATTTTTCCTAAGTGTGCTCACAGTCTTCCTCTGCATCGTTGCAGCTCAGGTATATAAATGCATATAGAGAAAAGGGTTCTTCATTGTCAAACCAAAGGACCATGTTGAAAGGAAAAATGCTAATACAAGTTTGTTTTTTAGGGGCTTGGATTAGCGATAGGGGCGAGCTTAATGGACTTGAAGAAGGCCACAACTTTAGCATCAGTCACCGTTATGACTTTCATGCTCGCTGGTGGCTACTTCGTCAAGGTAAATAGATATAAATACAGTCAAGATATTTCTGGTACATCATACATAGAGGAGTTTTGAAACTCTAATGCATTGATTGACACTCTTTTTTTAATATATTTGGCAGAAAGTTCCGATTTTTATCGCTTGGATACGTTTCATGTCATTCAACTACCACACGTACAAGCTCCTTGTGAAAGTACAATACGAAGAGATCATGCAAAACGTAAACGGAGAGGAGATAGAGAGTGGGCTTAAGGAAGTGAGTGCTCTTGTAGCTATGATTATTGGCTACCGTCTCTTAGCCTACCTTTCTCTTCGAAGGATGAAGCTACTCTCTCCAACATAAGTTTAGATTCAAAAACAGCATTTAACTTGGGGATTCCACTTATTTTGTAATGTTTGCTTGTTTATATATATCAAAAACAATTTAATATTTAGATTTCCAAATACGTGATGTTCTCAATATCATCCCAAAAAGATGTATTGTATATCAGTCTATCGAAGATGGTAACATGAGAAACATACACATGAAACATTAAGGATTGCTTAGGCTTTACTCAATTTTCGAAAATGGTTTTGAGTTTTCTTGGAAAAAACAAATGACCATGCATGCTAATTTCATTTCCTTGGTCTTCTTTTTCCTCAATTTTTGTTCCATACAGAAACATGTGACCATGCATGCTAATCTCATTTTCCTTTTCATCCTCTTAGGAAATTCCATACGCTCTTATTCATATAATCTACTTTTAATTATGATCTTTCTAATGGTCGCCCACAGATATTAAACAACTTTAGACTCCACTATATTATAAAGACTTTAAGTACCTCACTACGCTTTAAAGAGATCACCACAAAGTTTCAAACTTTGTTCTACTAAAGGAAAAGAAGAAAAAAGTAAAAAGTTATGGCATATTGACGTAAGATGTGAAAAGACCAATCTCTACTTCAAGTGCTCTGAACCAACAGAAAGGAACAATAGAGATACAAATATTCTTTAACTCTTTTAATGCTTGAAAGATCCTGACCGTTGATCCTTGTCTTTATGGGTGGATGGGGCGGCATTAACTACGTGGTCCTTGGACAATCGCTGTAACTCCAACACGCGGATTAGTGTGACTGATATATTCCCTTCTTTCTTCTTCTTCTCGAGAAAAAAAAAAAAGAAACTTTCTTTTTCCTCAACTTGCAGAACAGGAAGAAGAAGAAACGACATTCACAAGGTTTGTTCCTTTTTGTTACCGTTTGATTTCGATGCAATTCTCTCTCCTTTTGGTGAGTGTTGTTCTTGGAGAAATGCGGAAATGCGTTGCTTCTTGATGTTTTGTTACGGCTCTGTTTTTTTTTTACCTTAACACTTATAAATCTCTGTAGAAACAGTTTATTGGGATTTTTTGTTGTTGTTCGATGCTTGAAATTAGTAATTAAAGCTGATTTTATCTGGTATGTTAGTGAAACTTGGTTTAGACATTTCTAATTATAGTCTTATATATATATATACCTTATCTTAATCTAGCAATTGTTGTTATGTTGAAATATGCCAACTTCTGTAACAATACTGATTCTATTCAATATAGACTATGAATTTGCCTCTATAACAATTCACAGGACATTATTATATGGTAATCATGGAGCGACTAAAATCTCCTCCTCCTCTCATGATCGTCTCGGACCTTGATCATACCATGGTAGGATCTAATTCTGTAGCAACTCTCTGTTTGCATTTTCAGAAAGAGAACCAAAAAAAAAAGGGTTCTTGATATGATTCAGTTTTTTTTTGCAGGTTGATCATCAAGACCATGAGAACATATCTCTTCTGCGGTTTAACTCATTGTGGGAATACGCTTATCGACGTGACTCTCTTCTTGTCTTCTCAACCGCAAGATCACCGATTCTATACAAAGAACTGAGAAAAGAGAAGCCTTTGTTGACACCTGATATCATCATTACTTCAATAGGAACCGAGATAGCGTTTGGTAACTCCATGGTTCCTGATGTCACTTGGGTTGAGTCCTTGAACAGTGATCAATGGAACAGGGAGATAGTCTTGGAAGAAACCAGAAAGTTCCCTGAGTTAACCCTTCAGCCAAAAACTGAGCAGAGGCTACACAAGGTCAGCTTTTACATTGATGAAGGTAAAGGTGAGGCAGTGACCAAGGAACTTTCACAGTTGCTGGAGAAACGTGGCGTTAAGTGTTTACTTATCTTTTGTCTGTGTGATCTTTGTTACTTTGAAACCCAAATTGTTTTGTGATGAATGATGGTATTGTTGTTCTTTGTGTTTTCAGTTGGATGTCAAGATTATTTACAGTTGGGGTAAGAATTTAGATGTTATACCTCGAGGTGGAGGCAAAGGAGAAGCCTTGGAGTATCTTCTCAAGAAACTGAACGCTAAAGGAATATTCCCGGTGAATACACTTGCTTGCGGTGACTCTGAACACGACGCTGAGCTATTCAGCATTCCAAATGTCCACGGTGTCATGGTAATGCTCACTCACCAGTCACCACAAATCTTTCTTCTGTTACTTACCAAAAGATCCAAAAACCTTTACTGTTTTGCTTTGTGAAGGTGAGCAATTCTCAAGAAGAGCTGTTGAAGTGGCATTCTGAAAATGCTTTAAACAACTCAAAGGTTATACATTCAAGCGAGAGATGTGCGGATGGGATTATTCAAGCTATTGATTATTTTAAGCTTGGCCCTACTCTTTCTCCAAGAGATGTTACTGACTTCTTGAGTCGAAAGACGGATGTTGCGAACCCTGGTCAAGAAGTTGTGAGGTTTTACTTGTTCTACGAGAGGTTGAGACGCGGTGAGATCAAGAAGCATGAGACGTACATAGACAGCTTCAAAGAGTCATGCGTGAGTAACAAAAATTAGTTGGCAAAGAGAGAATCCATACTTGTGTGTGTCGTCTCGACAGGACTAATTCCTTTTCATCGTCTGTGTTTTCTTGGAACGTTTTCAGCACCAAGGTACTGTCTTTTACCATCCATCAGGTGCAGAGATTCCTCTGAGACACACCATTGATGAGATGAGGAAGTATCATGGAGACAAGAAAGGGAAGAAGTTTTGGGTTTGGGTAGATCAGGTTTTGGTAGTAGACACCACTCCTGGAGAATGGATAGTAAAGTTTGATAAGTGGGAGCAATGCGGTAAGAATCAAAAAGCCATTTTTTTGCAATCTGAACTTTGATATGACTCTATGAGCAAGTCTTATATAAATTCGTTGGTTACTTTTGGCAGAGGATGAGCGTAAATGCTGCACAACGACTGTCGAATTCACTTCAAAGGTATCAGATTCTCATAAGTCATGTAAGATTAGACTCTTGAATATGGACTGAAGTGAAAATCTGCAGGGAGGTCTGGTGTGGGAGAAGGTGAAGCAGATGTGGACGAAGGAATCAGAGATGATCGATGATGATGACACTTCCTGGATTATCTAAAATCACTGTTGACAAATGATATTAACAGTCTCCAGGATCATTTTTATAAGTTTTGCAAACTGTTTTTGATCATTTGAAAAAAAAAAAATTAGGGCCCAACCGGGTTCGAACCGGTGACCTCTTGATCTGCAGTCAAATGCTCTACCACTGAGCTATGGACCCATTGTTGCACTATTCAAAGGTTATTGACTCTTAAATTTAGATCACTACAAACAAAATCTGCTTCCTTATAATTTAGAAGTGTGATCAACATATCTTAAGGAAACATAATGATTGTGTAAAGAATATTAATAGAGACCTCAAGTAGATTACTTTCTTAACAGGATTCTCCTATCTTTTTTTTTAATTTCTCTAGTTCATATATTTTTCCCCAAACTAACACCACATGTCACCCACACCCATAGTAGAGGTTGTTGGAACCACATCTCAGAATGAAACCATATCTATATCCTGACTTATTTGTAGTCCTCTTCCTCATCTCTCTTTATTTTTATGTTATCCTATTGAAAAAAAATATCATTTCATTTTCTGATGTAGAAAGCAAACTTCCTATCTTTCACCCATTGGACTAATATGAAAATGATATCATTCTATATAAGGGCTTCGCAGTTGTTATTATATCTCGATTTTTATATACAGGATTTTATTTTTGTATTTTTTTGTGTGTTTCCAAACATTATATGAATAATGGGGACAAAAAAGCATGTCGATGGTAGAAATAAAGCAAAATATAATATCAATATATATATACAACATCGAAAAATCCAGCTTTAAGGATTCCCGCCTTATCCCATTTTAAAAAGGAAAGAAAGCAAAATAGAAAATTTATAAAAATGAAAAGAAAAAGAACTGATTCTGTAATAACTATATTGTCTGGCAATTGTTTTGAAGAAAAAAAAAATCTCTTCATTATTTTGGACGAACGAATTATATTTTTGACAAGAGATTAAATAAATTTCACTACCATCAGTAGATTTGTAAATTAAAGTGAGGAGAAGTTCAAATTGTTCTTCTATTCAGATAAAAAAAAAAAAGAATCAAGATGATGATGATGAGGTGGGAAAAAGATACTGAAACAAAAACAAAACAAATTCAATTTTATGTATTTATGATGATGCATCGATTGAATCAAATTGCATACTATAATAAATATGAGTTGTTTGTTGACCATAAAAGAGAAAAAGATAAAAAATACTTAAATCTTAAAAATAAAAAAAAAGGCTGTGTGTATATATATAACCATCTTCCTTCTCTATCCTCTCTGTCGTTCTGGTTTTTTTTTTTTTTTTGCGCAATGTTTCTTCCATTTCTCTCTTCCTCTCTCTTCCTCCGCCTCTCTTCTCCGATCATGTCCCCTGATCCCTTATCCTGCTCATCTTTCCCTAATTAATATTCTTATATCTTCCGATCGAGATCCATTCATCGACGGAGAGAATTCAGATCAACCGCCGATTAATATTAGAAGAAACTAAACCCTAGAGAGATATGGAGAGTTCCTTAGGATTCATGGCGGTTTTCGCCGTCTCAGGGAGCGTTGTGTTCCTCGCGAGTCAATTCCACAAGCGTCTCCTCTCCGATTACATGGAGAAGTTCGAATTCGAAATCCGTACGAATTTTTCCTCTTCCGCATTTCTCGATCTGTTCTACTTTTTTCTTTTTCAAATTGATTATGAGATTTGAAAAATTGGGGGAAAATCGGTTTTCTGTGACAGGATCGCGGGATAATGTGGTGATGAAGAAGAAGGTGAGATTCGCTGCGGATGTGGTGGAGCCGTCGGGGAATAACAAAGAGTATCGCCGGAGACACTCCTCCAAGGCTAAATTCGATAAGCAATCGAAGATGGCGGTAACTGTTTGAAGGTCTTTTCTTTTTGTACAAAAAAAAAATTGAGTCATTTGTAATTATTCATTGGATTGTGATTTGAAATCATAATTAGTTTCAGATTTTTCTCTCATCTGAATATGCCCAAAACCTTTTAGGTCTTCCCATGGTCAATATTTTTCTTACTATTTAACCTTTTTGTCATTTTTGTGGGTTTTTTCCCTGTAAATAATTTTGTTTGTGTAAAGACAAAATGTGATTGCTAATTACTTATTTATCGTGTGGTGTTTTTAATTATGTATTGTGTGTGATTTATGATGATTGGTAATGTAATAGAGTGCCGTAATCTCGTAACATATTGGTTTGCAATGACTTAAAGCACGTAAATAATTAACAATTTACGCTTTATATAATAATCTCATGTTTACGTACATCCTTTCTTTTCAGACATCTCATTCAAACTCTGTAATTCTATATTTTACTATGGTTTAGATCAAGTACTAATGTTTAGTAATGAATAAATCACTTGTTTCGTGAATATAGTCAATATTACAATGTGTTGGGTTGTTATCTCATTATGAACTAATTAATCTAGTTAAAAATACAATTTAAAAATCGTGCTGAAACTTGTTTAGTGTAGATTTTTTATTTTGTGAACCTTGAAGTTTTGATTTATTTGTCTGTGTTTCTCTGTACATATGACCATATTCAGAAGACTCTCATTCGCAGAAGACTCTCATCTCTAGAACAATATACTTGTTAAATCGTTTTAAAATATACGGTTAAATATATTTGAAGTTATCTTTTCATTAACGTATGAACGCAATATCTCAGAAACTCAAGCTTAAACTAATAATTTCGGAAGTAAAGTGAGAGCAGAAGCTTAAAGACATTAAACAATCAAGATTTTGTCAAAGATTTGGGATGAGATAAAGAAAACTGTTCAAATATAAAAAAACTATACTAATACCAATTAGTTAGAAACGTGGTCTCTTAATTAATGAAAAGGGTACCGTAAACAACCCGAAGGGTCATAAGGCCAGATTCAAATGTGGCTTACGAGAGGATGGAATTGGTCATATGATTTAAATAAACATTAATCTTCTGACGATTAAAGCGTGACGACATGCATACTTTAGTCAGTCTTATAATTATATTCTTATAATAGTATTTGCATCACCTCGTAAAGAAGAGTAAGTGAGAGGATGACGACATAATAAAAAGAGGTTAAAGAGGACTAATCATATAGAAGGTTCTGATTCGTCAAGAGAGGAGATTATCACCATCATAAGCTTGGAAGTTGGTACTACAACTTCTCATTCTTATTTTGTCTTGGCAACGAAGATCATGTGTTTTAGAGTGGGCTGGTGATGGGTCACGGACTCACGGCCCAATTTCTTATTCTGTATCTGTGAAGCTTTTCTCTTTTCAGCATATTTTTTTTCCAACACACATTAGAAACACTACTACATACACAATTTATTATGCATGCTCCATAATATATCTCTTTTGTATTTTTGTCTTCTATTGAATCTGTTCCTTTTTTTTTTCCTTGTCATCTGAATTTTTATTATACAAACAAAGAAGGAATACATGAAAAAGATACAAGATCTAATACAGAGATGAAATACAGGATGGAAAACTGACTTAGATCCGAAAATAAAATACGATTATGAAATACTAAACTAATACAAATGAAAAACAAGATCTAATGCAATAAAAATAGCAAAACTAAAAAAAAAACCCAATTTCAAACTCCAAAGTAATGACAAACTCAAATCTGCAAATCTTCTGAACCTCATGAGGATCCAGAATACGAGAATATCATTGCTGCACATAACAGATCAAACGATAACAACTACCTCCTCCTAAGAAGATGAGAGACCACCTCTTCATCAACAAGTAACTAACGCTTCATAACCCGCCAAGATCAAATCTATAGATCCTAATAAAATTCTGGATGCGGCAAAGTTGGACACGACCAAAAGCGCCTAGATAAAAGCCAAAAAAAACAGAGAGCAAGGTCAACCCCTCTACCATATCGACAAGATCAACAGTAGAAGACATACTGGGAAGCGCCACCGACGAAAAATAATGAAAAAAGAGAATTTGTTTCTTCTTATAGTATAAAATTTGTCTTTCATATCTGGATAGCTTTAAAGTCCTTATGGATTTGACAATCTTTATAAAACGGTACAGTATTAATATTTTAGTGGTGCAATACGAATAAATCTAAATGTCGCCTTTTTTAAGTTCAGTTTGGAATTTTAATGTCTTATTTTGTGCAATATTTCACAATTTACTTAGTTCAACCAAAAAAAAAAATACTTCACTAGAAATATATATGTATATTGTACATACAATACGCTATAGATTTTCCTGCCATACTGATGGAATAATACTCATAAAAGTCTCTTGCTCTGACACAACATATCACACATAAAGCACCTTTTTGTTGTTAAGTCTTAAATGATAAAAGTATAAACTAAACTGTTCATGTATAATCCGTTATTGCCCGATGCATCATGAATAAATGACACAACGTCTTCTTTTTGTCCATTCAACTAAAATTCGCAATTCCATTATACATCGATGATATATCATATAGATACTACCTTGATTTGGTTTAGTTACGGGTGCAAACGATATGATATACTATGATAATTAGATATACAGACATGCCGCAATATTTGGTTTTGTGCTTAGTGAAGATTCTCTTTAAAATGGAAGAATCTCTTCTAGAGTTGTGCTACTGAAGAATAGATGTATTATTTTAACAAATTGACTTAGATATTCCATCTGGATCTACCATATATTTTAAAATGCATGTCAACAATCGGTTAAATAGAGGAACTATATATATAGTATTCCATTTCTTAAATAGATAAAAAAAAATGTACGTATTCCAGAGAGACCACAAACATCTTTCAGAAGAAATATGCAATAATTTTCAGATTGTCTTGCGTTTTATTACGCGCATGTGCCCAGATCATAGACCACCAATTAGCTGTCTGAAATATAAATGTCTGTTGTTCCATTAAATGCCATGATCCATAAAAATATCACGCATCAATTCATACACACACGCCTTATATTTTCTATTTTTAAATGATTTTTTTTATAAGTATGAAGCAATCATAGTGTGGTCCCAAAAATAAGACTAATAAAAGTGGTCTAGAGAGCTCGCATCTACATTAAATTGTAAGATCTTCCAAAATCAAAATTGGCCATATAGTTCGCATCTAACAGAGAAGTTTCCGAAGCAATTTATTCTTTAACTATTTCCTAATCAATTTTAGTTTTCTATTATGAACAGCCTTGACAAAGACTGTTTTTTTTCTTTTTCTTTAATAAAAAAGTAAACACAGAATTTTGTTTTTTTTTTCATTTTTTTTAGGGGTGAGAGGAAATTTTCCATCTTAGAAGAAGGTGGAAATTTTTCTTTAACAAACATGCAAATTAGAAGAAAGTGGTAAGTATTCAACGTATAATGAACTCGAAGTACCTTTCATGGCAAGTTTTAATGAAACTATAATATGAATTTTTGAAAAATGTTTGGTCATCATGAGTATATTCAGAAATCTACGGTTTGGATAAATTTTTAATGAAATCTTTTTGATTATTTTATTTTTTTGACTTTAATTGGAGCTTCAAGACAAAGGTATGTTTGAAGGCGACGAAGAATCCAACGGCAGCCGAAACGTCGCCGTTGTAGCTCTACGGTAGTACGGCATGTATGAGAAGCAATGCGTACTCTAATGAAGGCTTGCCTGCCGTAAACACTAAGGTAGACACATTTCCAAGTTTTTCAATTTTCACGTGCGACATTTACGTTGTCTAAATAAGACATTGTAAATTTGAACATTCCATTGATCACTAAGTTGTACGTACGTTAGACATTAGTTGTAAACTAGATGCATGCAATATGTTGTAAGACATAAGTTGTATTTTCATTTCTTATAGCCAAACTGAAACATATGTTGCATATGTGAAGATTCATACCAAATTTCAAGTTTTACATTGTTGCTCTAAGCAACTTATTACATAATTAACTAAAATACAAGAACTAAAGGCTAATAAGGAAACCGAACACAGCGAAAACACACTTCAAAAAGAGATTTGGGATCAATGATGATTGTGTTTGTTTTGTTACAGTTTATATGCTTTGAACTAATGCATAAATATAGATTATCTCAAGGAAAACTCTTTGAAGATCTATTAGTGTTGGTTTGTCTTGGATTAAACAAGAAAATACCTTAGGTAACGAATTGCACTTGGGCAGAGTAAATTAATTTAGTGTGAAAGGTTTTGGATCGTTAGAAGCTGTACGAGTTCAAGCTATGAACTCTGTATCTCACCGCTTCAAGTCGCATTTGAAAAGATATAGGTTTATAGACCATATATACGCAAACAAGGAAAAAAATAAAAACAATTAGTGTTCAGGTGGCTAGCATTCATAAAACTATGGGTTACTTGATTCTTTTTGGCAATGGTTCTACTATCATTTAATTATATATTAATGCTAATTCCCTAGGGTCACACCGATACTTTGTTTTTCTCTAATTTATGACGTTCATAATGTTAGCGTTTCAACACATCAAGTCATCATATAGTATCAATTTGTGAAAGTAAAACATTTCTTTCTTACACAAAAGCGGAAAGATTTTGACTTGAAAGGCAACGTGAATTATGCATTTGAGTAACCGACACCGACAACACGTACGAGGCTAAAACTCAAAGAGCTTGAGTTGTTGAAAAAGCTCAACCCTTGGCTTCAAGTCTAAATGACGTCACCACTCAGTACTAACCATACGTTTAATTCCAACATGTAGACCCAAATCCCAAATAATTATATAGAATTAGAGAGAGCATTAAACCAACCAACCCAAAACCATTAAATAAACAAGAAAACGAAACACAACATAACAAAAAAAAAAAAAAAAAAAAGAGGAAGAAGAAACATCACAATCACCATCACATCACCATCTCAAAATCTCTCCTTTATTCACAAACCAAAAACTCAAACCTTTCTTCAAGTCGCCGACACTTTCCTTCTTCCTTCCTTCTCTCACTCTCTTCCTCCTATCGCCATGGAAGGCGTCTCCAAGCTCCCTTTCCTCTTCCTCCTCTTGACCGCCTCCATTGCCACCGCATTACCCGATAAAACCGGGTCGGGTCAAATAAACTCCAATTCCGTCCTCGTCGCTCTCCTCGACTCTCACTACACAGAACTAGCAGAGCTCGTAGAGAAAGCTCTTCTCCTCCAAACCTTAGAAGAAGCCGTTGGTCAACACAACATCACGATCTTTGCTCCACGTAACGAAGCCTTGGAGCGAAACCTCGACCCTGAATTCAAATCTTTCTTGCTCCAACCCAAGAATCTCAAATCTTTACAATCTCTCTTGATGTTCCACATTCTCCCCAAAAG